ATATGTGATAAAACCAGATAATGATTGCATAATAACACGATTCGATGTTCATGTGTTTATATTAAACTAAGATAAATGATATGAAATTAAGCCAAATAACGGGTCTGTACAAAGTACACCTAAAACAGGCGTCACTACATAGTAGCTACAACTTGTGTTTATAACTTCACGCTGTGTTGTTGAAGTGGAGTCACAATTTGTTACTTTATTGGAAATAGAGTGAATAAATCAAGTGCTAAACTGCTTAGAACTAAAGATTATTTATTCAGTCAAATGTAAGTTTACATTTAGCAAACCTAAAGTTAGTGATAGATAAACTTTAGACATCTGACTTATCACAGACTAGACGGTTGAGCTAATGCACTTTAATGATACAATTATACTGATATATTGTATTTAATTATTTAGAAAATTATTTTAAAGAAACATTTCTAACGCCCGTTAGCACCGAAAGTGCCTTCCGACTTATGGTGATATAAGAATTTCCCGTTAATGTTTAGGGGAAATCACACATGTTTCATTTATTTTTTCCTTATTATTAGTATGTTTTAAAATAATATTTTGCAATAAATGTATGCGTTTTATCACTAAAAATATTAATTTATTACTTTCGTACTAACCCATATCCTGATAGCGTTCCATATCTTGTAAAACAACTAATGAAATTATTTAAAAACTAGTCTATTTAAATAAAAACAATAATGTTTAACTGCATTAATTGGATAATTTTTACTTTCTCGTATACGTATATAAACTATGGGGGGTCGACAATGAAAGGTCGAGTATCATTTAATCGGCTAAAAATTAGAAAACAAACATTTTTATTAGTTTTTCTTGTAATAGCCGCACATGACCGAAACACAAGATTTCATAATATGTTATAACATACGATTTGATTGATGACTAGTTTGATGTGGAGTTTTTTTTTTCAATTTGTGTATGTGTATGTGTATGTGTTTGCTAGTGTGTTTCTGCGTGTATTTTAATAAATGTCTTTTATAAATTGTCTAATATTCGGAATTAAAAAACTGAACGGTTGTTGTCCTCTTAAAATAGGCTATTGCAATAAAAATTATAACACATGAAAAAAAAATTACATCAGTAAACAACAACGGTCATTTTAAAATTGCGTTTTACTGTAAAAACTAAACATGGGTTACTAGTATCTATTTAAAACAAGCATGGTTTTATGCCACACAACATTGAGTAAACATGTTTAAACTGAAAACATAGGTTATGCAGGGTATTCATTTATAATAGAATGAGTTAATGTTAAAATACTTACTAATGGAATCTACATCATTTGACAATTCAAAACTTCATTTTCCAGGGCTGCTAACTTAAAACAAAAGATATTTCATCATTTCAAAAACTTATCATTATTTTTTTTATTATTGACTTTATTAAAAAAAATGAACCTAAGAGATGTATTTTTAATGGTCATTAGCGTTCTGTTTTCACGTCCTGGATATATACGAGTGTGGCTGATCCGCAGTTTGTTCTCTATTTTAGTTATTACATTTGAAGCGTGCTACTCCAAAAACAGATTTAAAAAAAAACACTATGCTTATATGTTTATATCGGTTTCAAGCAATATTTCTGACACATGTTGATGAATGGATTTTGTAGACTCTTGTAACCCTCACTCAGTGGGGATGCTTTTACCCACTGTGGTGTTGTGGTTAAGACGGGCTGACCCTGAGATTAAGAACACACCGACACCGACAGTTGTTGTTAAGTACTCGCTTTATTTACAGCATCGAGCCATGACGGCGATGCAACACAGTAGTACAAAACAAACTAGCCAAGAAGAAAAAAAACTGTAGCCCTAAAACAAATGTAAATAAAAAGTTACATTCATGACAACACCACGTGTAAGCTGCAATATACACGGGTACAATGAAATATGTTTCGGACAGTACACAGTACTGCCAACAAGTACCAATAAGTAGTACTTCAAATCAATACTTATATTAATACTCACCCTAACTAGTGTGCACATGCAACACTAGCAGGAATACACAAAAAAGTATTTTAACAAACATAATTTAAATAACTACACTACCTTCATTAGGTCTACATCTTGGTCACCGTGTCCACAGACAGCAGCCTTGCGTGTGACTGACACGGCTAGGCATGAAACTACCCACAGTCCCATGTCACATGACATGGAACACAGGTAACATCGCTCACAAGCATGAAAAAAACAACTACGTCAACACGGCCACAGCCCCACAGGGGCCGCAACTCAATGAATTAAAACTTCATACTTTTATCCCCCTTGGCTGGTAACCATATGTGTTACACTCTCAAAAGGACCAATCGCATTAAATAATAAATATTTTACTGGCCCAGTTTTGATTACACTTTTGAATTAAATTTTCAAAGGGCATTAAACTTTGGTGTAAGATTTTATACGTAACGCTATGCGAGAAGTAGAATAATTTTTTTTTTTCGTTTAAAAAATGTTAACATGTAAAATCAAGCCAAATGCATGTCAGCAGGTTTGTAGTTATTAAAATGTGAAGCTATTAACTAATATAATACGAAAAATCAAATCTATTTAATAAAATATCATGTTTTCAAAAATTAAAATTGGTACAAACCATTGACATTAACTTTTCTACTTCAGTTTTCGTATTTTTGTTTTTATTGTCTTCTTCCCCCAAGTGAGAAATAACATCGCTTTTAATATCTTATTGCATTTTGTCTGCTTTATGTGTGTGAATTTTAAGTTCTTCATTTATTTTTTTCAAAATATTGTCAAACTTTTTCATCTCAGTATTTGTGCTTTCTTGTGTTTGGCTTGTATTTGGTTCTTTTACTTTGAGGGTCTTAATTTCTTTACTCATCTAATGTACTCTGTTTTTTTTTGGGTTTTTTATTTGCTTTTATCTATTTTTTATTTTCTGTTTGTTTTTTAGACAATACTTCAATTTTTTAGTTTTTCTTAGTAATTAGTTATTATTATTTCATATTATTATAATTATCCCCAAGATATGATTAGACTTGATTTTAGATGGTAAAAGATAACATGAGATGGCGTTGCCTAGCAGTAGAAAGCGGTAGAAAGCTAGATTCGAGTTCAAATCCGGGTTTAATTTAGTAGAGTGTCTCTAGTCCACCCAGTTGAGGTTGGTACCTAACTCACGTTAAGGAAACAAAGGCCGTTGGGCATACTGCTGACCACACTATCCCTTCATGCTGAGGCTTCTGAAACAAATGAACTATACAGCTTCTGACCCATGTGTCTTGGGTACAAACGGAAAAAAGACGAATAGACATCCTAGAACGCTAGTGAAACTAAAAACAAGGTAATTAAAAAGTCTAGTGACATTTAAGCGCAATTTCCTTATGTTATCTAATAATAGCTCTGTCGTAGCGTAAATCAAGAGCAGGGCTAGTAAAACCATTGGTTAAAGTACATGTTTTATTTACAATAGAGTTACATGACTAAAAACCATTACGCGCCTAGCTACTGAACGTGATGACGCAGCCATTGAACGTGATGACGCGTGTTGGAAAAAATGCCTACTAATTCAGTCCAAATTTTAATTAATTCAAAACAAATTTTGTGACTGAACGAAAGGATATTTTTGAAAACTTTCTTCGGCAATACTGTTCTAAATTATGGCAGGAATCGATTGGTACATGTTTCAAGTCGCTAAGTGGTCTGGTTGCCGAGATATGGGCCAAAAATGCATTTTTTTTGAGGTTTTTTGGCTTTTCCGGGAAATCCATGAAAGAAACCCGGAATTTTTTTGGCCTATGTTCATACTCGTAACTTGCTTAACATATCTGCTTTGGAACTAGTCCTCGATATTGCTTCGTTGAGGAGGAGATACGACTTAAAGCTGCGGACACACATACATCCATACATTCATTCATCCATCCATTCCCAGAAATGACGAGTTAATAAACGCAATTCTCCAGAATGGAAATTGCGCTAAAAAGTTTTTTAGATTTAAAAAAAATATCTGTAAATTAAATATGTAGGTGTATTATATTAGATTGTGTTAGTTAATTTTAATATGCAAGCTTTATTTACACTTTAATAGATGAAACTTGAGATTTAAAATATTAGTTTTAATAAAGTTTTACGACTCTTTTTCTCCCATTTTTTTTAAAATGGCAAAAACATAAGGACATTTGAGACACGTACAATTGCTCAGACTTTATTATAAAAAATAAGCTTCATTTATTTAATCTAGGAGGCTTGACGTTGCGTAGTGGTTTTTTTAACGATACTACAAATTAAACTAATATATAAACATGGCGTATTTACACGAATAGATTAAGCTTTTAAAAATGTAATTACTGTTTAAATAATTACAAATATAAAACAATACCTATTTCAAATATATTGTGAAAAATAGGTATATAATATTTAGAATGCCCTTCACTGTAAAAGAAAATATTACTAAGTGTATGTTGAGTAGAGCTAAGGGTTGGGAAATTTGTATTTAACTTCGGGCTTCCGTCTCATATATTTCATGGGAATTTGTTGATACCATTATAATTGAAAGAAAAAAAGGTCGTTCGCAGTTATGTTTGAGCTATGGTGAAGTGAAATAAGTTGACTGAGGTCCAGAAGTGGTAATCCCAACGTTTAAAGTAAAAATACATTAAAAAATGTTTGAAAACTACTCTCACCTATTTTTGCTAAGTTATAAAGGAATGCAGAGCCTGACCAGTTTTGAATTCTGTGACGATTGGTCCTGGAGAGGCAACTATCTATTTTTCAAGCATCTTGTGACCGCATCTCGAAGTTTCAAGGGCTGCTGTCGATGATATTTTACTCTGTGAATATTGTATAAGTTGATGGTCATTAGCGGTCGGTTTCCACGTCCTGGAGATATAAAAGTGTGGCCGCAGTTTGTTCTGTATTTTTGTTATTACATTTGAAGCCCATGCTACTCCTGAAAGTGAGAAAAAAAAACACTTGAAAGCTCTAAACGTAGCATAGTTAAAGACATTAAACTTACGTTTGTTTTATTTAGATGCGTTCCAGAATTCAGCTGAAGGTTGTTACAGAACAGATGAAATATTTGGAAGAACAAATGCAATTTATGGAGCCTGTAATTGGCGTGATGAAAAATGTGAGAGATTATTCTTGTTTTAGTGATAAATTGTGTTAATGTCTTTTCGGGTATAAGCATTTAGCAAGTAGTAAGTTACGTTTAGCAGCCATATAGTTTCGACGACTTCAATGTGTTTTATTTCATCAGGCATTAGAAAAAAGTAAGAGGTGGGTAGCAGATACAAATGACAACCCGTCTATCACATACACAGAGCTTTGTCAGGAACTTGCTTCAGCGACAACGGCCTTGTTGGATGTAGCTTCAAACATTTTAAGTAAACATTGGATACAATAAGTCTGTCTAAATTATGTTATCAGTTATGAACTAAAGCTAAAAAAGTAATTGCAATTTTAATTCCACTTATTATGTATACTTTTACCAAAAGGCGAAAATGAAGAGCTTGTCGATGTTGACGGTAGAACGCCATCTTTAGCTCAGGCTACTCTAGAGCCTACAAAAACAGAGAAACCTGACCAAAGTGAATCAACAATTCAAGTGACTAAACTAGTTAAAAATCAAGAAGGTATAAAATATTTTTTTTCGCTAAGCTAAATGTTTAAAATAGAATAAGAGGTGTGCAAACATTTAACTTATTCTATTGTAATTGAAACGCTGCTATTACATTACTTGTTACACATTACAGAAGTATTCACTCGACTGGGACTTTTAGAAAACAACATATCTTGTCTAGAAAGTTCAATACAAAAAACTAAAGAAGACACGTCAAAAATAAAACAATGGAGAGACAAATTTGTAACAGAACAGAGTGACATGGGGGTAAACATTGAACAACTGACTAAAAAACAAAAACAGAATTTTAAAAACATCAGAAAACAAATGAGTGAACAAGAAAACAAAGTAAAGGAGCTCAACAAAGAAATTGAAAGTTTAAAAAATAAAGAATCCAAGTCAAACAAAACACTAGAGAAACTGTCTCTAGATATGAACGAATATGAAAACAACGTACACAAAATAAACAAAGAGATGCAAGATCACGCAGATACAACTTATAGAATAACAGAAGAAATTAAAAGACATTCCGATCATATATCTACCCTACTAGAAGAGAGTAATAAAATCAAGCTTAACACATCAACTCAAATAGAAAAGGTAACATTGATAATGATGTGCTAACACAATTTTACACATACTGGCCAGATAACTTATTTCACATTTTATAACCTGGTTAAATCAAAACACAACTAGGTAATTTTATCAACAGTTATACCTGTAATATTATTACTAATTTTAAGACACATGATTTTGTTAGTCATAATGTGCATTAAAAATAATTAAAATTCAATTTTCTGCTCTTTAGCACAGTTTGATGTACAAACTCCTACAGCAAAGATTGATGCCAATTGACAAACTGATTCAAATCTTTAACCAGAACTTGGAAACAAGGGAAAAAAGAATAACAAAGGTATATGTGTAGTAATTTGATAACACATACATTATGACGTTGATAATTGCGCATTAATTATTAACACTATGTAAATAGACCAATTAATAACATGTTTTCTATATTAAGCGAAACATTTAAACTTGTATAATTATAAAATAATTCATGTTTTAAATTATGCTCTATTCTTACAAGTTGCCATACCTTGTTAAAATCAGTGCACCGATTTTATGTTCAACGTAACTATGGGATATTTTCAATCATTTTATAAAATCTTTTTTTAGCTGGAAAATATTGAAGATACTATTTCAAAATTGTCCAAAGATTTAAATCTGACAGGTAAGTTTGTTATACCAAACTAGCGTCCCCGTCCCCGCGCGTTGCCGCGTTTCATTTTGTTCGGCGGGGGGGGGGGGGGGGGGCGCGAAATTAATTTTTCTTTTAGGCATCTTTTCGGGGGGGGGGGGGGGGGGGAATGACGTGCCTAGAAGAAACTCTGCATCCTGTTAACAATGATGCAGATTGCGTCATTCGCAAATGTGACACAAATGAACAGTTTTTTCTTTAGCACGTAAAAAAATTATTTGACGTGTTTCAAACATCAGTGTCACTGATGCAACATATTAGCATTACTAATGATCGATTCTTAGATGCTCGATTTCAATTTCTGTTTGGATTATCTAAAAATAGATGCTAATTACATCATTTGCAAAGTGACGAAACTGTTTGGATTTTTTTACGGAGAAAAAGAAACATCCCAGTTTATAATCTAACCTTGGTTAATTTTTCTGATTATTAAAATAAAACGTATTACATGGCCCTCAGCGGCCCACGTGAGCCTTTGGGGGCCGAAACAGACATTTTTATTTGCAGCCTAATCGCACCCTACCAGGGCGCCAGAGGACACGCCTGATTCAACTTAGTAAGCGTTTGTAACGCCCCATCCTATCTAATGTCTATCACACTGTTTAGACCGAACGTATTCACCATAGCCCTCACGGGAAAGACCAGGGCGCCAAATTAAATCCTGCCGGGGGGGGGGGGAGGGCCCATGCAAAATTAATCCCACGCCCCCACCACCCACCCATCCCTATTCCCCCCTCCCACCCCAGAAAAAATTCTTGGGAGTATTCATCAACTCTCTAAAGTTTTATGGCACCGGAATAAATTGCGTCGAACCGCAATCCTCTTTTATTATTATATACCGTATATTGAAAAAAATCCCACCATTCCGTGGCGCCGCCCTTGTGAATTTTAGAAATAATTTTTTACAGAACCCTTTCCTGGAGTGTTCTAATCAAGTCCCTAAAGTTTGATGGCTATCGGATGAACGTTGTGAGACCGCAATCGACTTTTATTTGTATTTACCATATATATATAGAGAAAACAAATCGCATCCTGTCAGGGCGCCACCCCTGCGAATTTGAAAATGTTTTTAGCGCAGAAACCTTCCCAGAAATATTCTCAACATCTTCCTAAAGTTTCATGGCGATCGTGTGAACGGTGTCACGGCAATTCACTTTTATTATTTTTATTTACGGTATATAGAGAAAAATCGCAGCCTCCCGTGGCGCCGCCCTTGTGAAATTAAAAATGATTTTTTTTACAGAACCCTTCCCCAATGTGTTTTAATGAACTCACCAAAGTTTAATGGCGATCGGATGAATGGTGTCAAACCAAAATCGACTTTTGTTTTTATATATCGTATATAGAGAAAAAACAAATCGCACACTGCCGGGGCGCGACCCATGCGAATTCGATTTTTTTTCCGCAGAAACCTCCCCAGGAATATTCTTAACAACTTCCCAAAGTTTCACGGCGATGTGATAAGAGGTGTGGTAATGCACAAAAGACACCGCTACGTGATTTTCGTTAGCCAGACAGACCATAACGTGATGTTCGTTAGCCAGACAGACCATAACGTGATGTTCGTTAGACAGACAGACCATAACGTGATGTTTTTTAGCCTGACAGACCATAACGTGATGTTCGTTAGCCAGACAGACCATAACGTGATGTTCGTTAGCCAGACAGACCATAACGTGATATTCGTTAGCTAGACAGACCATTACGTGATGTTTGTTAGCCAGACAGACCATAACGTGATGTTCGTTAGCCAGACAGACCATAACGTGATGTTCGTTAGCCAGACAGACCATAACGTGATGTTCGTTAGCCAGACAGACCATAACGTGATGTTCGTTAGCCAGACAGACCATAACGTGATACAGAATGGAACATTTCACTCACCCATAGTGCCAGTCTCTAGACCCGTGGGTTTCCGTCAGGTGTTTGTTTCCTCACCTGGTACATTACACCACCTGGTATGTCGGGGGTCGACCTTCCATGGTCTACCCTAGTACAGTAAGACATTTAAAGAGCTGCAGTTTAAAATTAATTAATTTCTATTATCGTTACATCATACTTTTATGTTTATAATGTAACGAAGGAGTCCCATACGAGCCAGGGGTTAAATCTAAAATAAAATAATACTTAAAGACAAAAATAATTATTACATTTTTACCTTCTTGTATATAAGAAGTATAGAGAAAGTCTTGTAATCGTGAAAAAAAAATCGAAATAAACTTTTGAGCGATTTCCGATAACCGGAAAAGGTACGTTTTCTACTTTTAATTTTTTCAAAAGCCTATAACTTAAGTACTATTTTAGATAGATAAATGAAATTTCACAAGTAAGTAAACAATCTAATTTTCTACCTTCTGTGAAATGTTGAGTAATTTCCGTTGACCGTAAGTACTAATTTACGCTATTTCCGATTTCTCAAAAAACGAATGTAAATTTATAAAGTACTAATAATATTGCGCACCATTATGCACATTTTGTTTTGGCGTTCGCTTGGTGCGCAATTCTTTTTTTCTACGAGATTCTATTCTATTTTTAAAAGTTTAAGTACTTAAAAAATATGTCTATATTCCGAGTTATATAAGAATGTTCGAGAAAGTTTAGGAGAGATCACTCCCGGTTTATTAACATCTTAGTATCAAATGAATTTGTTGTAACATGAAATGCGGTTTATGGTGCTAATTTTGTCAATCGTTTTATTAGAGTTTCTAAAGTACAACATAATAAATTTAGTTCCTCAGATTCTTGTTACGATAAATTAACCTTATACAATTAAACTATACGGACTGATTGATTGTAACATAACGCATATACAGTGTTTCTTCCAGACTTTTTTGTCCGAGGGGAAGGGGGCATTTGAAACTTTCGGGGGGGGGGGGGTGGGGGGGGCGGTAGACTTTCTTCGGAGGGTGGGGGCAGACTCTGTTAAAATTATAGTTTCTATATATTTTCTATTATATATTTCTATATAAATTTCATCTCGTTATGAGGGGGAGGGCGGTAGACATTCTTCGGGGGGGGGGGGGGGGGGGGGGGAAGAGATGCCTTGAAGAAACTCTGCGCATATAACCTTTGTCGTACTAATGGTCTACTGTTTCAATTTGTGATCTTTGACAAAATTATGTATATTTTATGGATTATTATACACAATGTATTTTTAGCGCAATTTCCATACTGGACAATTGCGACTATTAACTCGTCATTTCTGGATGGATGGATGGATGTGTGTCCGCAGCTTTAAGTCGTCTTTAAGTCGTATCTCCTCCTCAACGAAGCAATATCGAGGACTAGTTCCTAAGCAAATATGTTAAGCAAGTTCCGAGGATGAACATAGGCCAAAGAATTCCCGGAATTCCTTCCTGGATTTCCCGGAAAAGCCAAAAAAACTCGAAAAATGCAGTTTTTGGCCCATATCTCGGCAACCACTTAGCGACTTGAAACATTTACCAATCGATTCCTGTCATAATTTAGAACAATATTGCCGAAGAAAGTTTTCAAAAATATCCTTTCGTTCGGTCACAATTTTTTTTTTTTAAATTACATAAACACCTACAAACCGATCGCTCTCCTAGCTTGAACGCACCCCAGCATTATACGTCTTTGTGATCACTATCTATTTTTGATAACATAAGGAAATTGCGCTTTAATTGTTATAAGACTTTTTATTAACTTGTTTTTAAATTGTTTGATTTGGGTTTGCCATTTTTACTTACATTTTGAACAAACATTCAAAACACATATAATTAGTTTATGTTTAGATTTATTAACATAAAATAATAATACGACAATACGACAATGCACATATTATAGATCAAATCATCAGAGCATGGTGATCATCCATTTATTACTTCCACACGGCGAAGGGGGGAGGTGGATCGAATAAAATTTACGTTTGTAAACGCGTGTGGACTGGAGGGGGGGGGGGGGTCGAGTCATTATCAACGTCCACATGTAGAATTTAACAACAACATACTTTTAAAAAATGCATATAAAATGTAGGTTATACATTAAATCGGCAGATTCCCCAGCACAACTGGTAAATAAATGTAGCCAAAATGTCACTGTATACCGCCAACCTAGGACAATAAGCGGACATTTTTTTTTTTTTTGGGAGGGGCAAGGGGCAGTGACCGCTACAATTATCTAAAATATTTCACGGTATTTCAAGTTTATTTTTTAAACATTTCAAACTATTAAATCTTAACTTTTATTCACGATATTTCAAGTTTATTTTTTAAACATTTCAAACTAATTAAAGCTTAACTTTAAAAAACAATAAGATTTGGTTCTGATTGATTGTGTAACTAAATCATAGTATGTCTACATCATTAATTGTCAAAGCCTAAGACGACGGAGACCTAGTTATTTTTCTACAAGTAAAAAAAACTATACATTACAGATAGATATTTAAACAACAGCACGCGTATAATATGCTCGCTTGGTCAGGTGTGTAGGGCTCACAGTCATCGCAACTAGGACTAAAGGGCTAAAGGGGGGGGGGTTGTTATGGAAACATGTGTAGCGTGAAGTTGTGTTAGAGTAATATAATGACGTCACGTTGATTTGCTGAATTTACCCTAACCCATTTATTCGTTAATAGCTAGACAGCTAGACAGATACAAATGACATTACAAATTACATTTAAATTCCAAATTTTTGTGAACGTCATAAATGGATGACACCATTCGGGAAAATGAACATGCAAATCAAACATATGTTTTCTAATCAACAGAGTCGCGGGTATGTAACAGATATGTTTGTTATGTAAGGCTTGCTGATCCCACACCTGTCAGTATCGAATCAATTATTTCAACATTTGATGAAGTACTTGAATATAACGGTCAACATTTTAATCAAACAACAGGAACATTTGTATCACCACATGATGGTTTATATCTTGTCTGTGTCACTCTACATGAATGGGAAGGGCAACTAATTGGAGTTAGTGTAATGGCTGGAGACATGTGTTGTAAGTCTATAGAAGTGAAATGTGCTTACACTAGCGCTGCTGGGTCAGTGGTTGTTGACATGAAGAAAGGTCAAGAACTTTACCTTAGAGTGTATCACGCAGAACAAGGCGCTAATTTATCCTACTACAGTAGTTTTACTATCGTTAGTTTATAGAAGTACAACACAAAACATGGTGGATGGTAAATTCTCAAAGCAATAAGATATGTAACCAACATATGAAACACACGCTAACAACTAATTATGAATGTAGACTACATGTTTACATAAACTATAAAGGTTTATATGTTATTTGTTTAGTCATCATTACACAGTTCCATCTAATTCAATGCCATCATCATCTTCTCTGTATGTGAGCTCTAGGTGTATGATTAAAATATTTTGTTTAATTTGCATACCTACAATTTATGTGTTAAGATGAACGTATTGTTCTTGTTGAATATGTAATTAAAATCTAGAACTTTGACACAATAAAATGAACTATTTTAAAAACTAGAAAAAATCAATATGTATCTTAAGTATTGAAAAGCTAGTCCAAATTATAATTTTGTTAAGAAAAAAAAAGATGTTTTTGTTATAGGCCTACTGGAAGTATCTGTTAGTGTAATAATTACATAGACTAAAATTTTTCTACATGAAAAACCACTATTTTTTTTATTAAGTATCGTTGTATCAGTAAATTAACACACAACCCATATAACTATCTATATATATCTTAAAATTGTGTTATATGTATAGATTTGTTAACTTGTATTCCAACTCCCATCTGCTTACATCATAATCAATATGTGATAGGGCAGGGCTAGCTCGGCAGATTTATCTTGGATATTTTATATGTCAATACACATATAACAGGTTATGTACATGTAGTCCGTGATGCAATGAGATGGAATACACCAAATAGTGGCAGAATAAATAGCGATGTTTTTAAACAGACAATCACACAAACACCGCCGACATTTTTTTTTAATTTCCGCATTTGCTGACAAAATTAATTATAAGCGGTAATTGTGGTCTATTTTATAAATTCGATCTTTAGTAGTTATTTACATTTTTAATTAATAAAATAGCAGAAACATAGTTTAGGTGTAAAAGGAACTGCATTTAAAATTTAGCTACTTCATAAAAGTTTCACTTTAAGCCTCAAGTAAAGTGTTATGACGTTTGTTTGATCAGGTGTGTAAATGTGAACGAATATTGGTGCGAAAGATATAATGAACGCATAAATATGTGTTGGGGTGAGGTCGTAGTGTTGTCAAGTCTCATTATAGTTCGTTCAAGTCATCCTATGTATTTTTATAGAATAAATACTATTGAAGTTAACTGCTGTCATCCTGTTGAATCATATCTCTACGTTAATGTCGTCCTGTTCTATGTTGAAACTTTAGAAAGAACTACTGAATTGTTAGAGATGAACATTATGGTATTGAATACCCTCTCACTGCATAACTGCGGGTAACATAGACCCCAGTTATAACATAAAGGTTTATTTGTAGCATCGCGTGTGAAAGCACAAATTAAAGTAACTCACATCTAGGCTGAAGTCGACCGTTACCCTTTTCAGTCTTTAACATTGGAACGGTGTGGTAGTGTGGTATGTTATGTGATAACTGGAAAGTGTCGGGTTCGGATTTCGGGCTAGAGTCGACTACGTCATCTCTAATCGAGAGAGTTCTGGTGGGAACTTTAAACACTTTACAAGGTTAACATGAACATAAACACATACATGTTCATGGTATATCGAATTTCCTGAAAAATTATACAGGAATGGATGTAGGGAGGGGGTTTTCAACTAAACGAAATATATTTTACATTATTATAATCTTTGAAATGAACTGAATAACCAAAAAAAAATTGCTTTGAGCGATCAGGAAATCAAATAGTCTACACATTTTTATCAATAATTGCTTTTTTTAAATAAGCAAATTTGGTTTATTTTCTTATTTTCACTTGAATTAAAAGCTTTTTATTCTCAAAAGAAGAAATAACATTACAAAATAGTTTGTCCACTGAACCGTGCTAAATTAAATAACAAACGTATTCAACTGGTAGTAACTTCAGCTTGTGGCCTATTGTAAAACCTGCTTCTTATTAAAACAAATTAAAATAGCAAGTACCTATACGACATAAATTCGGGCATTTGTAAAATTTAGGCAATTTCTGTTTGGGAAATCGGCCTTCTGACACACGGCATTTGGGCAAGTGTCTTTCAAGAAAACGTTAAAATGTAATGTTTTATCTTAAAACTTTCTTTTACATTGATGAGACATGAAGCAGCTATGTTGTAAGATAAGAGTATCTTTTAGAAAAGTCTATCCCAGTTAAAACGTTTATTGGAAATTGTAATGCTGCTGAGGTAACATAACGGCAGCCATTTTAATCAAACAACAGGAAAACTTGAAGCACCAGATGATGGTTTATATCTGGTTATTGTGACGTTAGTAGCCGCTGGAAATAATCCAATTTTGGTTCAAGTAACAGTCGGAGAACTAAAGTATAAAACTATTTATGTGAAACCTGACAATGTTTCTGCTTGCGGATCAACTGTAGTTCCGATGAAGAAAGGTCAAGAACTATATTTTAAAGTTCAACAATCAGGACCAGGGTCTTTCCTGCAAAAAGGAAGCGGTTTCACTATTTTAAGAATTTAGCTGAAAGATTTAATATGGTTGTATTTGTAACCCAAAAATGTATAATAAAAATATAAACTCAGTTGAATATTACCATAAAGGTTCATTCTCGCTTTGAGCTAATAATTAAATCCATACACTGAAGAGGTAAAGGCGCTGCTAAGCGGTAGAGTAAAAGGCTGCTAACTCCAAAGTCTCAAGATAAAATCTGGATCCAGCAAGTTCAGCGTCCCAGAGTCCGCTTAGCTCTAATGTCCACCTAACTCTCTAACTAAGCCTTCTTTTTATATGTCGAGGTCAAGAAACATAAGAACTCTACTTCATCTGCCAAATGGATCGCTATGTTTGAATAGGATTATTTACTTTAAACACTGAAGATATAATGTCTGTTTTCTAACTCTACTTAGCATTACTTTTACTTCAAATAATATTAAGACTATACTTGTAATATAATTAAGTCCTAAAAAAGAAAAAAAACAGGTCAAGAAACATAAGAACTCTACTTCATCTGCGAAATGGATCGCTATGTTTGAATAGGATTATTTACTTTAAACACTGAAGATATCATGTCTGTTTTCTAACTCTACTTAGCATTACTTTTACTTCAAATAATATTAAGACTATACTTGTAATATAATTAAGTTCTAAAAAAGAAAAAAAACAGGTCAAGAAACATAAGAACTCTACTTCATCTGCCAAATGGATCGCTATGTTTGAATAGGATTATTTACTTTAAACACTGAAGATATCATGTCTGTTTTATAACTCTACCTAGCATTACTTTTACTTGAAATAATATTAAGACTGTATACTTGTAACATAATTAAGTCCTAAAAAAGAAAAAAAACAGATAAATGGATGCAGTTAAATGAATTTGACAAGCATAAATATTACTCAATACTTAAAACATACAATTATTTTTACTATAAATATATTATTATTATTTACGGTGAGCCTAAAAAAAATTGGTTCTGATTGTAAATTGGTTAATACTTATTGCTTTTCATGTGTTGTTGAAAAACCAAGTTAAAGTGGTATCGCTTTTAGCAATAGTATTTGTATGAAACATATCTTCACTGTAGACAGATGATAAGCAAACATCTCAAAAACTATGTCCTAATATAATGTCAATTTCTTTACTCTTAAATATGTGCCGAGCACTGCACTAACTAACACATAATTTCAAGATGGTGGGTGGATTTCTTAGTTGTGAAAACATGAAATGATAAGCATAAAGAGAACACTTATCATTTTCGTTTTAATGGCCCGTCATTAACTTGGGCGTCCACTGAGATTTTAAAAGGCCGAAATCCGAGGTTTATATTTTACCCATCTTATTTGCTTGTTATTTACTTTACGCTGACTTTGTGTAATGCAGAGAAATGTAACAATGACAGAGACAACCAATGTAGCTTGTAAATAGTCTATCAGCAGTCATATACTGTTTGCTTTGATCAAACCTGAAGTATACCTGAAGTGATAAAACTAGTCAATGATTGCATGATAACACGATATTATGTTCAGTATGTTTATATTAAACTAAGATAAATTATACGAAATTAAGCCTAATAATTGGTTAGTACAAAGTAAACAGAAAACAGGCATCACTACATGTTAGCTTCAACTTGTGTTCATGATTTCACACATTCTTGTTTAAGTGGAGCCGCAGTTTGTTATTGTATTGGAACTAGAGTGAATATACCAAGTGCTAAACAGCTTAGAACTTAGGATTATTGTTTCAGTCAAATGTAAGTTTACATTCAGCAAACCTAAAGATAGTGATAGATAAACTTTAGACATCTGACTTATCAGAGACTAGATAGTTGAGCTAATGTACTTTAATGATACATTTATATAAATATACTGTAAGTAATCATTTAAAATAATTTAAAAAAAAAAAACAACGCACGATTGCATTGAAAGTGCCTTCCGACTTAGGGTGATATACGAATATACCTTTAATGTTTAGAAGAAATGACTCCTGTTTTATTTATTTTCCCCGTAGTATTAGTTTGTCTTAAACTAACGTTTTGCATTATATGTATGCGTTTTATCACAACAAATATTAATATATTACTTTCGTACTAACCCATATCCTGCTAGCGTTCCATAGCTTGTAAAACAACAACTGAAACTACTTAAACAATAGTCTATTTAAGAAAAAAAAACAATAATGTTTAATTGCATTAATTGGACAATTTTTACTTCCTCGTATACTTATATGAACTATCAAGTTGTTTGATTACAGTTTTGACCATTAAATTCATGTACATCTTTAAATCTTGACATAATTAAACCATGACAGAAAGTGATGCTGCAAGCTGTATGCGACAAGCGTATTAAAATTATTATGTTACATAATCATACTCAGTTGACTAGACACATTATTTTATGATGTATATGTTCATTTCACAAGGGCATGCGAAGCATAGCTACTTTATATTGTCTTAACATTAATTTATGTTATAACACTCAAACACAAACACTTAGTGTGTTTAAATGTTGTATTTTAAAATGCAACCGAAAAAGAAGAAAACCCATTTGCTTTAAAAAACAATTACGTGTAGATTAAAATTCAGTATGTTCACATATTTCTCTGTAATATGACTGCCAGAAACAGTGGGACCTACCTATTGAAACGATATTCACATGCATAAAATATAGGCACATTGGATGATCAAAAACAATCGAAAATGATGTGGTGTGCAATAAACGATAAACTACTAATTTCATAAGCGTGATTAAATTTACAATCTAAGTATAGTGAAGCCACTTCCTGCGTGTAGCTTGGCTCCATCATCAGCTTGGGCCACTTTAAAGTAAAGTTTTTGGCCTTTCTTCATGTCAACAACAGCTGATCCAGCGGCAGATGTGTTGGCTGAGTTGACAAGAATGCTCTTATACAATGTATCACCCCTGTACACACTAATGTTAATCAGTTTAGCCTCACCTTCCTGCAGCGTTACTATTACAAGATAGAAACCATCATCTGGTGCTACAAGTTTTCCTGTGGTTTTATTAAAATGTCTGCCGTTAGGTTCCCACACGCTAAGGAATGTTGAAAGAATCGATCCAGTAGTTACAGGTGTGTTGTTGTCCAGGTGAAGTTGACAGATGTAAGGCTGACATACACGGGTCTCTGTTGGAAAGTTTAAGTTAGAGTTTAATCATAAAGTTTTGCACACGTCTCTGTGTGTCTGTTCACAATTATGTGTATGTTTACTGTCATGGCTAGATAGATAGAATTAGACTAGACTCGTAGAGGTCACTAAGGACGGTATGAACTTGACGGTCGACGATTTGGTGCAAGAGTATTGTGCGCGTGTTCAATAAAATATTTGTGGCGTGAGTGTTACGTGAGCATGAAGCGACAATGTACCGATGACGTAAGACGCATCAGTGAAGTTAGCTTTGAGTTAGCTATAGTAGAAGACGGACGTGTTTTGATATTGTGTAATAGATCTATAAGTATGTGATAAAGTTAATTATTTTTTATACTCCAAGTTGTTGATATCTTTAATTAGTGTCTGAGGAAAATTAGAGTGATCCCGTCCTCCTCACATGTGTATTGTTGCAGTATGAATAATAGGAGTCAGAATCTATAGATTATATATAATACATACATTAACCCCCCCCCCCCCCCGCCCCCATCACATTTACTATTGAACTTACCAATTGTCTTGAAATCTTTCAACAGAGTTAAAATATCACTTTCGCGAGTTTCAACCTAAAATGTGTGTACACTTTACAAGTTATTGCATCAGAAATTATGTTCATAAAAAAATCACACATGTGAAACATAATTGTCTTACATCCTTAAAATAGTAAATACCCTATTTTTATTTAAAGAGAACACACAATAATATTCAAAGTAATTGGTCTGAAAAAGTATTTTATATTTCACATTATTTTAAGAAAAATAAAATAATCATCAGTAGTTAAATATAGAAAATAATATAAAAATCTTAACTGATAAAAGTATACCTTTGTAGTTAAAGCTACTAACATATCTGTAGTGTTGGCCAGCTTTTTCTTCCCTTCATCTTGTAGAGTTGAGTTGGTTTTAATTTCTTGTCCTGTTTTTAACATACGTTTTGAATAACATTAAATAAAATGATACACTCATATTACTGCTATACTAAGTGTCCACATTATGTTGTGTTTCATATTGTATACTAGTCTCGTTGAAATTAATCGTTAATTGAAACACGGCAGGATGGGGGGGGGGGGCGGTTCGAGTATCATTCAATCGCCTAACTATAATTAGTGTTTTTTTTTTATTAGCCGCAACACGACGGAAACATACGATTTCATAATATGTTCAAACATACGGTTTGAGTGATGACTGGTTTTATGTGCCGATTTTTCTATTTATGTAAGTGTATGTGTTTCTGCGAGTATTGTAATAAATGTCTTATATAATTTCGCTGTGCTCCAGGAACTGTTCCTGGTTGAAGTTTTAGTCTACTGCCCAGCCCACTTACTGTGTTCTATCTAGAAAATAGCCCTCGTTAAACTCTATTATTAGTAGGCCGTTTTAAAACAATATGTCCTATACTACTGATCCTCTAAATGTGCACATGTCCTTGTACTTTATGCTTTAGATTTTATTGATACATTTCTTACGTATCCATTTATTAAAAACATTTAGCATTCAAATAACTTAACGGTTGTTGTTCTCTTAAAAAAGGCAATTGACCACTAAAAATATAACAAGTGAAAAAACTTACATCAGTAAACATCATAGGTCATTTTAGAATTGTGTTTTAATGCTTAAACTCAACATGGGTTACTAGTATCTATTTAAAACACGCATGGTTTTATACCACACACCATTACCAAAACATGCAAATACTTAAAACATAGATTGTGCAGGTTAATCATTTATAATACACTGAGTTAATGTTAAAATACTTACTAATGGAATCTACATCATTTGACAATTTCGAAATATCATTTTCCAGGGCTGCAAACTTAAAACAAAAGATATCATCTCATCATTTGAAAATTGTATCATTATTTGTTGTTATTATTGACTTTTTACAAAATAAAAAAAAATGAACCTAAGATATCCATTTATTTATTTTTAAATTTATAATTATGTCTACCAAACATAGAAAACCACTTTGCTTATATAGTAATATCGGTCTCAAGCAATACTCCTGTCACACGTGGATACATGGGTTTTGTAGACTCTCAAAGGAACCAATTGCATTTTAATAAACATGTTACCTTTTGTTTGTACTTCTGCCTACTTGCCAAGTTTTGATTTAAGGTTTGAATTAAACTTTCAACGGGCATCAATCTTTGTTGTAAGATCTTGGACGTGACGCTATGCTGGGGAGTAGAATGTTAAAATCATGTTGTCTTTAATTATTTCACACTTGAAATCAAAACAAAATGCAAGTTAAAAGGTTAAAGTTCATAGGCATTAACTAATAAGTTAAAGTGCATGGGCATTAACTAATAGAATACAAGCCGCCAAATCCATTCAATAAAATATTCTATGTATTCCAAACTTAAAATAGGTACAAACCATGGACATTAACTTTTCTACTTTGGTTTCCGTATTTTTATTTTTTTTTCCTTCTTCCCTCAAGTACGAAATAACATCAGAATGGCTTTTAATTTCTTTTTGCATTTTCTCTTTCATAGTTGTTTGAATTTCTAATTCTTCGTTTATTTTGTTCAATATTATGTCAAACTTGTTCATCTCTGTAATCGTGCTTTCTAGTGCTTGGCTTGTATTTGATTCTTTTTCTTTGAGGATCTTAATTTCTGTATTCAACTCATTTATTCTGGTTTTGGATTCTTGTATTTGCTCTCTAGTCTTTTCTTTATTATCTGTTAGTGTCTTAGACAATTCTTCAAGTTTTTTCGCCATAGTGTTATGTTCTGATATTAGTGTTTTCCTCCATTGTTTTATTTCATTCAATTGTTTAAGTTCTTCATTCATCTCATCGTTTGTATTTTTTTGTTCATTAATTTGATTTCGAAACTGCTTATTATTATGTCTTTGCTTTAGAGCCAATTGTTCTATTTGCTCTTTCATATTATTTTGTTCTTTTGTATATGTGTCCTTCCATTGTTGTATTTCGGTCGCGTCATCTTCAGTTTTTTTATCCTTACTTTGCATAGAAGTTAGCGTTGTTTCAAGACGTTCTACTCTCTGCTCTAGTTTGTTACTTAAATCACCTGCAACTTTAAATATTTGTTTATGTTAGCATATTCTATGAGAGGGCTACATAATCAAAATCGTTCAAACTAAATAAAAAAGTACAGTAATTACATAACAACAACGGTGCATATATATATATATATATATATATATATATATATATATATATATATATATATATATATATATATATATATATATATATATATATATATATATATATATATATATATATATATTATTTATATATATATATATTTATTTATATATATATATATATATATATATATATATATATATATATATATATATATATATATTTATATATATATATATATATATATATATATATATATATATATATATATATATATATATATATATATATATAATGCAGCAATTTTCTTAGCAAAATTACTTTTTATAACCATTCGTTTTATTATTACTTTCGCAAAGCAAAGTTAAAGTTTTACCTGACAAAGAAAAATCAGAATATTTTACATCGTGTACACAGTCAACACTTTTATTTTCTTGTGTTGTCTTATCTGCAGCAGCCATTGCTTGATACTTGGTGTATGGAACTTTTAGACATGTGTAACAAATATGTTTTAAGGATTCGATTTAAAATAATAAATAAATATTTAGCAATCAAACGAAGCTAATTAAAATAAAACACTAGCACATATTATAATATTACCAGAAATCATTTGTTTAAATTCTAGCAGGGCAGTATTTACTGTTGTCACCATAGCAACCACTTCTTTAAAATCAATTTTCGCATCTGATGGATTGTCAAACCATTCCAGTGTTGCTTGTTTTACCTAGACATGAGATAACATAGGCGAGGAAATATTTAAACATTGATGTGTTAATTATTTTAAAAGCAAACAAATATAAAATCAAAACATTTACCATTGATGCATTAGGTGTTTAAAGTAGTTACACTACGTTATAATATCATGTTTAAATCTATTTAACAGAAGAAATGTGCCTGAAAAAATTGAAATTTTATAAAAGCCATTTGTTTTAAAATATTTGCAGCTTAATACGATAATGTTCTAGATAAGTTAAAGCCCTGCTATTACATCGTACTTCCTTCCTTCCTTATACGGAAACCGGCTCAGAAGGTTCACTTCCATTAGCCAGGCAGGCCTCAGTGTGGCAAACCCCGACAGAGTTTCCCACATCTCGGTCGCTACTTCCGTGGGGTCTCACCGGGCTTTCCTTCCCCACCCATCAGACGCGGGACGTCGTCCTACCGCCTGGTACCCAGCTTGATCGTGGGGGCCCATTCCGCCAGATCAAAACCCTCTAGCTGCTGTTATATGCCACTGGCCATTCCGCACCCACTAGGGGCGACATGAGTTTGGTCGGACCAGTGGCATTATTCCGAAGCCTCGTTAAGGCCGCCGCTTAAAGTCAAAAGAAAGATCTGGCGGCGGACTCTTTTGGTTCCCGGCAGTCTTGCACCTCTCCTCCCCCACGCTATTATGTGGGGGACTTGTGAGTCCGACGTACCAGGCTCTTAGGAAGAGCCGGACGCTTATAGCAGTTCTACTCGGCCAGATCAAAAACCTCTAGCTGCTGTTGGCTACCACTAGCCATTCCGCACCCACTAGGGGGGTCATGAGCTTGGTCCGACTAGTGCCACACATCCGAAGCCACTTGAAGGCCACAACTTAAAGTCAAGACATCTGGTTAGGGTCGAGACCAAACCATTCTTGGTTCCCGGCAGTCTTGCACCTCTCCTCCCCCAAGCTAAAATGTAGGGGACTTGGGAGTCCGACGTACCAGGCTCTTCGGACATTACATCGTACTATGAGATTTGCTTACCTGCTGATCAAAGTCACTTAAATTACTTTTCAGCAAACTATTCATCTCTTTCAGATTGTTCAAAAGTTGAGCTAATTGCTCCTTTATAGGAATCGATGCGGCCATCTGTAGGAAAATATCAATTTATTAATTTGAATGACAATGGTGTCCTTTGAATATACTCTTTAAAATTCGATCTATTATTATCAAAACATATAGGTGTCCTTAAGAGTACATTTAAATGTACATTGGCAATGTGTAAATTATACTGTATTTTAGCATTAATTAGTTAATGTGATAACCAAGACAAAATAAGCTAAAAATAACTTCTTTGTATTCAGCGAAATAATTTAACTCCTACACATATTAAAGCGAATCAGAGTTGTCTTTACATTTCACATATAAAGATAAGACTTTATAAGTCTGTATGCCACATTGAATAGTGTAGGCAAGAAAAAAAACTACGTTCCACAAACTTTTGTGCTTGTTTCATCTGTATGTGTATTACAAGGTTGGTGCTCTAAGGAGGCATCTAATTTTAATGTTCGTGAACAGGGTATTATCCAGGTAACGTGCATAAATAAAAAAATGTTATCATTAAAATATTATTTTTTTCTCTTTTTTTTTGCCTAATTTACAGCGTTAGTTTGCCTTTTTTTTAGTATTACAGTTTTTATCATCAGCTTGTGAGGACTGATACAGATTTACAATAGTAATACCTTTTTATTACTAAAATAGCCTACTTTCATTCATTTAAGATGGTTTACCTATAAGTAGATTCAATACAAAACGTCTATCTACAATTTTATTTTAAAAAAACCCGAAAATGCAAATGTGTAATTAAATGATGATTCAGGGTATTTCTTTTTTCCATCGGCGTGGTGGGCTGAGGGGGTATGGGCTTTTAAGTAGAACTGAAATACATTTGGGATTACAGAGAATTAAAATGAACCGAAAAATCTTTTTTGATTGCAATGAGACACATCAAATCAAACATCATTCCCTTTCAAATATTTATATCTATAGCATACCATAAACAGTTTATTTTTCATTTTTTTTTGTTTTAAACATTTAAAGTAGCAATAATAATTTATTTGATGGTTTTACATAATTTCAAGTGTATATATAGTAATTAAATAGAGAAAATAAAATGGAATAGGAACTAGTCTAAAATAACATAACAGGTTGACAAAAACTCGAACCTTTCAGACCTAAATTAATACACCCCGATCAGCAGTATAGCATATAATGTAGAAACATACAAAACCACAGGCACTTAATCAGAGACATTATACATTATAGCACACAGAAATACACACAACTAGCAATTCTTAGCATCGACCAACAGAAAGCTTTCGATAGAGTAGATCATACATGGTTAATGAAAACCATAGATGCTTACAACATAGGACACTATTTTAAAACATGGATACATATAATATTTAACAATGCACGTAGTCATGTATTAATAAAGAACAGTGTTACAAGCTCATTTTACATACAGAAATCAGTTAGACAAGGTTGTCCTTTATCTTCCCTACTATACATCCTTAGCTTAGAACCCCTACTAGAAAACATTAGACAGGACAACTCGATTAAAAGACTGTACATTCCAAACACGGCAGGCAAGAAAATACTTGCATACGCAGACGACACTACTTTCTTAGTACAAACAGAGAAAGCAATACAGACTGTAAATAGAAAAAATCAACAACTTTAGGAATTGAATCGGGGGAAAAATAAACGCAGAAAAATCAAAAGTAATGGGTATAGGTAAATGGAAAGGTAAAGATAATAATAACATAGACATCACAATAACAGACCAATTCAGAATTTATGGAATAACTTATACCAGCGATCCTACAAAAGACGACCACGAATCTTGGACCACACTGAACAATTAAATAAATCACAATCTGGAAAAATACTAATACTGTGATACAACCATTTTTGCTAGAGCTGCATTAGTAAACAGATATATCATTCCAAAAATAATTTTCGTAGCGACGAACTCTACAATACCCACGATTAGAAACATTAGCCGCAAAACCTTAATACAAACACATTAATTGGAGGTATAGGGCTACACGACATTCATTCTAAAATAAACACCTTCCGAGTAAAATATCTGGATAGAATAAGGATAGAACCACGTTATCATCATTAGCACAATACTACATAGTGTTAAACATAAAGAGCATTATAAAATTATTAAACAGCACAACACAACACTATATGGGACATTCTATAGCCAGCTTTTAAAAAGAAACGCTAGCAACATTCCAAGGAAACAAAAGCATTATTGTTGAAGACACACAAAAATATACGACATCCTAATCAAACAACAAGCGACACCCTTATACACGAGAATTATTTGGTCCAGGTAACACAATATAATAGACATTAAAGATACATTTAGAAACGTACCCAATAAACGCAATACATCAAAGGAAATCCAAGTAGCATACAGACTGATCTTTCACACAAAACCATTTTCGTGAAATACAAAGTCAAATACACCAAAGCAACCAGTTCTTTTAATTAATCTGTGTCTTTGGGAATGATATTTTATACATTCCTCTGTTTTAAAATTGACATTAACAACGTAAAGAAAACATACTGTTGACTTTTCGGCCTAAGTTTTAAATGTCTTGCTCAAAGATTGTATTTCTTTTTGGTAATAGTTTTCTTGCTTATAAAAGTTGTGTATTATAATAATAAATATAGTCCTATATGTTAACCAAGATTTTGCAATTGCCCAGTACACAATCAAAAATTATAGACGATTGTAAGTTGTGTTTACGTACGCTGTAAAATTGTGCAAATAAAAATAACTTGCAGATATTTTGATGCATATATATTACATGATTATCAGAACAAAAAAACAATAAAAATATCATTGTAATAAAACAATCGAAAACTACACCTATGTATGTACTTGCTTGTACTTGAGCAGAGTTTAACCAACCAGTAGCACTAAACAAAATGTCGAAACCTAGGGCCCAAACATTCCCAATTGGCATGTATCCAACGGCGCGTATCGATATTCAAATAATTTAAGACGATATTGATTTATATACTGTGTAGTACATGTAATCAGAGGCATAGTGAGGGCGGGGCGGGGGTCCGGACCGCACCGGGTGTCAACATTTACGGGGGTAACACCAAGCCAAAATATTGCAAAATGTACAGAAAAAGGCTTTTTGCCAGACGATGTAGTGATTAATTAAAGTTAAATATTCATTTAAGTACAAATCGACAATTATTACAAGAGGAGAGGGGGTGACACCACGACTCAAACGTGCTAACTATAAAGATTATATTATTAGCAGACTATAGAGAAACATCGTTATTATTAAATCTGCAGAGATTAAAGCTTGTACACATACATGCAGAGGCGTAGTGGGGGGCGGGGGCGGTGCGGACCGCAGGGGGGTGACACCAAGGCAAAAAAATGTATAGAGAAAAACTAGAGGGGGGGGGGGGGGCGAGGCAAATAGAAAGTTTGAAGGGGGGGGGGGTTGCAAATCGAAAATTTGAAAGTTTGTCCCCGGGAAGGGTCGCTACGCCTCTGTGGGGTGACACCATTAAGTGCCGCACCGGGTGACACCTCACTACGCCACTGCATACATGTATCCGTATGTGGCATAAATTTAAATTATAGGCCTTGTAGGCCAATACACACACACGCACACACACCATATATATATATATATATATATATATATATATATATATATATATATATATATATATATATATATATATATATATATATATTTATATTTTTTTTATTGGGGGGGGGGGGTTACACATCACGAAGAACCACATCGGTTGACACCCGACCTAGCGACGCCACTGCATGTAATAGTAAGTTCGTCTTTATGAAAGTTTATTGTAATGATACAGACTAGCATTGAAAATACTACATGTATAATTTAAAATGCCAAGTCTAATCATACAAGCCTAACAAGTACAATCTTAACAGCCCAGAGTAACAGCTAAATAGCCCAGCTTAACCTGAATAATCTAAACGTTCCGGCTTAACAAGTACATTCTCAATAACTGAGGCAAACCTGTATATTCTAAGCAGCCCAGAGTATCAGCTAAACAGCCCTGTCTAACCCGTCTAATATAAAAAGCCCAGTATAATCTGTCCAGTATAAACAGCCGAACAATCTACACAGCCCAGTTTATTTTTAACTGTGGATGTTATTCATGTTAGGAATGCTTTTTTGCCTGTACAGTTAAACTTTTCATGTTGGTGTATTTCAGTATTACCCTTTACAAAATCAATAATTTCTTGAATAAGTGGAATATCGACCAGCTAGTTGAGATACATGTCAGTTCTTATTATTAGGAACATAGCTTGGCAAAATTTTGTGTATTGGTATTTGCAGGTTTATCTCTGCTCTAGTAGTGAACAAGAAAAAAGAAATTAAGGTGCAGTTATTTTTTATTTGTTTTATTACATGCAATATTTTACTTATTGTTTGTAAATACAATAAATTATATCTGGCAAATTATCAATCACTCTAGTTTTTAAAAATCTCAATAACTACACAATATGAATTGTCATTTTCTTTTTACATACTGAATAAATATGACCTAATAATTAGTTTTAAATAATGAAAAAGAGTATGACTTATTTTTAGTAGTAAAGAGAGTTTATGATATAAAACATACACCCGTAATGAGTCGTTCACGTATAACAAAGACGATAGAAGGCGCTGATTAAATTGTTTTATTGGTTGTTGTTTTTTTGTTTTAAAAGGGGAATTATATCCCGCTTGTTATATTTCTTTTTCCATATTATTGTTTCCAAAAAAATAATTGTTAGTTACAATTTAGAGGAGTAAGTTGACTTAAAAGTCAAAGACTGCTCCACATTTCAGGGTCATGATTTGTCCAGGCGTCTCATAAAGTTGGAAAATTTGGATTTCACTGTAATGTTATATCATATTAGACGCCAATATTAAACGTTCCCGTTATGAAGGCTACAATAAAAATAGACTGCCCGCCGTCTAGTATATCTTTCCGACCCTAATGTTTACATACACATATAGACACACACACACACCCAAACACACACATAGTCACACAATCACCCTTTCTCTCTTTCTCCCTCTCTCTCTTTCTATCAGGACACTCCCATTCTTAAATAACTGTTATATTTATAAATATCAGTAAAACATTGATGCTTACGATTTCAATCATGCTCAACCAAAACACTCACCTAACGCCTCCACCACTCATCTGCCCACTCACACAATATATTCCACTTCTCACACTTAAACATCTTCAAATCCTATAACATGTAGTCTTATATGTTTTGTGTCAAACCAATGCAACATTAAAGTGGTATAGACAAATTAATAGAGTTATGTAATTAATGCATAGCTTATGTGTTTGTGGTTGTAACACGACATCCTAGCCATCACTCCAACACTTCTACCATCCTACCTCCCCCCCCCCCCCCACACACACAAACACACACACAAACACACATATACACAATTCACAAGTTCCTAAAGCCGTTTGACGTTAACAATCACAAATAAAATTATCTTATTAGTTAACCTGTAGAATATTCACATTTTATCACATGTTAAATAATATCTTTAGTGCAGATGGCTGACGGTAAACCTAAACAGAAAGAATTGACTAAACTGCTGGAGCATTTATTGGGGATAAATGTGCAGTTGGAAAAACAGATTGGGAAATTAAATGAACAAGTAATTATTTTTATGAACTTTAAAAAAAAACAAAATCCGCATACGTTATAATGTTTTCTTTTTTTATGAAAATTTTTATAATTAAAAAATAATTGAAAAAACATAAAGTGAATAATTTACCAATAAAATGGTTTTATAAAGTGATCACATTTAATGTTTTCTTCTAAACACCTTTGATCAGGTCAATTTGAAAACAATCGAATGTATTGAATCCCAGTCTAAAGGAGATATAGAGGAAATAAAAGAAGTGGTTGCTCTAGTGAGAACAACAAATTCTGCACTGCTGGATCATAAAAACAAAATTAGTGGTAATTTCAAATTTAAATGTGGAATTTTACAACCATCATCTATATATATATATAATTATCTTCTTGGAGACCCTAAAAAACAAGCTGTAAGCGCGCCTTGCAGTCCCCTCTCTTCTTCACTAGACATAAGTCAACCTCCCCTACCCTAACTCGGTCTTATGAGCTGTGGTTCACGCTAAATGTTTACTATCGTAGAGCCGGGTTTAGTGACGGCTATTAGGGGCAGATAATGTTTGAAATGAGTTTAAACTAAGGGGAGGTAACGCAGAGGAGTTTGCTTTCAAGGGGGGGGGGGGGTGGGGGGTAGCGGCTCTTAAGGACCATCTGATAGTGTTTTAAGGAAATATTTTCAGTGGCAGCATTAATACTGTCGAATTCACAAATTATGAATTACTGAAAAGTAGAAAATAAAACAACTAAATAGCGGCTTTACGCCTCGGGTCGGCTCGTAGTAAATCTTTGTTTTACGTTGTTCATATTCTTATAAACATCTGTATGGTAATATACTGACTACATGAAATAGTGTTTCTCCTTTTTTTATTAAATATAAAAACATTAAAGATTTTAATTAAGTATATTCCTTAATCCCATAATTAATACAAAGCATTTTACTGATTGTGCCAAGTAGGCTACTATATAAAATCTTCTTGTTAATAAAGCTTATAAATGATGCATTGGTCTTATAAAATACAAAATATTTCTTTAATAACACACAGATGTAAAAAGGAAACTCAATAAACTAAAGAAAGTTCAAGCAACAAATGAAGAAGGTAAGACTAACGTGGGAGTTGAATTTTGATGGATTACATCTCTAACACTATTGTTAAAAATTACATTTGGCTTACATTTACAAAATGAATTTACACAAAAAAAAACTACAGTACTTAGTTAATTGTTTTTTTTTCAATATGATATAGATATGTGTATGCGTAAGTTAATGTCCTTTTAACAAACATTTTTAACCCTTTATCTACTGACGGTACTTATAAGTACCACTTTAATTAAGCGCCTGTACTATTTTTAATTTAAGACGAATTTTAAAAATTATTGATGTAATTGATAGTATTATCTCCCTTGACTCACATGTATGTGGAGGGAACAATGTTTTTTGAAAATTACGGGTGTGGCGCCATTTTCAATCTCTACCTGTATCGGTAGTTCACAATTGTTCTGTACATATCTCACATGTGTTCCTGATTTCCCTTTGTTTTACCTTATTCTTCAAGTTTTCAACACCGAATATTTTTTATTGGCATCTTCAATAGTCAGGCAAATACATTTAACTTCTAGTTATACAATTTTCATCAAATTGTCTTTGTAATAGATCGATGTTTACAAGTGGACTTATAAGTACCGTCAGGGCACACGGACATTATTTTTAGGATTTCTAGAAAATGGCAGATTTTCGATGTGGAGCTACATAAATATTATTTTGATAATTAATTATCGAAATGTACTTAAAAATATATATTTATGCATTTATAAGAAGGTTAGCATAGGGTTTTCCTCAGAAATATTGTAATTAATTGCAGATTTCTAGTAGTAAAAGAATAACAAGAATAGAGGTGGCAGTTGCAGGCTCGTTTACTAGGTTTAGTATACGTTATTTGTATACCAAAGTCTAGTTCTAGAAGTAAGATTTGTAAGTTATATTTGTTGCAAAAAACTGTCTTGCATACAATAGCTAGCGTGTACGTAATGTATACATGTATACATGTAGACTAGTAATAGTCCATACATCTGAATGTAGTATAGATCGTTTTGTAATTTTGAATCAGTAAACACAAAACAGTAGGCCACTACGGCTATCCTAAACACATTGAGCTTACTTCTATTTATGAACTTTACACTGTAGTGTAGACTTGTCATAACATTCTAGTAGGCTACAATTATACTAGTATCACTAGTAGTAGTGTTTTGAATGACTAGGATTTCGTTTTCAAAATATTTGTTTATGCGGCTCATTGTAATGGCTATTGGAAGCCTCCAGCAAAAGCAGGTTCAGTCCAGCAACTGTTGCCACACAAGAAAGACGACAGACAAGAATGTCTCAGGAACGAGGAATGAGTGAGTATGACATGTAGGCACCTTTAGCTGTGTTTGAGGTCTAAGATGTGTTCCGATGGAAAATCCAGTAAAAATCGTACTCAAAATATACTTTTGTGCTGTGTTTATGAGTGAAAATTACAAAAAATGATTGTTATAATGATTGCCATGTTATTATTTAATAAGTTGTATCGTTTTTTCCTGTTTTGTAAATTTTTTAATTTTCGGAAAAAATGTCCTACATTCCTGACGGTACTTATAAGCACCAATACATGTTTGGGCCCTTAAATATTTATGAAACAAAATTTCCTTCGACATATGCTTTAAATGTGCCAAAAGCAATATGATAACACATTGTTTAAGAAAAAATGTCATTCGGAACATAATTCCGTAAATAAAGGGTTAATACGTTTTTTTTGTCAACAGTGATTTTAGTTTCATAAAATAATTTTTGTCTCAGGACAAAATGAAATTAAACATTTTGGTGTATTTCAGCAAAAGACAAAACACAAGAAAATGAAAAAGATACATCAGAAATAAATAAATAAAAAAACAGCAGTTTGAAAAAGGGAATAGAGCATAATGCAATACCGTTTACTTCAATACAAAAAACTGAAGATTGTTTACCGTTAATGAAGCAGTGGAGAGAAAACTTGTTAGAAAAGTCAAACCAACGTTTTCTTGACACTATGTTTTCACCAGAAATTGTAAACCAGGCTAAAGAACATGACATATCCGAGAGTAAGAAACGGGAAAACAACAATTTTGAAGAGAGAATAAAATATCTTGAAGAAACACAGGCGTTGTTACTGGATTCAATGCGGTCGAGAGATAGAGAATTAATAGAAATAAAACAATGGAGAGACAAATGTATACCTGAACAAAGTGATATGGTGATAAAAATAAATCAACTGCTCAATAAAAAACAAGAAAATAACACCAAAACAATGAAAGACATGCGAGAATACAATCAACTGATGGAGAACTCCAGAAAGCAAGATTCACAAATACACAGCAGTTTAAAAAAAAGTAATCAAGTGACAGAATCAGTTGATCATTTCATGAATGACGTGAATAAAAAATTAAAAGACCACGCAGATCAAATTGATAAATTTGCACAGATAGTTGCCAGCCAATTTAAAGAGATTTCTGTTTTACAAAAAGAAGAAAAGAAAAACGTTGCTAACTGCACACAAGAACTTCATAAACTAAAGACAATGATAAGGTATTATAAAATTGACTTCGTTGTATTTTTTCATATATATATGCGTATATATGTATATGTATATATATATATATATATATATATATATATATATATATATATATATATATATATATATTAGATTTTAGCAAATGTTGCCAATACTCTTAGCGAGAGTCTAAAACTTTGTCACTGATTTTTTTTTCATATAGTGTGTTTCTACTTTTTGAAATGCAGTCCAATTAACATATTATTTTATAATTATAGCTTGCATCTTTAGATTATAAATCAAATGGCGTGCGAGAAGTCAGTACGTATATTTATTTTATTAAGATTTAAATAACTCTAAGGAATATGCATTAATTTAAAGTCAGTTATCTGCTTCGGGGCGTTGGTTATTGCCCCTGTGTCATTCAACACTCCCCCCCCCCAAACCACCTCGCCTGTTGTTTTTTTTTATACTAGACACCAAAGTATAACCCACATATATTATCCCACCCTCGTAGGCCTATATGGTTATGGATAGTTAGGGATATGGATAGCGGTTGTGATTGATTTAGGCTTAGAGTTAGAGTTAGGGTCAAGGTCATGGTCAGCGTCAGTCCAGGGTCAGTCCAAGGTCAGGGTTAAGGTCAGGGTCAGGCTTAGGGTTATTGTTAATGTTTATAGCTGTTGTTGGCAATTTTCCAAAACTATCCTAGGTTTGTCAATTTAATTTTTTTTTAAATTAATGCTTGATATCTTCCCAAATGCCCTCGTGCTGACCTACACTTTGTACATCGTGTTGTCTAAGGAGAAATCGTGATAAGAAAATAAAAGATCCAGTACTAAAACGTGTCTTACTGACTAAAATTAGCAAAGCGGTGATCTGACATACGGGATAGTATTTATTAAATGTTACCAATAACATCAAAATAACCATTCCTGCAATTTAATTTTTTTAAAAATGCTTCAGTAAAATATGTATTTTAAGATAAATAAGATACATTAACAAATATTTGACAATGTAGAACAGCTATTTTTTTTACTAATGTTGGCATTTTACCCATTTGGGCAATATATTTTGGATAAGATTTTTTCGGTACCGCCTGACACCTAGGTGTGGTGATCTAAGCGTTTGATTGGTTTATGTTGTTAGTGCAGCTAAGGTATTGTTTTCAATGGGAAACTGGGTTGTCTAGAATACTACCAAATCTAATCACGGCTTGAATATTTATAAGATCATTCAAAGATTATGCATGCCGTTTTATAATGCAGTAATCAATTATACATAATTTTAACAGGTAATCGAGTATGCAAGCCTTACTTCTGTCAAATCCACCTAAACAACAACACACCAGTAACGACTGGAGAAATTATTTCTACGTTCTATGGCGTTAAGGAACATAACGGCAGCCATTTCAATAGATCAACAGGAAAACTTGTAGCACCAGATGACGGTTTTTATTTAGTTATTGTAACGTTAAAGGAGAAAGAAGATAAACGGATTGCAGTGAGCGTCTTCAGTGGAGAAATATTACAAAAAGATTTTTTTGTAAAATCAGCTTTTACTTCGGCTTCTGGATCAACCATTGTTGCAATGAAGAAAGGGGAAGAGCTATATTTTAAAGTAACTGGAGCAGATGATGAAGCCATGCTACACGCAGCCAGTGGCTTCTCTATTGTCAGACTGTAAAACTGAGTTCTTGTGTAAATCTTGTGCTAACTATGAGGCGAACTTTGCCTTTTTATTTTGATGTTACATTATTGATGTAGAAAACAATTTAGACCGTAATGCCAGGTGGCAGTCAACATTCTTAATTTCAACTGTATATAATTAGCTATTTTATATTATTATCTACTTATCTATCTATGTAATATTAGCGCCCCTGTGGGTCGCGCCTGTGGCGGCCGCTCCATCCACGCTCCCAGCCACACCTCTGTTAATATAATAAGATAATTATTGTATTCATTAATGTAATTCTTTTAATTTAGAGCATGATGATTCATATGATTATGTGATTGGGGGGGGGGGGGGGGTGTTAAACACAGTTTTGCCTAGTGCGCTCAATGACCTGCTACTGTTTTGATGGTGTTTCTATAATTACAGCGATCGGCGTATTTTTCGATCGTATTGTTTACATCTAGACCGGTATTATTAAACCTTCAAAAACATTTTGTTCTGATACTTATGTTGTTGTACCGCCATATTGTTTATGACAGCTCCACTCCAAACTGTGCACCACCTCTTCCCATCCCTCCCCGGTAAGCTGGAGTTCTATGACAGTCGGTGTTTCTTGCAAACCGTTTTCTCCGGGGTGGGGGGGCACTTGAAATTTTTTTTTGGGGGGTGGACTAAAATTTCCAGGTGCGAACACTGTTAAAATTATGTATTTTCTATATAAATTCCATTTCTTTCGGGGGGCGGTAGTCTTTCTTAAAGAAGGGGCGACTCCCCCCCCCCTCCAAAGAGATGCCTAGAAGAAACTCTGATGATAGACTGTTCATTCGGGCTATATCGACCACGTGAATCATCCTACATCTTAAAAGATTATCGGACAGACCCTTCTTTCTTACCCTGACCACTGCCCTTGATCAGCGTACCTGCACGCTAACCCACACTGGGTTTAGGTGTGTCCAAGATATTTTCTATTACGTGCAGTTATCGCTTCTTAACAGATGGTATTTGATTATTTTAAGAAACTAGAAATCTGTATTAACCTTGTATTGCCTCAAGTCTTTTTTTTATTAGCATCTGATGTATTCTCACCAATATCCATGTCTGATGAATAACAACACATTTTTATATTTTTGTCACAACTTCAGTTGTTATAAAATGTGATTCTTATTTTACTGGTAATGTAATTGTTCCATTATCTAATATTATTGATATTATTGTAGTTTAGATGCCATTATAACCCAAGGATTAAACAGCTCAGGAAAAAAAAACGAAGAGCTACTTTTTCAGATAGTTTCATATAACAAAAGTAAGTATGTAGATATTAAAGTTCCATTTTTAACCCGAACTTACCGTCCCATAAGGCAAATAAAGTAGATTTCACTTGTTTTTGTGATCTCGGGTAGTGTGACATTTACTATATTCTAAACCTGTGTATAGTTTTTATCGATATGAGTTAAAAAATCATGTATAATGCGCGTTTACAAAACAATCATATCACATATTAGTGAAATTGAGACGTAGAAAACGTTTCGCACATATAAACACATAGACTAATCTCGCATTTAGATCGGATTTATATGTACTAAAAGAGTAAATCAATAGCATAACATTTGTGAATACACACTTTGTGTACACTATAGATACTGTAAATTAGTTTACTAATTGTAAAACACTTTAACACAACCGATACACGTCTGGCAGAGTAGCGCTTTCTTGTTTTCATCCATTTCTTTTTCAACCCAAAAACAAACTACAAGACAGCAGTTGTTTAATTTGGGAGTTATCGTTCCTAGAATGGCTACTGTCTCTAACGAGCTTAATAAGCTCACGGTTCTAAGCTCGGGTATTTAAGCGTTAGTAATTATATGTTTTACGACCAGACTACACCATCATTTCTACTTACCTAAAAATATTATTGTATTTTTTTTAAGCTGATGTCTCTTTGTACTAAGATGCGTCCCTTAATTTAAATCAAACATGCTATAGAGCACACAATACAGTGTTTTAAGTGCTGTTACGTGTTATTGAACCTTTCATTCGAGTTATGCCGATTTGTATTCGCGACATGTTTTGTCTTACATGTTCCTTAACCCAAGCAAACAAAACAATTTATTTGCTATAAGACGTCCAGAAAGAATGTGACCAGAAGCCCATGTAACTTCGTCGTCAGGCTGTAGAAGAATGTTACTCTTGGATACAAGATTAAAAAGTATAAGAAGTCTCTTATGTGGCCTTGTAAGTAACTTGAAACAACTATCAATGCAATGTTGGATGCAGCGTCACACATTATATAAACATGTTTTGATTTCCTTAAAATAATATTAATTTTAGTTAAGCATTAACTACGGTATTAACTAGTGAAAACACGTGCTAAGCTAAATACATAACTTGCTAAGCTGTGCTGTTTGGATTGCCTAGATTAGTGACCTACTTAGTTTTTTACAGGCAACGTTCCAGGCGTTCTTTGTCAACATGTCTTAACAACAAAGAATACATTTCATAAAGACCAACTTAAGCTGAATACCATACATTTAAAAAATCGATAACTTTTTAATATCGACAAGGGTCTTTGAATACGTGCCAATAGCGATTTTTAGATCATTCGTTTGCAACTTTTAGCTGTGTGTTATTAGTTGGTTCAACCCTGATGAAGTATAAGCAGTATATACACAGGAGGATTCTGTTGTGAGTACATTATTAAATAATTTTTAAATTTATTTTCGTTTTGATAATTATTTACAGTGTATTTGTCAAACTCTAAAAGTTATATTATTTTATTTTTTTACATTTGTACAACATATCACGACAAACATTGGGGGATCCATAACTCAAATTTTATTTTTCTTAATAAAGTTATTACAAGGTAATTAATACAACTAAAGCAAAGATATGGGTATGTTATACAAATACTTTAATTATGAGGGGGCAAAATTTTCACAGGATCACACAAAAAATGGCGCTTTAATGAAATTTCATATACATTTCTTTCCATCAATATCTCAGTAACCATTCAATATAAACATCTGTAAATAAACAATCACATCTAGAATATGATATGTTACAACGTCATAGAAGATTTTCTAGATATTACAAAAAATGTTAAAAATATGATTTTTTTCCTAAATACCTTTAAAAAATAAAGCATTTTTAGGGGTGACCCTGACTTTAGAGACCATAAACAGTGAACAAATATAGATATCATTAAAAGGCTCTATGGCGTTGTTCATGACTATGTTATGAATCTACTGGACAAGTTTCATTGCATTCTGTCAATTAGTTTTCAAAAAACGCCTGGAATGGGATTAAAAATTATGAAAAATGAAATTTTGAGAAAACTCAAAAAATGCAATTAGAAAATCATAAAAAGTGAACAAAACCAGTTATCTAAAAAAGCTTCTATACAGTTGGTAATACACATGTAATAAAACTACTGTGCAAGTTGCAATTAATTCTTTCAATTAGTTTTTTTTAAAAGTTAGGACAGAGATATACAGCGCATTAAAATGAAATTGCGAGAAAAAAACAAAAATATAACTTAAACGATTATAAAAAGTCAACAATAAAGATAACACAAAATGCTTTCACAGAATGGTTCAAAATCAAATTAACAATATACTGTACAAGTTTCATTTCATTCTGTCGAATAGTGTTCAAACCATTTGGGAAAGTAGTATTACATTTTTATGAAAAATGTTATTTGAGAAATTAAATAATGTAACTTAATACATCATAAAAAGTGAACAAACATAGACATCCTAAAATGCTTTCATAGTGTCAATAAGAAACATATACAGAAACTACTGTGCAAGTTGCAATTTAATCTCTTAAGAAGTTTTCAAAAAAAAAAAAAAAAACCTAGAATTAATAGTATTTTGGAATTTAAAAAAAATATTTTATGCAAAATCTACCTGTGAGGAAACTAAAAACATGTAAAAGGCTCCCTTAGAGTACCATGATGTTTTTTCAGTTGGTCATCTGTTGATGAGATATGTTGAAAACTGCTCAAGATGCACCTGTGACTGCATCAGAAGTTGTAGACGAAGAGGTAGAGCCGGTTGAGGACGCTTTGGCTTTTCTAACCTCATGAGCCTTGGCCAAAGCATTGTTCTTTGATGTTGTCAATTTACTATGCTGTCTCTTCCTAAGAGCAGATTGCTTCAGCTGTTGATCTGTGAATAATGGATACATTTTTAATACTGAGATAAAAATAACATAGTATTAGGACTATAGATTATAAACTTACATAATTAATATAGGCCTAATAATAATAGCTACTAGACTCTAGGCCTATCATATAATAACAGTAAATAATGGACCTAGATCTAGGACTATTTGTTATGATCATAATCAGCAAATATCAACTATTATAGGCCTACAGCAAACAAAAAACAGGGTAAATTTTTAAATTTAGACCTAGACTTTTAGTAGACTCTAGATTATAAATCTAGGTATTTAGTAAAATTTAAACTAAATCTAGTCTAGCTACTAGCTAGATCTAGACTTCCTAACAGAGTAAAATATAAATAATAAATCTATCTACTAGATTAGATCTATCTAGATCTGGATCTAGACTAGTTACACAGTATCATTATCATGACATGAGTATCAAATCTATCTATTCTAGCTAGATCTAGATGTAGACCAACTTTAGCCTAGCAGCTAGACTAGATCTAGTCTAAATTACTCTAAATCTAATCTAGATTCTAGATCTAGATTTAAATAGATCTACACTTAGATTCTACTCTAGTTCTAGAACTAGATCTAGATTTACTACTAAAGACTAGATCTAGATTTAGTACTGACTAGTGAAGTGTATAGTAGTACTAGATCTAGAACTAGAATCTAGTAGATATAGATTCTAGAAGTTAGAAAACAGTTCGGTCTAGATCTAGAATTATATTTTTTTAAAATTATTTAAAAGCAATGTCAGCTATGTAGTGTGCTACAAATGTAATTGTTATTATATATCTATATATATATATAAACTATAAACTTACCTTGAAATGCAATCAAACAATAAAAACGTAAGATATTTGCAAAAATCAGATGAATGCGGTTTGAAAAAATTTCCAAAATGGCAGCGTTGACATGAAACGACGCCTAACGCAGAGTGAATTGTGGTCGCCGGTAACCCGGGGACATCTATTTTTGGAAAATGATGTATTTACTAGCCAATGAAATACAAAAGTTTAGGTTTATAGACTATTTTTAATTGGGGATATTCGTGTTATTTTTAGAATGACAACAAGAAAAATAGGCCATTAAATACGTGGTTTGGAAGAGCTTTAAAATGATATATTATGTGTTACTGAAATGTAATGGGATCACGTTCTCCCAAAACGGTGATTACCGGCTATTTTCATAAAAAATAAATTATGTAATCAATAGTGATCTTGTATAAACACAAAAATAAGTGTTTAAACACATACTTTGAACAAAATAAATGAATGAAATGCATAAAAAAGAGGCCAATCCACACATGTATAGAAGAAGAAAAAAATTAAAAAAAAATTTTTTATGCGTTTTTTACTGTTCTGGTTCCCCCTTAACCCAAGCAAACAAAACAATTTATTTGCTATAAGACGTCCAGAAAGAATGTGACCAGAAGCCCATGTAACTTCGTCGTCAGGCTGTAGAAGAATGTTACTCTTGGATACAAGATTAAAAAGTATAAGAAGTCTCTTATATGGCCTTGTAAGTAACTTGAAACAACTATCACTGCAATGTTGGATGCAGCGTCACACATTATATAAACATGTTTTGATTTCCTTAAAATAATATTAATTTTAGTTAAGCATTAACTACGGTATTAACTAGTGAAAACACGTGCTAAGCTAAATACATAACTTGCTAAGCTGTGCTGTTTGGATTGCCTAGATTAGTGACCTACTTAGTTTTTTACAGGCAACGTTCCAGGCGTTCTTTGTCAACATGTCTTAACAACAAAGAATACATTTCATAAAGACCAACTTAAGCTGAATACCATACATTTAAAAAATCGATAACTTTTTAATATCGACAAGGGTCTTTGAATACGTGCCAATAGCGCTTTTTAGATCATTCGTTTGCAACATTTAGCTGTGTGTTATTAGTTGGTGAAGTATAAGCAGTATATACACAGGAGGATTTTGTTGTGAGTACATTATTAAATAATTTTTAAATTTATTTTCGTTTTGATAATTATTTACAGTGTATTTGTCAAACTCTAAAAGTTATATTATTTTATTTTTTTACATTTGTACAACATATCACGACAAACATTTTATGTAACCATATTTTTTTTAAAGTTTCAAACTGAACTACTTCAATTATCAAGATAAATAATATACACCCTTAACAAAACAATAAAAATATGAAGCATACTTTACAGACAGAATAATACTTTCTGGTAAAAACGTTAGAACGACACTAGACGAAATTTGAACTTCATTGCAAGTTGTGGTCAGCAAAAGCAAACGGTAGGTTCCTTCTATAAAAATAATACACTATAAAATAATCGTTTATATTTATAATGTTTTTTTACTTTCTCGTATATACGTAGTATAGAGAAAGTATTGTAATCGTGCAAAAAAAAATCGAGATTTTTACAAATCTCGACGTTTTACACCTCACTGATACGGAAAAACATAATTTTGCAATCTTGTCCGTATGTCTGTGTGTGTGTGTGTCTGTCTGTGTGTGTGTCTGTCCGTGTGTAAACACGATAACTTGAGTACCGTTACAGCTAGGTTGATGAAATTTCATATATAAGTATTTTATCAAAATCGTAGATCCGTATCAACTTTTGAGCGATTTCCGATAACCGGAAGTGGTACTTTTCCTACTTTGAATTTTTTAAAAGCCTATAACTTGAGTACTATTTCAGATAGATAAATGAAATTTCACATGTAAGTAAAAGATCTAATTCTCTACCTTCTGTAAAATTTTGAGTAATTTCCGTTGACTGGAAGTAGTAATTTACGCTACTTCCGATTTCTCAAAAAACTAATGTAAATTTTAAAAGTACTAATAATATTGCGCACTATTATGCGCTTTTTTTATTTGCGTTCACTTGGTGTGCAATTAATTTGTCTACGAGATTTTATTCTATTTTTAAAACTTTAAGTATTTAAAATGGATTAAAAATCATGTCTATAGCCCGAGTTTCCATCCCCTGTTATTTTATATAAGAATATTCGAGAAAGTTTAGGGGAGATCACTCCCGGTTTATTAAAAATAGGAATCGCTTTCCATAAACTATCATCTACATAAATATTAAAGATTATTTATTTTACTCATGTAGATGGCTGAAGCTAAAAAAGACCTAAATAAACTCTTGGAACACTTAGTGGACATAAATAAAGAGCTAGAAAGAAAAATAAGGAAACTAGATCAACAGGTTTGCTTTTGAATAATCCTAGTACGTATAATATTAGTTGAAGTAGCTTATTAATTTAATGGGAACACAGGCAGGTATTATAATATTACACAAAATAGTAAATTAGGTCATCAGAGTTAACAATATTTGCAATTCCTTGTTTAAACAAAATAGTTGCTCACAAATAATTTGATTATTAATAATTGTAATACGACTATTAAATAATTTTAAAATAATTTTGCATGGTTTTATCTTTTTAATTAAAAACTAAATTTACAAGTTCCGTATTATTGTGCTCTAACTCTTCTGTTTAGGTCAATTTGAAAACAGAGGAATGTATAAAAAATTATTCTCAAGGAAATATAGACGAAATAAAAGTAGTGGTTGCTCTGGTGAGGAAAACAAATTCTGCACTGCTGGATCATAAAAAAATTATTTCAGGTAATTTTATATTAAAATGTGAAAAAATCACTCCATAGAAATAAATACGCGAAAAACATTAGTATTATTTTCTAAATATACAGATATACAATAATATATTCATAGGTCTAACCATTTTACTGTTGCATTATTTTCATAACATACAATCATGTTTGGAACAACACACAGATGTAAAAAAGAAACTTGATGAGATAAAGACAAGACAAGCAACACATGAAGCAGGTTAGACACAATAACAAAATATTGTTTATTTGATTGCATACATATTAATGACAAACATTTGTATTTTGTTACGCTTGCTTACATTATCTACACAACACATTAAAACTTAACCATTGATTTATAAAATATACATATACCTTATATTTTTAAAACAAATATAAAAAAACATTTATAACAACCATCGTTTAAATACAATGAATATATATATATATATATATATATATATATATATATATATATATATATATATATATATATATATATATATATATATATATATATGCATTTCTCATCTCTATCTGAGCAATATTTTTTTTTCAAAATAAAAGTTGACTGTGGACGAAGTTTAACAATGAAATTAAATTTGACGGACACAACTTGTACGTCAGCTGAAAACGACCATCAAGGAAACGAAAATGAAATATTAGAAATAAATAAAAAGAAAAACACAAGTTTAGAAAAGAGAATTGAGCATGTTGAAACAGAATTAAATTCAGTCAAAGATACAAAACAAAAAACCGAGGATGATTTCGAATATGAAACAGTGGAAAGAAAGCATTTTAGAAAATAGAATTAAATATATTGAGGACATGATTTCTACTCTACAAAAAGCGACAGAAAAAATGAAAGAACAGTCTGTAACAGAAAAGTGTGACATGGATAAGCAAATACTTCAAGTGACGAAAAAAACAAAAAAGAAATTTAAAAACCTCCAACAGAAGATGAATTTACAGAATGATATAATTCACGAGCTACAAAATAAAGAAAGCATTTGCTTACCAGAAATTAACGACTGGAGAGACAAATCCATATCTGAACAAAGTGATTTACTGATCAAAATGAAACAGCTATCCGATGAACAAAAAGAAAATTATTTAAATCTAAAACAGCAGTGCACAGAAGAAGAAATTAAAATAGGTGAGATGAGTCAGCTAATTGAGATATTAATGCAAAATGATGCAAAGACTTGCAGAAGTCTAGAACAAGTTAATATTTATATAGAAACTGCCAAAAGCAATGTGATTGAAATGGAGAAGAAGTTTATAGTCAACACAGATGAGTCAGATAATATTGCAAGAATTGTAGCCAGCCATTCTGAATTGATTTGTGTTTTACAAAACGATGGAAAAGAACACGTTGCTCTCAGCGAAAAAAAGATTGAACAATTAAAGACAATGGTATGATATATGGAAAAAATAATTAACATTTTCTCTGTATTTTAACAACAAATACATTTTTAAATTATTACATACACAATTTATAGGCTATATATATATATATATATATATATATATATATATATATATATATATATATATATATATATATATGTGTGTGTGTGTGTGTGTGTGTGTGTGTGTGTGTGTGTGTGTGTTTCTCTTTTATCTGTCTAGAATAAACCTAATCTTTTCCTATCACTTATGTATATAATTGTATAAGGTTCTACACGGTTGTTAATGCATCGGTAAGGGGAATAAAGGAAGATTTTGATACAAAACTGTAAAGACTTCACGTTGGTGAGATATGGGGCGGTCAAAAAAAGAAGTCGAACTGACATGTAATTACGTAAAAAAAAATACATGGATAAATAAAATGCAGTTTAATTACTTGATTGTAGAGATGAAAATTATTCCGTTAAAATGACAAGTTAATGTAAGATAGTGAACGGCTGTATGTTTTATCCAAAAACATTGAAATTTTGGTCCAAAATTATCAAAATAATGCGTTGCCCCACATCTCACCACTACCCCGTATATGTATATGTATATATATATATATATATATATATATATATATATATATATATATATATATATATATATATATATATATATATATCCTGAAATGCGTTTTACCTGTATAAATAACTAATAGCCAAATGTAAATGGATACAAACTTTTAACCAGAACTTGGAAAGAACATATATATTTTTTTTATTCGTCTTTCTACTTTTGGTGAATTGTCTTTTTAACATTTTTTTCTTTATTCAGCTTACAACGTTAGAAAATGATATGATCACTAGGTCAAACAAAGTGAAAACAATAAGTAAGTGTAGATATTTTATTTTCAATAAATTGTCCAGGGGTTTTATAAAATGTCACATATCTCACTTTACTGTTATCGTGGTTCATTTTATTTTCAAAAAAGGTGAATTAACTAAGTTCGGTGAAAGACATAAGTTAAAATCATCTGTAATATAAATTTATAATTAATATAGGGCATACCGAAATAAAAATAAAATCATTATACGCACTTTCTTTTATCATAAAATATACATTTGATTTCTAATATTCACCGATAGTGCCTTTTATAACGGGCTTCTGTAGCAATTTGTCCATAAGATAATTATTAATTGAAACGGCAGTGAATGTTGTTGTGACATCACATTACCACTGCCCCCATGAAACGCTACCTAGACGTCCACTGAAAATTATGTTAGCTAAACTATTGCCAAATACGTAAGAAAATAAAAATTTTCTTGTTGCTACAACACAGCACATAAGCATGGTCATATGCAAAACGAAAAAAAATTGATATTTTAAACATATACATTTACATAACTAACTATCTTTACCTGGAAGAAGAAATCCGTTGAAAATATAAAATCACATACGGTTGTGTATTATTATGAAAACTAAAACATTACAAGACGTTTTTAAAATTTTAAATAAAAAGTATTTATTTATATATTTTCTTTTTAAATTGGGTAAAATACGAAGAGTGCGAAAAATTACTTAAATTAAGATATTTACATTTTTTTATAGAATGATTTAAGGAGGGTCCCAACAGAATTTTACCGACCAACAAGTTTAATACAAGTGTAATACGTTGCTCTGTCAAAACGGCTAGGGACAAATCGGCTCCGTCAAAACGGCCCCGTTAATATGACCCCGTAAAATCGACCCCCGACAAAAACGAACCAGTAAAAAAGCCCCGTCAAAAGGGCCCCGATTTATTGGCTCCCGTCAAATGGGCTCCCATTTTTTTGACTCGCGACATATAGGCTCCCGACAAATTGACTCTCGACATATTGGTTCCCGACAAATAGTCTCAGGACTTACTTGCTCGTGAGAAACTGGCTCCCGTCATATTGGCTTCCGACATAAGGGAGACGATATTTGTAGCAGCATATGAGTAGAATTTTAAAACAAATAAAATAAAACAATCCAAAAAATGAATCAAAATGTGCTTCAGCATAAACAAAAAAATTATTTTGTTTTCCGTAGTCGAGAATGTTAGTTTGTGGCTTACAACTCAGGGAAACATAGCTCCCTCTTAAACATATATTTTAAGAAATAGTGAACTTGTTTTAGTCGAGTTTTTCAGCGGTGTTCAATAGGCTACATATGTTTTTAACATCACAAACATTAACACAATTCTTGAATTAAATCATACTTAAATTTTTAAAATATTGAAAAACATCATCGAATTATATCATTCTATACATTTTAAATGTATGGGTTTATCGTTAAAAAGTGTGTTCTACCTCATTATTTCGATGAGTGATAAATGTGCACTCAATGTTTTCATGCGGAAGTGTAGGTAAACCCGTGTCCCGATATTTATGATCCAAGCGCAGGCATTGTTTACATTTAAATAACTCACTTTTAGAAAACAAGGTCACGCGTCTAAAAATATAGGATTGGTAACGCATGGATGAAACCCGTCTTATATATTTCGTCGGTCTTTCTTCTGTTCCCGCGGCAACGCACCGGGACGGGTACGCTAGAAGATACTAAAGTGAACAACACTTTCTTTATAGTTATTTAAATATTAGTCTATAATTTATTTTCTCCTTTTTAATGCATTATTACATAAAAGCTTGTTTTTAAAACGTTTTTATTATTTATTTTTGTTAAAAATAATTTGATTTCGGTTTACCTTGTTTACATACATTCTGAACTGAATACAATGTAATATAATGAGTTTATGATTAGGTTTAGTACCATAAACTAATGATAAGACAAAATATTCACAAATATTATAGACCAAATAGTCTGAGTATTCGTGTAATTAATCATGTAAATCATACATATGTTTTCTAATCAACAGAGTCACGTGTATGTAACAGATATGCTTGTTATGTGGAGCTTGATCATCTCACACCTGTAAGTGCTAGATCAATTATTTCAACATTTAGTAAAGTACGTGAATATAACGGTCAACATTTTAATCAAACAACAGGAAAATTTGTATCACCACATGATGGTTTATATCTTGTATGTGTCACTCTACATGAATGGGGAGATAAACAGATTGTAGTTGGTGTGATGGCTGGAGACAGGTTGTGTACGGCTATAGCAGTGAAATGTGCCGCCACTAGCGCTGCAGGGTCAGTGGTTGTTGACATGAAGAAAGGTCAAGAAATTTACCTTGAAGTGTGTTACACAGATCAAGGTGCAAAGTTATCCTGGTTTAGTAGTTTTACTATCGTTAGTTTATAGAAGTACAACAAAAAACATGGTGGAAGGTAAATTCACAAATATATATTTATATATATATATATATATATATATATATATATATATATATATATATATATATATATATATATATATAATCACCATGTTAAGCACACGCTAACAGCTTACTACATGTCTATAAAAAATGTAATAGTTTGTATATTGTTGTTTTTTTAGTCATCATTATACAGTTCCAACTAATTCAATGTGATCACCAATTAACATGCTGTACGTGACCACAATAAACACATAAGATACATCTGTTTTTTCTTAAATCTTTTGTTTCAATGTATATGTGTATCATTGTATTTGTTAAAAACAAAACCTAGTTTTTTGTGTGTAAACTATGAAATTGAAATCCGCATTTTCGGACAAACAAAATGAACTATTAAAAAAGTGGAATAAGTTCACTTGGTAACTTAAATATGTGTGAGATATATTTAAAAAAAAATTAATCCATCTTATGAATTTGTAAATATTTTGAAAGATATTGCAAATAACTTTTGCTTCACGGTAAAAAATAAATAATCTACAGTTATTCTCGAAACAAAAACCGCTCTTGTGATTCTAGTGAGTAACAGTGTATGTGAATTAACACCTACGCAAACACGCACACATAAATAAACCATACATAAGTCTGACAATATATATATATATATATATATATATATATATATATATATATATATATATATATATATATATATATATATATATATATATGTATATATATATATGTATATATATATATATATATATATATATATATAGGCCTATTGCATGTTGGACTTGCTACCCTGTTACTAAGTGACATATAGCTAAGCTGTGTTGATCACAGGGGCGGAACTAATGCCCAAGACGTTTAGGAGCCCAGTTCCGACCCAAAAACAATGAATTTTTTTTTTCAAAAATTATGTTTTTCATGCATCTTGAAAGTGGTTTTGTAAAAAAAGAACAAAAAAACAACAGGTCTACTATAGCAGAGATTGTTGCGTAGAAAAATATTTTAAAATCTACAAGAGCTATAGTTTGAAAGGTAGGTAAACATTCACACTACTTCCATGACTTACTGCCCTTCTTTAAAATAGGGATGCCCACGAAGCTCATTTGAATAGTTTTGTACTATCTATATTAAAAAGCAATTGATTCTCTGAATTGTTACTTAAATAAGACGTACTATACAATAGTATAGCTATAAAAATCAATGTTTTCAAAATTGATATTATAAAACCCCAAAGCCGAGAGTAATAAATTTTTTTATATTTAAAAAATAATTTTCTTGTAAAAAAACAAACAGATCTACTACAGTAGTGATGTTCTACAGTAGCCAACACACGCTGTTTCGTAAAGGAAAAAAATATAAATGCTACATGAGTTCAAACCACTTCCATGTCTTATTTCCCTTTTTTAAATTGCCAAATATGTGTGTTCTTAAGAAACTTTTAATAGATTTGCACTAAACAAATTAAAAAACAATTACTTTTCTTAATTATTATTATTTTTTAAAATACATAATAAAGAATCGTATAGCATAAACAGAAAATGTATTTAAAACTAATAATATAAATACAAAAAAAACATAAAATAATCATAAGGCGAGAAACCATTACAAATACAAGGCTTTAACACTAAATATTGTTTTGACCGACTTAAAGTTTAAGAATCATTATGCCAGCCATTAAAACAGAGAATTTCAAAACAGACTAATAGCACTCACACAAATGAAGTGTTGTTGTAACATGTTTTAATTAAAAAAAAAAAATTCAAATTTCAAACAAGCCCCAATTGAGTATTCTATGTAGGCCTACGTATTTTCATATATATATATATATATATATATATATGGGGCCCAAAAATAATTTTTTTGCGGGGTGGCCCATTTTTTTCTAGTTCCGCCACTGGTTGATCCTAACACAACCGTTAATTAACTAATATCTAGACTCTGTCCATTTATTTATCTAAATTATACATACAGCACCGCCAATGTTACACAAGTATAATAAAAGTAAGAAACATTAGGCAAGCAGAAAGTTACTTCGCGTGTAATATAAACATCAGATTAAAGAAATAATAAGCCTTTTAAAAAGTTAAAACAACTTAAAATATAAAGACATACAGTAAATAAGGAGATATATTGTGTGTGGAGAGGGGGGTCTGGGTTTAATTAGGGATTTAAAAAAAAATGCTTAGTTTATTTAGTTGGGTTAAGGTTTAGTGAAGAATGTAATTTTTACATAACTTAAACAAGGCTACTCGAGTTTTATTTCTTTTTTTAAATGAGAAATAAACCACTATAGTTTACGTGTTTTCGCACATCAAACAACTCTCAAGACCGTTAAGAAGATGATTCGCGTTAAAATGTATATCTGTTCGCCGCAGTTTTTAAAAATAAAACAAGATCTTATTCTATATTCAAATATAGTCGATCCATAAATAGCCGATGCTACTAGTCTGTTTTCGTCTTCTGTTCTTTGTCTAGTCCTGTTGATTAAGTTAAGTGCGATTGCTTTATTTGTTGTGGCTGTTTGATTGGTCGTTTTTTTATATTATCGCAAGTGTTTGCTTTGCTTTCTGTACTAGTATACAATCTAAATACAAAACAAGTCTACAGCTGTATGTTTACTATCACTGAAGTAGCATGGACCTGTCTACTTTAGTGTAGGCTACCAATGGGTCTAGTTGATGTAGAGGGGCAGCGGGTGGGGTAGTCCGCTGCCGACAGTAGGGAAGCACAAAAAGCGGTAAAAGTCAATTTTAATAAGCTGAAGTTTTGGATTATAAATGGTCAAAGTTAAGAAATTAAATGGATACATGTCTTTATTCAATTGCTTTCTACACTGATTGGGTAAATGTGAAGTACACTCTTAAGAACTAGAGACCTGGAAAGATCGTTTACCATCAACATGGGAGGGGGGGGGTGTGCAATTATGTCGGCTTAAATCGGAATGATTTATCCTGGACTGGTAGATGACTGTTATAACATTTAGAAAAGAAACAAAGCGTATTGTGTAACGATAAAATAAGAAAAAAATTGGTAGGGGTGCGTCGCTTCTTTGCCAAGATAAATGGGGATGATTTATATCGAAATGGTAAGTAGATAAATCATTATAAATCTTAGAATAAAAACCAATTGTATTAACGCATAATATACGATTTCACTAGCTAGGCGACGCATCACTTTCCTGTGCACTTGCTTGGCACCCAAGTACAATTGTATGTTTTGTTGCTGATGTCACAAAAACGTAACCCAAAGATAGCTTCTTCAATTATTCTAATATGTGAAATAAACTGTTAATACACATACAATAGTGAATAATAAAACTATTAGCACTTTTGTAGCTTAAATTGACTATTCATTTAGTAATAATAATCATTATAAGTGGGCTGAATTCATGAAGACACAATGTTTGTCCATGTGCTTGAGTCAACGGAGTGTGACGTCATGAAAAAGTTAGAAAAGTAAAGTATAAAACTATTTACGCGAAAGCTGACAATATTTCTGCTTGCGGATCAACTGTCGTTCCGATGAAGAAAGGTCAAGAACTATATTTTAAAGTTCAACAATCATAACCAGGGTCTTTTCTGCAAAAAGGAAGCAGTTTCACTATTTTAAGAATTTAGCTGAAAATAATATAGTGTATTTCTAAACCAAAAATTTAAAATCAAAATATTATCTCAGTTGAATATTATCATAAGTGTTAATTCTCGCTATGAGCTTATAATTATATTTATACACTGAAGAGGTAACGGCGTGGCTATGCAGTAGAGTAAAAGGCTGCTAACTCGAAAGTCTCAAGATAGAATCTGGATCCAGCAAGTTCAGCGTCCACGAGTCCGCTTAGGTCTAATGTCCACCTAACTCAATAACTAAAACTTCTGTTCATATGCCGAGGTCAAGAAATACAAGAACTCTTCATCGTCTGCCTAATGGATCGCTAGGATTATTTACTTTATACACTGAAGATATCATGACTGTTTTATAACTCTATCTAGCATTACTTTTACTTTATATAATATTAAGACTGTATATTTGTAGTATTATTAAGTCCTTAATAAGAAAATAATGAAAAATGGATGCAGTAAAACTAATTTGACAATCATAGATATTACTCTATACTTGATACATATAAATGTATTTTGCAAGTTTAACATTTCTGTTTGTATTGCAAATATATTTTGTATTATTCACGGTGAGTCTAATAAAAGTTAGCTCAAATTATAAATTGGTTAATATCTATTGCTGTTCCATGTGTTGTAGAAAAACTTATTAAAGTGGTATCGCTTTAAGCAATAGTTTGTGTACGAAACCTATCTTCACTATAGACAGATAATATGCAAACATCTCAAAACCATATGAAGAGCCCAGTGCTAAAAGTACTTAAGTCACATTTTTGTGAAAATCAAACCAAGCATTGATCGTTATTCCTCTAGTTTAACTTTATTTTATAAACAAATAGTGATACTGAAGAATTTATTTAAGTTGCTCCTCCAAACAAACAAATAATATAAAAACGTAATGTTTCATAGTAAATTTAAATCTTTGAACTCATTTTTCTCAAAATGTTGTTTTTGTGACTTAAGTACTTTTAGCACTAAGGTCTTCATATCGAAATATAATGTCAAGTTCTTTTCTCGCAAATATGTGCCGAGCACTACATTAACTAACAAACAATGTAAAGAAGGTGGGTGGATTTCTTGGTTGTGAAAACTTGCAATGATCAGCGTGAAGAGAACACTTATCATTTTCATATCAATGGCTCGTCATAAACATGGGCGTCCACTGAGATTTCAAAAGGTCGAGATCCGAGGTTTATATTTCACCCATTTTATTTGCTTGTTATTTATTTTACGCTGACTTTGTGTATTGCAGAGAAATGTATCACTGACATACATACACTTTAGTTTATAAACAGTCTATCAGCAGTCATGTACTGTTTGATTTGATCATAACTTAACTAGAACAGATATAAGTGATAAAACAATTCAATGATTGCATGATAACACGATATGATGCTACATGTTGTATTAAACAAAGATAAATGGTTTGAAATTAAGCTAAAGAACGGATCAGTACAAAGTACACATAAAACAGGCATCACTAAGTGGTAGCTGCAACTTGTGTTCACGACTTCACACTTTGTTTTTTTTCTTTTAAGTGGAGTCACATTTATTATATTGGAACTAGATTGAATAAATGTAAGTGCCAAACATCTTAGAACTTAGGATTATTCAGTCAGATGTAAGTTAACATTTAGCGAACCTAAAGCTAGTGTTAGATTAACTTTCTACATCTGACTTATCACAGACTAGATAGTTGAGCTAATGCACTTTAATGATACAATTATACCGATATCTCGTATTTAATTATTTAAAAATAATTTCAAGAAAAAATGAACAAAACAAAAGCGGTGAACAAAGACCCTACATGGACAAATCACCTGTGGTTAACGGCGGACACAGCGTTTGTGATCATACACCCGTTGATCAAACACCCTCTACTGAGAAAACACCAGTGGTCAAACCCCCTATGGTCAAAGACCCTATGGTCAAAGCTCCGCTGTGGTGAAAAACCCTATAGTCAAAGCCCCTCTGGTCAAAGCCCCTATGGTCAAAGCACCTGCGAAGCATAGCTACTTTATATTGTCTTAAAATTAATTAATATTAGAACACACAAACACAAACTCTTTGAATGTTTAATTGGATGTATTTTAAAATGCAACCGAAAAAGAAATCAAACCATTTGTTAAAAAAAAATTAAGTGTAGATGATAATTCAGCGTGTTCAAATATTTTTCTAAAATAATACTGCAATAATCAGTGAAACATGCTTATTGAAACGATATGCACATGCACACAATATATGCACATTGGATAATAAAAACAATCGAAAATGTTGTAACGTGGAATATATGATAAACTACTTATTTCATAAGCATGATTAAATTTACAATCTAAGTATAGTAAAGCCACTTCCTCCTTGTAGCTTGGCTCCATCATCAGCATAGTCAACTTTAAAGTAAAGTTCATGACCTTTCTTCATTTTAATAACAGTTGATCCAGCGGCAGATGTGTTGGCTGAGTTAACAAGAATGTTCTTATACAATACGTCATCCCTGTACACAAATATTTTAATCAGTTTATCCTCACATTCCTGCAGCGTTACAATCACAAGATAGGAACCATCATCTGGTGCTACAAGTTTTCCTGTGGTTTTATTAAAATGGCTGCCGTTAGGCTCCCCCACGCTATAGAATGATGAAAGAATTGCAAATTCCACGACTTTACAGTTAGGTTACTTCACTCCTTTTTATCTAACCGATCTCAACGCGTGTTTCACCTTAATACCATCTCTTCACAGAAATATGTCAATATAGGGGTTCCACAGGGCTCAATCTTAGGTTCTTTACTTTTTCTTTATACATTAATGATCTTCCATTACACATTGACGCTGGTCAGTGCGAGATGTTCGCTGATGATACTTCTTTACATGTCTTTGCAGACAGTGCTGAGTCACTCAGTTACAAACTTCAAACGTTTGCCAATCAGCTTGCTACTTGGACAAATTTTAACAAAAATGAAACTTCACCCCGATAAAACCAAGTCAATGTTTATTACAACTCATCAGAAACGCCTTCGTCTTCCATCCACCGCATTACGCATTACTATAGACAATACAAACATTGAACAGGTATATAGTTACAAATGCCTAGGATTGGTTATAGATCACAACCTCACTTGGTCCGATCATATTCATTTTCTAAGATTGTCCTTATTAAAGAAGACTTTTCAATTAGCAAGGATAAAGAACTTAGGAGCAGGCTAGTTTTTTATGAAGCTTTTATTCAATCTAGGTTGGATTATGCTTCTGTAGTGTGGAGCGGCAGCTTTATAACTAAGAAGCGTCCTCTTCTATCTTTACAAAAAAAGGGCTATCAAACTGGTTACTGGCTTGTCTAGTAGTCTGGATTCTTTTCTTACAACTAAAATACTTCCATTAAATAAAAAGATAATATATACTAAATCAATTTTCTTATATAAAATATTCCACGAAACAGCCCCCTCTTACTTATCAGACCTATTTTCTTTTAACATAAAATTAAATCGTCGTCTTAATTTACCATTCCCATATACAACTTTTTTCCAAAAACATAGCTTCGCCTACTATGGTTCTAATTTGTGGAACAATCTTCCTAATAAAATAAAGCTATCTAGATCTGAAAATATATTCAAATCTAAACTAAAACTACAATTATTTAATGACCTCTCTAACTGACTCATTGTATCATTTCTCATTCATCTATTATATTCTAATTTTTATCTCATTTTGTATTATAACTATGTAACATTATTTCTTTATTCCACATTTTTAGTGCTGTTACTGCTATGTGTTATTGATTTGTTTTATTTGTTTAAACGGCCAATGTGAAAAAAGGCCTCCGTGCCTACAATTGTAACCGTTTTTTGAATAAATTTGAATAAATTTGAATTTGAATTTCATTCACAATAAAACATCAACTGTTGAAATCGTGTAGGAAGGACACAGTCGTCTTTTTTGGTTGCTGTTATTATAAGTTTTTACAATATCGGCTGGTTGAAAAATGTTCTTTACATTTTCAAAAACAAAAACATCTATATATTTTGTTTTATCACCATAAACATATGTGAAGTGTTTAAGTACTCTCGAAGTCTAAATTGTCAAATCATGGACATTGGTAAACTGATGTTGGTATTATTTTTTATAACAGTATTATAAGTAGACGAATTTAATTATATATATATATATATATATATATATATATATATATATATATATATATATATATATATATATATATATATATATACACATATATATATATATATATATATATATATATATATATATATATATATATATATATATATATATATTAATTTTTTTGCCGGAACAATCATTTTTGCAATGTAATTAGTTATTATTATTTCATATTATAATTATCCCCAAGGAATTACTAGAACTGATTCTAGATGATAACAGATAACATCGGACGGCTTGGCCTAGAAGTAGAGTGCGATAGAAAGCTAGAATCGAGTTCAAATCCGGGTTTAAGTCAGTACAGTATCTCTAGTCCACCCAGCTGCGGTGGGTACCTAACTCACGGTAGGGAAACAAAAGCGGCTGGTCATACTGCTGACCACACTATCCATTTATATGCCGAGGTCTCTGAAGCAGATGAACTCTACAGCTTCTACCCCATGTGTCTTTGGTACGAACGGCTAAAAAGATGAGAAGATAACATAAAACGCTAATGAAACTAAAAATGTTTTAAGAATTTTTTAAAAATTATCTTAAACTAAATGTGTTATTTTATTTAATTAGACTTGGTGCGTTTTATATGCTAGTTAATTTTAATATGCAAGCTTTATTTACACTTTTATAGATGAATTTTGAGTTTAAAAATATTAGTTTAAAAAAAACGTTTTACGATTCTTTTTCTCCATTTTTTTTAAAACGTAAAAAAACATTAGGGAAATTCAAGACACGTAAACATGCTCACTTTATTATCAAATAAAAGGTTATGTACTATAGTTATTATATTTAAAGCGCATGTGACACCTGGAAGCGAAAGAAAAACACCTCAAAGCTCTAAATGAAGAAAAGAGGTGATTTATTAAAGACACAAAATATAATTTCTTTTATTTAGATGCGTCCCAGAATTCAGCTGAAGGTTGTTAGAGAACAGATGAAATATTTGGAAGAACCAATTCAATTGATGGAGCCTGTTATTGGCTTGATGAAAAATGTGAGCGATTATGAATTTCTTTTAATGTTGAATTATGTTATTGTCGTTTCGGGTATAAGCATGTAGGTAGTAAAAAGTTACTTATAGAAGCCATATAGTTTCGACAACTTCAACATGTTTTTTGTCATCAGGCATTGGAAAAAAGTAAGACGTGGATGGAAGATATAAATGACAACCCTTCTATTACATACATAGATCTTTGCCAGGAACTTGCATCAGCAACCACGGCCTTGTTGGATGTAGCTTCAAACATTTTAAGTAAACGTTGAAAACAATACGTCTATGTAATTTATGTAATCACTCATGAACTAAAGCAAAAAACTAATTGCAATTTTAATTCAACTTATTATGTATACTTTTACCAAAAGGCGATAATGAAGAGCTTGTCGATGTTGATGGTAGCACGCCATCTTTAGCTCAGTCTACTCTAGAGCCTACAAAAACAGAAACACCTGACCAAAGTGAATCAATAAATCAAGTGACTAAACTAGTTAAAAATCAAGAAGGTATAAAAAAAATTTTTCGCTAAGTCAAAAAGTTAAAAATAGAATAAAAAGTGTGCAAACATTGAACTTATTCTATTGTATTGGAAATGCTGCTATTACTTTATTTGTTATACATTACAGAAGTAGTATTCACTCGACTGGGACTTTTAGAAAACAGAATATCTTGTCTAGAAAGTTCAATACAAAAAACTAAAGAAGACGCGTCAGAAATAAAACAATGGAGAAAAAACTTTGTAACGGAACAGAGTGACATTGAACAACTGACTAAAAAACAAAAGCAGAATTTTAAAAATCTCAGAAAACAAATGAGTGAGCAAGATAACAAAATCAAGGAGCTGAACAAAGAAATTGAAATTTTAAAAGAAAATGAATCCAAGTCAAACATAACACTAGAGAAACTGTCACTAGATATGAAGGAATATGAAAACAACTTACTTAAAATAAGTAAAGAGTTGCAAGATCACACAGATACAACTGATAGTATAACAGAAGAAATTAAAAGACATTCAGATCAGATGTCTACCATACAAGAAGAGAGTTCTAAAAACATGCTGAATACATCAACTCAATTAGAAAAGGTAAAATTTCTAATTATCTGTGTACACAATTTTACACATGCTGGCCAGATAACGTATTTCACATTTTATAACCTGATTAAATCAAAACACAACTAAGTAACTTTATCAACAGTTTTACCTGTAATATTATTACTAATTTTAAGACACATGTTTTTGTTAGTTATAATGTGCATTAAAAATAATTAAAATGCAATTTTCTGCTCTTTAGCAAAGTTTGATGTACAAACTCCTACAACAAAGGTTGATGCCCATTGACAAACTGATTCAAATCTTTAACCAGAACTTGCAAACAAGGGGAAAAAAATTAACAAAGGTAAATGTGTAGTAATTTGATAAAATATAAATTATCACGTTGATAATTGTACATTAATTATTAAATCTCCGTTAATGGACCAGTTAATAACTAGTTTTCTAAAATAAGCGAAGCATTTAAAATTGTATAATTATAAAATAATCCATGTTTTAAATTATGTTCTATTTTTACAAGCTACCATACCCTGTTATGTTTTACGTAACTATGGGATATTTTTAATCAATTTATAAATTTTTTTTTAGCTGGAAAATATTGAAGATACTATTTCAAAATTGTCCAAAGATTTCAATCTCATTAGTAAGTTTGTCTTAAATGTTTTTATACCAAATCATACAGCCAGACAGATCATATCGTTATGTTCATTAGCCAGACAGACCATAACGTGATGTTCGTTAGCAAGACATACCATAACGTGATGTTCGTTAGCCAGACATACCATAACGTGATGTTCGTTAGCCAGACAGACCATGACGTGATGTTCGTTAGCCAGACATACCATAACGTGATGTTCGTTAGCCAGACCATAACGTGATGTTCGTTAGCCAGACAGACCATAACGTGATGTTCGTTAGACAGACAGACCATAACGTGATGTTCGTTAGCCAGACAGACCATAACGTGATGTTCGTTAGCCAGACAGACCGTAACGTGATGTTCGTTAACCAGACAGACCATAACGTGATGTTCGTTAGCCAGACAGACCATAACGTGATGTTCGTTAGCCAGACAGACCATAACGTGATGTTCGTTAGCCAGACAGACCATAACGTGATGTTCGTTAGCCAGACAGACAATAACGTGATAAAGAATGGAACATTTCACTCACTCATAGTGCCAGTCTCTAGACCCGTGGGTTTCCGTCAGGTGTTTGTTTCCTCACCTGGTACATTACACCACCTGGTATGTCGGGGGTCGACCACCACAGTACCATTCGATATTTACAGAGTTACAGTTTAAGTAAACTAATTTCAAATAACGTCACGTCATCGCTTTATGTTTCTAATATTAAGACGATGCCCCATTAGAGACAGGGATTAAATCTAAAATAAAATAATAACTTGAAAACATTGATAATTGTCACATTTTATTATCTCATTAATTGACTGTAACCTGAAATGAAAAATACAAAAGGTAGACTATGCAGATCTTGTTATGGGTCATTATTAAGTACAACAGAACAAATTTAGTTCTAGTAATTCTTGTTTCAATAGATAATCCATATACAATTAAACTGCCCGAATGGTCAATTGCAGAATGCGACAAATGCCCGAATTGATACTTGCCCGAATGGGACAAATGTCTGAACGGACAATTGCCTGAATGGGACAAATGCCCAAAAGCCACTTACCCGAAGACCTTTTGCCCGAAAAATGGTAACATTGCAGATTACCAAATAGTCATTCTTAATCAACTTAAATTTGAAATTTTGATAATTAAATAAATGTCTTACCAAATTGAAAGGGAACAAAATACTATTAAATATCTTCAAGCATGCATTATGAATTAATTAGTATTTCCTATATTATAGAAAGTGTAGGGCCTACATCTTTTGCTATCTATAAAACAAGACGAAAATATAATTTTCACTTATCTGATGTTTTTAAAATGATTCTCACTTTCTGTATTAAGTAAAAGCTTCAACACATTATCTAAACAAGCTGCATTAAATGAAGATCAAATATAATTGACTACCTTTAGTTTTTAAATTCGCTGCCTAAGGCGCGCTTCATTCAATTGTGAAATAGTCATCACACAAGTTAAGCATAACAAAATAAATCAAACAACGCGTCTCTGTTCAATGTACCGAGACGCCGCGCCGACTACACCGTGTCATAAGCGCTATATAACCACCGCAACACGTCGGCTAAACAAGGTTTTCAAAACTTACATCAAGACAGTTTAAAAACAGCGCCGCCAACATAGCATTACATTATTAAAGAATAACGGTTTTTACAGCAATTTCTCAAGTTTCAAACATTAAATGTTAAATCTTAAAAGTATTCACATTTTCAAAAATATAAACACATTTGTTTTTATGCCCAGAATTGAGTTATCATAATGTCAAACTTGAATTGATTAAGAATGTCTATTTGATATTAACAAAGGCCCATTCGGATATTTGTCGCAATCGGGAAAGTGTCCATTCGGAAATCGACCTTGGAGCAAACGGCTTTCGCGCAAGTGTATTTCGGGAATTTGTCGTACACCCGGTTTTAGCATTTGTTGTACGTTTTGTGACGTTTTAATTGACCTGCTAAACTGGTAAGGTCAATACGTGGGAAATGATAAACTAACACCGGACAAACTAAGGACCGTACTAAACTAGTGGTCTAGTGTTTCAATTTATGGTCTTTGACAAAGTTATGTAAACATTATAGATTCTTATATACAGTTTATTTTTTGAAAAATAATTGTTTGATTTGGGTTTGTCAATTTTACTTACATTATAAACCGCATACAAAACATATAATGAGATGATAACATAAACTAATGAAACGACAATTTACAAATATTATGGATCAAGTAGTCAGAACATTAGTAGAATTAAACATACGAGCCGGCCACGCCGCTATTTAGTTGTTGTTTTTTCTACTTTTCAGTAATTCATAATTTGTGAATTCGACAGTACCAACGCTGCCACTGAAAATATTTCTTTAAAACACTATAAGTAGCTCGTTAAGGACCATAACCCCCCCCCCCCCCTTTTCCTTCGCCCCCCCCCCTACGTTTAAAATCGTTGGCTCTGCGTGTAAACATTTAGAGTGAACACAGCTAACTAAAACCATGTAGGGGTGGGGAGGTAGGGAGCGCGTTTACAGCTTGTTTTCTAGGCGCGTTTGCAGCTTGTTTTCCAGCGGCTCCCAGAAGAGAATTATATATATAGATGTTTTCTAATCAACAGAGTCACGTGTAGGTCGCAGATATGCTTGTTATGTGACGCTTGCTGATCACACACCTGTCTGTGTTGGATTAATTATTTCAAGATTCTGGGATGTACGTGAATATAACGGTCAACATTTTAATCAAACAACAGGAAAATTTGTATCACCACATGATGGTTTATATTTTGTCTGTGTCACTCTACATGAAGGTAAAGATAAACATATTAGAGTTGGTGTGTGGGCTGAAGGCATGTTGTGTACGACTATAGAAGTGAAATGTGCCGACACTAACGCTGCTGGGTCTGTGGTTGTTGACATGAAGAAAGGTCAAGAACTTTATTTTCAAGTGTTGAAAGCAGATCAAAACGCAGCTTTATCCAACTACAGTAGTTTTACCATCGTTGGTTTATAGAAGTAAAACACAAAACAGGATGGACAATACATTTTTAAAACACTAAAGTATGTAACCACTATGTTAAACACACGCTAACAACCTACTATGTGTATAGACTACAAAAATGTGAATGGTTAATATGCTATTTGTTTAGTCGTCATTACACTGTTCCATCTAATTTAATGTTATCACCAATTAATATTTTCTTCTTGACTACAATAAACATATAAAATAATTATATTTTTTACATATATTTTTTCTTTGTATATGTGCACTAAGTGTAACCTTTCGTGCGCTAAAAATGTAACATAGTTTGTTTTCTTAAATATTAAATTGAAATCCGTATTTTTGAGACAAACTATTTAAAAGACAACTGTTTAAGTAAGTTCACTGGACATCAGTGTGTATCATATATATTGAAAATAATAATCCATGTTATGCAATTTTAAATAAATTGAAATAAACGGCAATTAAATCTTATAGTAATTCAATGTAAAAAAACAAACAACAACCTGTATTGTCTTTCTATTGAGTAGCATTGTATTGATAAATTAGCAACTACTCTAACAAACACAATAGGCCACACATGTTTCTACATTATAGATATTCAAACATTTCTATTTATACGTATATATATGTGTATAATTATGTGTATTTGTATATATATATATATATATATATATATATATATATATATATATATATATATATATATATATATATATATATATATATATATACATATATATATATATATATGTGTGTGTGCATGTGCATGTTTAACTTAACCTAAACCTAACCCTAAACCTGAACCTGAACATAATCCTAATGCTAATCCTAATCCTTAAACCATCATATTATTGAAAGGGATGAGGTCCATTTTCTGACAATGTGTTTCGAGCGGAAAGTGATAAGGAAATAACGTGTAGGAAGCTTGACTATAACAACATGTTTAATACTCCCAGCAATGTTCCACTTCCACAGGGTCTTATCCATTTGACACAATAGTTACTGTGTCTAGGGCCTACGAACGTTTGGGTCTACACAAATTCAGAAAGCAAATAGTGAAAAAAACAGTTAATAAATAAATAAAATATAAGAAGACTTTTGTTTTAATTTTAGTGTGTGTGTGTGTGTGTGTGTGTATAGAGTTAGCCTGATAGAACAAGAAAACCAACAAGGTAATGAAAAAAGCCCAGTTGCTCAGCCTAATTACAGCACCAGCTGTCGCCACACTTAACGCGGAGAGGGACTCGCATTAATCATCATGAGCTGTCAAACCGAGCGGGCAAAAAACCCATTAAAGTGGTAACAGCTGTCGCCACACTTAACGGTGGGTTCACGGATAAGCACTTAACGCATTTGATTAAACACCGGACCCCTGCGGTGATCGCTTCCGCGAACTCGACATAAATCGATGATGCGTGACCAATTTAATTAGGCCCTTGTACGGTCCTTCTAAAAAACAAAGGATCGCTGGTGAATCGATAAGTAACAGCTGTTGATAACGAATAGCCGCGGTCGGAACAGCTGTGTCCCCTATACAAAGAACCTTCTAGTACACGCTAGCGCACCCCTCCCCCCAACCCCCGTCATTACTCCCCTCTCCTCCCCGACCATCCCTCTCAACCACCACCACCCCCTCTCCGTTTACTATTAAACATACATACAATCAAATAAACAAACCAACAAATAAACAAATAAAAAAAAATTAAAAATTTAAAAAATTTAAAAATTTAAAAAATTAAAATCAAATTACGTAACTCGTTAATAAAAATTACACAATATAAACAAAGTAATTAAATTAAACAACAAGTAAACAAACAAATTAAACAATTAATAAAAGTAAACAAATAATCAAATTACGTAACTAGTCAATAAAAATTAATTAAAATTTTAAAAATTAAATTCAAACTAATTAAAAAACGCATTAAAATTACGTTACTAGGTCACTGATTACGTCATAATGTCACTGATTACGTCACAAGGTTACTAATTACGTCACCCTCCGCTTCTCCGCCAACACTAGTTGGCGTAGTATTTTACTATATCTCATTGTCCCTTCCGCATCCGCTCCTCCGGCAGTTGGCGTACACTCCTCCGGCAGTTGGCGTAGTATTTTACTATATCTCATTGTACCTCCACCACCACCATCACCACCGCTCCTCCACATCCCGCTGCGCCAGGCTGGGAGTATTTTACTATATCTCATTGTACCTCCACCACCACCACCACATCCGGGTGGTGGGAGTATTTTACTATATGTCATTGTTCCTCCACCATGACTCCTCCGCCAAAAATAATAATCAAAAGTGACCTAATATACTACTGCTGTTGAGATTTTTTAACTCTTAAATTAATGCAACCATCACCATTTTATTGCCATATAAACATTACACAATCTGGTGTAGGTGTCACAGCCGCTGTTGAATGTTGGTCTTACGAATGCCAAAAACGCCTGGCCCTACCAAGACAGTGAAATGGCCCTGCTCCCTACCCCCATTTATTAATTCGCAAGTCGATTACCCCCCCCCCCCCCTATGTACACATCCCCGCCCAAACCGTTCAGTAGGACATTACCCCCTAATCAATTACTCACCTCCCCCTTTCACCCGTCAATTTGAAATGGAGATCCAAGTGGGGGGGGGGGGGGTAGCAGAAAAGCAGCTTTGGAATCAATTACGTATAGGTATAGTTTTTGAAGTGTTATATATATATATATATATATATATACCTATATATATATATATTGCTCCTTTTTCTGGACTAGCCACCCCTAACATGAAAACCTCTATACGCCTCGGGCTGGAGATATTGGTTTTCAATTAGAAGATAATAGGAAATATTTTAAATTGCTATAACATGTTATAAATAGAATATACTTGTAATTGGTAATCAATATTAATTCTTGTATGCTATTTATTCTAACTGCTTTTTGTTTGGGATAAGTAGTCCAAAAAAAAGATAGTTCGTCATATGATTCAAAAAACAAAGCAACATACAGTTTATTATAACAAAATTATAACACAAATGTGTGTTTTTCGTATAAAAATTGTAGTTTTTTATGTTACATATTTAAGAGAATATAATACGTTTGTCATTGTGTAAATGTCTGTGTTTATTTTCTTGTAAAACAATGCAGTAACCTAAAGTTTAATTTTACAAATTAGTATAAAACCTAATACATATAATATTATTATTATAAAAAATTATAGTTCCAATAATTTAAAGTTGTTCATTGCAAAAAAAAAACCTTGTTTTAATTTAAGTCACTTGAATGTTAAGCGGTTAAAATATACATAAGAAACAAATCATGGTGGTACAATGAATATGTTAGTTTGATGATTTAGATATGTTTTCTGTCCTGAGCCATCAGAGAGCTATAGTCAGGGGGTGGGGACAAGGTCTCCAGATGGACACGGCTTGCCAAGACTTCATACGGGTAGACTTTTGGACTCGTTGGGCGCTTGGGACTTTTCATGACGTATCTGTTAGAGATAGAATAACATGTTGCTGTCAATAGATCAACTGTTGTACTTGTAACTGTATGGTGTGGTATGGCTGTTGGTGTTGTTTACAATTATAAATTATATATTATTATTCTATATACCAATACATGTTCAACCTCAAACATACTGTATTCTAGTAGCTAATTGATTGCAGTGATAAATATGCAGCAGCATACACATACTGACTTATCTAAGGTACGCTAGAGTACACATACATTCTAATATTTACCTTTTGATGAGGATGAAGCAAACGACAAGAAGAGCACCAAAAGCTACCAGACCAAGCGTCAGACCAACGATCATCCCAATGTTGTTGTCTTTCTCTTTTACTAAACAAAGGTAGAATAGATTAACTATATTCATGTCTTTTGCAGCTTCTAGAGTCTAGAGTAACGTCGTAATTTTCTTTACCTAAACACGAGTAGAATGGATTAGATATTTATGTTAGTTGCGTATTTGTTTATTTTAATTAGGCACTTATTTTGAAGGCTGCTACAGTATACATGAAAATTATGTATGATACGTTTTGTCTGCAAATTACATATAAAAATTTGAGTTTTTGTTTTGCAAGCCAAAATATTGTTTCTATTAGTATAATAGCCAGCATAAAAGCCAGTATAATAGCGAATATAGCAGCCAGTTTAACAGTCATTATAACAGTCAGTATAACCGTCAGTATAACCGTCAGTATAACCGTCAGTATAACCGTGAGTATAACAGTCAGTATAACAGTCAGTATAACAGTATAACAGTCAGTATAACAGTTAGTATATCAATCAGTATATCAGTACAACAGTATAGCAGTCAGTATAACAGTCAGTTCAACAGTATAACACTCAGTATAACAGTATTGCAGTTAGTATAACAGTATAACAGTTAGTACAACAGTATAACAGTATAACAGTATATCAATCAGTATATCAGTCAGTACAACCGTATAGCAGTCAGTATAACAGTTATGCACTAAATTTTAAGTTTTACAATCCAGCAACCATGTTAAGGTATTAGGGATTTTCTATTTTTAAAATTTTATACTGCAAATGTGATTTTTAAACAGTGTATGTAATACTAAGTACATGTTTTGATGCATAAAATATGTTGATCCTGTGATCACAGAACAATTGTAATAGCCTGACTTCATGAAACACCTGCAGAACTTTTCATTGAGCTACGCTGTCTTGTGATTAGAGTATAGTTAAAAGTTATACATACTGAACACAATACTTACCAGTAGACCTTTTCATCGAGCGAGGTTGTGTTGTGAGCACGGTATAGTTGCAAGAGTTGCACACATTGAACAACTGGGCCTGTACGTTGGACTGAATCTGAGCCTTCATTAGCTCTGTATCACCTACTGGACCTGGGTATTCGACCTGAACTTTGAAACTCCTTTCTTCCACGGTTTTGAACTCTAAAATTAATTAAAATGATTGATAAAGTAGTCGCATAAATGAGATCAATGCTTTTATTAAATAGCTTAAATATCTCATTTTGTTGAAATGCATGAATGTATTTGTGGTAACATGGGATATCAATACAAATACAAAAATAAATAGAAATGTATAATACTAAGACTAAACGTTATATTTAGTTGCAGAAAAAATGTAATTTAGAAAGTTTCTTATTCGTGCACTATATTAGAAGTTACTTATAAATTGTAAATTTCCGTACATTTCCGTAATATCTTAGCTGTGCCAGTTTCCTAATTTACCGACGCTGTATAACGATGTGTACACTTTTTAAACCATGTATATGGATATACTTCTGCACCGTCAACAAAGCGCAACTCCCCCCCCCCAGTAGAGTGTGTGACTATGAATATAAACGACCCATATAAAACAATTATAAGATCAACAAAATACATTCGAAATTAAAATATTGAAGTCCAGTTGAAAACCTGTCCTTGTTCAAGTTAATATAAGCTAACAAAGTTAGTTATTGTTACAGTACTTTATAGACATATATGTATATTTTAACCGCCTAACATTCAAGTGACTTGAATTAAATTTTTTCTTGCAATGAACAACTTTAAATTATTAGAACTTTAATTATTTTATAATAATATTATATGTATTAGGTTTTATACTAATTTGTAAAATTAAACTTAAGGTATTTGCATTGTTTTACAAGAAAATAAACACAGACATTTACACAATAAAAAACATATTATATTCTCTTAAATATGTAACATAAAAAAACAAATAAAATTTTTATACGAAAAACACACATTTGTGTTATTATTTTGTTATAATAAACTGAATGTTGCTTTGTTTTTTTAATCACATGACGAATTATCTTTTTTTTGGACTACTTATCCCAAACAAAAAGAAGTTAGAATAAATAGCATACAAGAATTAATATTGATTACCAATTTCAAGTATATTCTATCTATAACAATGTTATTGAAATTGAAAATATTTCCTATTATCTTCTAATGAAAAACCAATATTTCCAGCACGACGCGAATAGAGGTTTTCTGGTTAGGAGTGGCTAGTCGAGAAAAAGGAGAAATATCACGATACAGGCCCAAAACATTTTGCGTTAAAAGCTGCAAGACTTGAATCGATAAAAATAAATGGAAAGTTGTTTACAAAGGAACGTATCAAGATATTTTAGACGCCTTAGACAATTGTATTTGTTACTTCCCTTTTTCATGGGTTGTGCTGATGTTTGCTTTGAACCCTCTAGCATCTTTAAAACTATTAGTTTAGTACTGCCCTCGTCAAAATTCTGAACTCTACTAAATAACAAATCTCTATATTGTTTTAAATTAAACGACTGTAAATGAAAGTATGAAAAGTATGAAAAGTGGCAGTCACAAATACTAAACGAAAGAAATGTTAAACTATTAAGTAGCGGTAAATTCTACTATGTTTAGTGAATTTTAATAAAGTTTTATTATGTTTAGAGATAAAGTTTAGCATTAAAAGTAAAAGTACTAAGTACATTAAAGTGATCCAAATGTTTGCCTAAAAGTCCAAATAGTAACTGCATCCCTTAAGTAAGCTCAAGTCGGCTTGTATCCAATAAAAATACGTTTAGTAAAACCAGTTAATTGCTTTACATTTGTTTTGATAGTTTAATTTTTTGATACAACATGTTTTTTTGTTTTGCCATTAAAGTCCATTAATGGGGATGGATGTGATGTACCATTAAAAGGGAGGACGCTAATATTGCAAAGAAAGCTATGGATTTCAATCGACACGGAAAAATAAAAGTTGACCAGTCGAAGAGATCACGGAGAAGAACCATAGAATGTCTGCTTCTGCTGAGTTGTTCAATTCTTGTTGTCCTGTTTTTTCTGTTGTCTCTCCATTGTTTTATTTTTAATATGTGATCTTTAGTCTTTTGTTTCATTATTTAAAGAGAAACTATAGCTTTCTCTAAATTTTCACTCAAATCTGATACACATTTATAACTCACATGAGTTCGATTTAGATTATTGTGTATTAAAACAAAAAAATTATATGTAAATGTGACGTACCTGTGTGACAAAATGACTTAATGACTTTGTGGTGGGGGTTGTACTCTACATCTAAGTAATAGATAGGCATAATAAAGGTTCATTTTAAAGTAACATCTGCCTGTAAGTACAAATAGGCTAAATACATGTTCATTTTAAAGTAACATCTGCTTGTGACTTATAAAGTGGCACCTTAAAGTTATTCTAAATACATGTGACTCCAAATGGGATACCGATACTAAAATACATATGACTGTAAAAGTGATGACCTACACACATATTTAGACTACCAAATGGGATTCCGATACTTAAATACATATGACTGTAAAAGTGATGAACTACACACATATATAGACTACCAAATGGGATGCCGAAACTTAAATACATATGACTGTAAAAGTGATGACCTACACACATATTTAGACTACCAAATGGAATACCGATACTTAAATACAAATGACTACAAAAGTGATGACCTACACACATATTTAGACTACCAAATGTGATACCGATACTTAAATACATATGACTACAAAAGTGATGACATACACACATATTTAGACTACCAAATGGGATACCGATACTTAAATACATATGACTACAAAAGTGATGACATACGCACATATTTAGACTACCAAATGGGATACCGATACTTAAATACATATGACTGCAAAAGTGATGACCTACACACATATTTAGACTACCAAATGGGATACTGATACTTAAATACATATGACTACAAAATTGATGACCTACACAGATATTTAAACTGCCACAAGATAATATCTAGTGAAGGACAGTTTCTGCACTCATCTCGTTTTTATCCACCCCCCCCCCCCCTACGTTATTCTATGTTTCAAACATCAAGAATAAGTGTATTGAACATATAAATGTTCACTTTTCTTTTAATTTTGTTTACATTAAGCTATATTGATCTGGTAATTCGGCAAATTAATTTATAGTTAAATCATTAAGGTTAGACAGAGATCTCATACTGACAGCACATAAACCAAACGACCAAACAATAAATTTAAAATAAAATATATACTACTTCGAATTCTTATGTTGTCTACCAAGTTATAGTCTAAAGGTTGATATTGTTTACTTTCCCTAACATTCGACATGTATATAGTCGTTTTGTGAAACAGTAAAGTATTTTTGCTAAAATGGGTCATCAGACTGTTGTACAAGAAAAAAAAACCGAATGCAGGAAAAACCCGTGTTATATTTTTAGTAAACAGGAAATAAGATTGGTGTACTAGAGGAAACTAGTCGCTGTAATATTATTTTAATGTATGTATGGCCTAACTGGCACATTACTTCACTGCATAGCTTTCCAATTTATCTGCACAAATGACAAGTAGCGCTTACATATAAATATGTAATTTACTACGTTGCAATTATGTTACACATTTATCCATTTATCTTACCTGTAACGTGTAAACATTCAAGTTAATCTGTAACCGACTGTTCAATGCATCAAACTGTTCGAGCAAAAATCTGAAAAGTGTCTCTGGTGAGAGGTACTGAGACATCTGATAAAAAATATAGCTATAACAAGTGTTTAAAATAATCTATATAAGGCTTCTGGACTAACACAGTACACTTTTTATGCCTAAACTATTAAATTATAAGTTGATTTATTAAAAAACGTACAATAGTAACGATGTAAAAATATATTGACAATATTGGGGAAGTTAGAGAACAAAAGAAGTGTTATCGTGTAAAATAGCACAAACAAATTATGAAATTACCTAAAATTATTTCAGATAATTTAATAATTACTGCTCAAGCAGTGCATTGGTTAATGCTGATAACAGTACAATCCATTTTAAAAATCTATGTTCGCTTATCATTTCTTACGGCGAAAAATGTGCGGCAATGTTTTTAAATTAAAAAAAAAACATTTAGAAAAAATTCTTGCTGAAAAATAGTTTTAGTATTTATACAGACGGTAAGTGATACAAATTATTGCAGTAAATTATCTATTTTGTTTGAGGGCCTACGTTAAGCTTATCATAGTTCCTTTCCTTGTTGTCAGTTTAATGACTGTATATTTTGTATTTGGTATTTCCAGATTTCTGTGGATTGCTGCGAGTGAAACTGAAACAGCCTAACGGGAAATCCCGTTATTATCTATTCCTACACGTAGGAATTCTGTCTAGAAATAAACAGGAAATTGTTATATTTACTGCTTGAAAATTAACTTTTAACAAAAATTATATATATTTTTTTTAATTGTAAGTATTATTTCAAAAATAATTTGTGTGATATGAATATATGTGCCTCAGTTTATTTAATTCACACAAAAAAACGGTAAAACCTTAATTTAGCGTCGTAAATTCCAGCGTAGCTAGTAATGTGCGATGAAGGTAACTAATGAATATTTCTTTTAAGTGGCCATATTTATGACATATTTTTCATAATATAACTGATAATTGAATAACAAATCACAATCCTTGACCAAAGCAATCAAAAATATCATGGAATAAACTTTAAACTATCCCGTTCGAGTAAATACAAGCAGCGGCCATGTTTCAAAAACAATAATAGAGTAGTTACCCTTGAAAAATTGTCTATTCGCATGTCTGTTGTGTTGATTTTGTAGTTTAATATGGTTGTTTTGTTTTGTATTGTTTTAATATATGCCTGTTTAGTAATTTTTCTTTTTTTTCAATATAGTTGACATGAATGACTAATACTAATAGACCTTTTCAGACTTAATAGTGTGCATCCAAGACCACAACAATTGTTGGGAGGTCGAACTTTTGAACACTTCATTTGCAGTAATCAAATCAATATTAGATCGCCCATAAATGACGTCGCTCTTAAGTTAGTTATGACAGCGAGCATTATTACAGAACAAACATATTAACATATTATTTCAGATAGAAATTGTGATTTGTGGTGGGGAGAGGTTGAGTAGAACTCAGCGATGTGATTTTGAGACCAGTCAGGTTTTTTTTTTCCTGAAAAAAATGGTAGTGGGAGAAAGACCAGCTGTAGAAGTATGACGCGTCATTCATTGGTGATCCATTTTCTCAGTGGGGACGATAGAACTATTAAGAAGGGTCAAGACATGTAAAAAGCATGCTGAGTCGCATTTCTTGAGCCCCACCCTTTCATCCCCCACTTAGCACACCATCAGCGAGTTAACGCTCGCGCGTGACGTCATGTACCGGTACCGCCGACCGTTAGGCTAATTTTACATAAAAAAAACAAGCACTGTCGTTTTGACACTTGTGCGACGTTTAATTTGAATACTTATGTTGGTGTTCAATTGAACAGCCCCTCACACATCTATCCCTCGTAAATTTAAACATAAGTGGTTATTTCTGCAAGCTTGTGTCTTGAGACTTTCGGCCCTTTAAAAATGTTTTAAGCTTCCACCGTATAGAACTAGACTACCCGTATTAAGCTCCAAAAGAAGCTTGGTGAAAACAGGATGGCCGTCCGATTTTGAAGCTGTTCTGCGCTTTATAAAAAGCACAATAAACGATAAGAAGACAGTGGCGGAACTAGAAAAAAAAGGCTCCCCCGCAAAGAAAAAATTAGGGCCCCCTATATATATATATATATATATATATATATATATATATATATATATATATATATATATAATCTATATCCTAACTGAGTAATTTAGTCTATTTCATTGCAATATATAACCATTCTGAGAGAACAAACCAGAAAAAACTTAGTCCAAACCAATCAAGAGGTTTGAGTGAATCACAAATATGATGGTCAAAAATATATAAAGACGTTAGCTTGATTCGTGAATGGTTTCTCGCGTTATGTTTATTTTTTTCATTTTTGGCTTTTATAATATCAATTTTGAAAACATTGATTTTTATAGCTATACTATTGTATAGTACGTCTTATTTAAGTAACAATTCAGAGAATTAATTGCTTTTTAGTATACATAGTACAAAACTATTTAAATGAGCTTCGTGGGCATCCCTATTTTAAAGAAGGGCAGTAAGTTATGGAAGTAGTGTGAATGTTTACCTATCTTTCAAACTATAGCTCTTGTAGATTTTAAATTATTTTTCTACGCAACAATCTCTGCTATAGTAGACCTGTTTTTTTTTTTTACAAAACCACTTTCAAGATGTATGAAAAACATAATTTTTGAAAAAAAAAATGCATTGTTTTTTGGTCGGAACTGGGCCCCTAAACGTCCAGGGCCCCCCCGCATTGCGGGGTCTGGCGGTATGGTAGTTCCGCCCCTGTAAGAAGACACTTATATTAAAGTAAATTATAGTTCTGAATCTTGATACAGTAAAAGTGATATTCGAAAATTAAGAGCCAGACAGTCAACATGATATTTCAATTAAAGCCCAAGAAAAAAAAATTCTCAAACGATGGAACATTACTAAATTTTCGCGCAGTTTCGCGAAATTGAATTAAAGTATTTACGTCATCTTACAAAGCGCGATAGCCTACTGGTGCTCTAACGCGTGCCCATGCTAATGGCCGTATTCCTAACGCCCCGCATTAGACGCGGTTTATCCGTCGGCAGGCATTTGGTGGCAAGCCTTTTTGACGGGGATGTGTGAAGGCCGTTTTGACAAACGTCTCAAGCTAGCAGGCTTGCAAAATTTATGATGATTCGTTTTGAGCAAGGTACACGTATAGGCCTACTAATGCTTTTTTATCGTTATTTTGATTGAACAAAGCATTATAATTATAGAGATTCTCCATCAATCATCTAGGTATTTTTCCCCGTTCACCTCCTTTCATGAGACCGACACATCCTAAATTGCGGAGCCACCTGAGTTGACATCACAAACCTTCACTCACTCCCGTTACAAAAGTGACATCATTTATGGACAACCCCATATCACTCATTTGGGCATTTGGTATTGACATTTTGACAACAAATGATAACAAGAATGTGTCTGACAGGTGGAGACTTGCGATCGACCATAATGACAAAATGCACTTAAGGGGTGGAGTGGCTGATTGCTTTAGATGATGTTTTACGAAAGAAGCTGGTGGATAATACATTTTGTCTCTCTGTAGGCCTATATATAAATGATGACAAACATTTATTGTTGTCAAAATTATGGCTAGAGATCTTAGATAAGGCAGAGCGAAACGTAATTTTTTTACATTATGACTTGTGACATTGACAAAAAAATATAATGGAGGTTGGGGTTTAATTAAGGTAAAGAGAAGTAAAAAAAATGTCATAAGTTACGATAGAATCACTAATTGATGAAAAGCAAAACCTGAATTGAAAATAGTGAACATTCAAACAATAAGAAAAAACTCAAACTGTATAGGGGGTCATCCATAAATGACGTCACACTTTTTTCTTACGATTTTACCTCCCCCCTCCCCTCCGTCACACATCGTCACAAAAAGCCAGACCCCCCCCCCCCTAAAATGACTTCACACCTCAGCCTACAACCCCCCCCCCCCCCCCCCCCCTCAAAATTGCAGTTGAATTTTTCTTAAAACATGATGTTTTTCCCTAATCTTGTCTGAACTCAGTCAAAATAGAGTATTTTAATCAATTCCTATTGCAATTTATTAAAACAGCTTTCTAAAACGCGAAATAACGTCTAAAATTCGTTTTCTAGCATTGCTTTTTTATAATGCGAAAGTGTGACGTCGCACCATCGGAACCACCCCCCTCCCCCTCATTACACACCGTCACAAAATTACGGACCCCCCTCCCCCCTACGAGTGTGACGTCATTTATGGACGACCCCATAGTAATAGTAATAATCAAATAAACATAGTACAAAAAAACGTGATTTTGTACATTGATACAAGTTGCATCTCACAATACTTCTAGAATTAATAAAGTTGTTTGTGAGGAAATTCAGTTTTTAAAGGGCAGAATTTAAAAAAAAAAAAGCTTTGTTGGACGGACTATACAACAAGACAATCATTTAAATACATTTTCATACGAATAGAAATGAAAGGGAAGCTACTCTAAATAACATTTTCTTAAGATGGCTGTTGTTTTTAATAGCAAATTTACTATCTCGAACAGGGTTGATAAAAATTAATTTCAGGATATTTAAATTGATTTAACCATAAATGGTGATCTATTTTTCAATTAATTATAATATTTTATCAAAATATACGAAAATATACTCATATTTAATGACATATTCATTAATTCACTCTCTCCTACATTACTAGTTTTGGCCGAATTTACGACGCTAAACTAAGGTTTTACAAAAAAAACAATACTGCTTTGAGTATAAATGCAGATCTCTTACTCACAAAAAAGACACTACATACACAATAATTAAAATGTCCATCACACAGACAGATCTGGTACTTCATTAGCACATTAAGTTTAACAACCCGAGCTGTATATTTTTATTTCGACACTCTCGTATTTTGGTGTGTTTAGCTAAATAATTTATTAACTAGTGACTAATTTAGAACTACAAGCAGGACGTTTTTATTTAGAGCTCTAAACTATGTGTCCAGTGGCGGAACTAGAAAAAAAGGGCCACCCAGCAAAAAAAAATCTGGCCGCCCCCCCATATAAATAAATAAATAAATATATATATATATATATATATATATATATATATATATATATATATATATATATATATATATATATATATATATATATATATAAACAAACAATATGAACATAGGATACTAATTTATAGCCTGATCGGGTTTTGAAAAAAAAAATTCACACAAAATTTCAACAACATCTCAAGTGTGTGAGTGCATGTTTTTGAAAATTGTAATACTGTAAAATTGTAATGTTCGACCGAAATATTTCATAGCCTTTAGTTGGTCAAAAGTATATGAAATATCAAAGCTTTGTATATATAATGGTTATGTTTATTTTTGTCTTTTTGTATTTATATTATTAGTTTTAAACACATTTCATTTTTATACTATGACATTCTTTAGTATGTATTTAAAACATAATAATTAAGAGAAGTAATTGCTTTTTGTTGATTAATACAAATTATTATTAAAAGGAGCTTATGAGCACCCCTATTAGAATATTTTAAAAAAGGGAAATAAGTCATGGAATTGGTTTAAACGTTTGCCTATTTTTCACAATGGTTTAACAACAAAGGGAAAAAGAATAATTATAAAATTATCATTAAAAAAGTTAAAAAAACCCCACGTTTTCTTATTGAACTAAAAAGTAGAAAATAAATGCTATACATCACAATAATGCAAGCGATCACTCTACTATAAGCGATGAATATATATATATATATATATATGTATATATATATATATATATATATATATATATATATATATATATATATATATATATATATATATATATATATATATATATATATATATATTTAGATATTTATATATATATATATGTATATAACTTTAATAATATAAAATGCTAGTTTATAGAAGTATATGTTCTAATTTTTCTCGTTTTTATTACTTTCTCTTATACGATGCATAGAGGACGTATTGTAATCTTGTATAAAATAATTATTGAGATTTTTACAAAACTCGACGTTTTAAACCTCCATAAGTTGTAAAAACATACTTTTGCAATCTTGTCCTGTATCTGTGTGTGTGAGAGTGTGTGTGTATGTGTGTGTGTGTGTCTGTGAGTACCGTTACAGCTAGGTTGATGAAATTTCATATATAATTATTATTTCAAATGTGTAGTTCTATAACAACTTTTTAGTGGAACTTATTCTAATTTAATTTTTTTTCAAAAGCCTATAACTTGTGTACTGTTTCCGACAGATAAATGATATTTCACTCAAATGAGAAATTTTCGGTCACCTGAGGTAGTAATTTACGCTATTTCCGATTGATCAAAAAATATATGTTAATTTATAAATTTATATAAATATTCCGCACTATTATACACATATTGTTTGGAGTTCACTTGGTGCGGAAATTTTTTTCTACGAAATACTTTTCTATTTAAAAAAATTAAGTAATTTAAAATGGATTAAAAAAACATTTAAAAATCATGTCTATATCCCGAGATGCCATCACCCGTAGTGTTATATAAGAATATATGGTTTATATATTTCACTTTCTGTCACTATAATACCTTGGCTATATTTTGCACTAATGTTTCTTTATAAAATAAATGTTACAAATGTTGACAGTGTAGAACTACTAGGCATCCAAGACAAAAGAAGCGTGAAAAAGAAAAATGCGCTCCAGATTTCAGCTCAAACATGTTACAGAATTCAAGAAATATTTGGAAGAACAGATGCAACTAATAGAACCAGTCATTTGGGTTATGCGAAACGTAAGCGATGATTTAAAAATATGTTCTGTAATTACAACAAGGTATACAATGGCGTAACATGTATTTCATTTCTAAAAATATGTATTTGCTCTATTTAATCAGGCAGTAGAAAAAACCAAGATATGGATAGAAGATAAAAATGACAACCCGTCTATCACCTACAGCGAGCTATGCCAGGAACTTGAATCAGCGACCACGGCTATGTTGGGTGCAGCGTTACACATTATAAGTAAATGATTAGACAACAATAAGATAAAAAATGTTTATAACATTTATGTACTTAATCACATACAGTGGGAACAAGTAGAACATAATCTATTGCTTAATTTTCTATCAGAGTCTAGGACATTCTAAGTGATTTGCACGCGTTATAATTTATTATATGAAATCAAATGTCTGCTGAAATCTTCCGCTTACACAAGTAAATATGTATAAATTACAATAACATGTCATTAATACACAAGAATTAAACAATTACTTAAAAGTAAAATACTAAAGTGTTAGATTATAATATTCATTTATAACAGGTGAAAATAAAGAGACGTTAGATGTCGATGCAGCAACGCCATCTTTCTATCAGTCTACAACAAAAACTACAGGAACAGAAAAACGCGACTGGACTGAATCAACAAATCAAATCACTAAGCAAGTGGAACAAACAGACGGTAGAATCTATTTTTTAACGTCGTTGAAAAAAAAGCAACCTTGAACATATTAGTGTATCTTTAAATATATTTCTTCAAAGAACACGCATTTAAGATTCGATTAACTTTATATTATTATGCAACAGAAGTATTGAGTCGACTTGAGCAGATAGAGACAGCCATATCTTCTCTACAAGACGCCAATGACAAGTCTACAGATGACATATCAGAAATAAAACAATGGAGAGACAACTTTGTAAAAGAACAGAGTGACATGGGGGTAAACATTGAACAACTGACTAAAAAACAAAAGCAGAATTTTAAAAACCTCAGAAAACAAATGAGTGAACAAGATAACAAAGTAAAGGAGCTTAACAAAGAAATTGAAATTTTAAAAGAAAAAGAAACCAAGTCAAACAAAACTCTAGACAAACTGTCTCTAGATATGACGGAATATGAGAACAACTTACACAAAATAAATAAAGCTATGCAAGATCACACAAATAAAGCAGACAATATAACACAAGAAGCTAAAAGACATTCCGATCTGATTGCTTCTTTACAAGATGAAAATTACAAAATCTTGGTCAAAACATCAACGCAATTTGAAAAGTTGCAATCAAAGGTAAACTTAAAAAAATTGCTTAAAATTTTGTTCACAGTTCTATTCTTATTGGCCAGTTAAATTATTTACAATTCTTAATAAATAGGCAGTTGATTAACTTTACCTATAGTAATACCATGCATTTTCTTGTTAACTGTGATTTAATATGCAGTACAATTAGCTAAATGTATATATTTTCGATTATGATCGTCGGTCTTTAGCACAGTGTGATGTACAAAATTCTACAACAAAGGTTGATACCCATTGATAAACTGATTCAAATCTTTAACCAGAACTTTGAAACTAGGGAAGAAAATTTAAATACGGTATGTTTATAATCGATATGTATATATATATATATATATATATATATATATATATATATATATATATATATATATATATTTATTTATATATATATATATATATATATATATATATATATATATATGTATATATATATATAAATATCTTTTTTTTACATTAACCTCCCCAGGAATATTCTAAGTAACTTGCACAATTTGATTGCGATTAGATGAACGGTGTTAACCCGCAATCGACTTTTTATCGCAATAATACGTTAGTATTAAAGAGTATGATAGGCTATGAATAAAATTTGGCGTTTAGCCATTCACTTGTTTGAATCAGACACGTTGCTGACGCCCGACAGGTTGCAATTTGGCGCACCGGGCTATCGCGGTAGCGCTTTGACGCATATACATACATACGTTCATTTTAAAAATTGTGATAGAATATGGTTAATAAGTAGTATTATAGTCGTTCACTAAACTGAATCAGGCACGACTGAACGCGCCCCGGCAGGGAGCTATTTGCCCCGGGCTATTATGGGACTTTTTTTTACCCCGCGGCAACGCTACATTGATAAATCCTAAATTACTCACTAATAGACTATTATTTGGTTATTAAGTAATATCTATATTTTTAATGAATTTATTGATAAATAACTAATTATAAATATACGAGATCAATAATTTTCTTTTCTTAATTAAAAGTTATTATCTATAAAATTATCTATTAAAGTTTATGGGCCAGTCAAACAAGTAATTTTTGTAGATATGTGATTTTTTTCTTTCATTTTTTTTACACTTTATTTTAATTTAGCTTTTTGAACTTGAACATACTATTTCAAAGTTGTCTAACGATTTTCATCTCATAGGTAAGTTTTATTTTAAAAATATAATTATAAAACCTATTTTTATAACAATAGAGATATAACGAAAAATACTTGTTGATGTTCTCGTTTAACTGTAACAATAGTAAAAGCTATTATAAAATTGTCAAATATAACCAATCGGTATATGTTTTAAATGTGTCAATACCTTTATTTAATATTCCACCCTGAATCTCTCATTTTGTATCTAAATATGTCTTTTTCTGCTTTTCTATTATACGGAATTTCCACTTTATTAAACAAAGTTCGTTGACAGACAGATCATAACGTGATGTTCGTTAGCCAGACAGACCATAACGGGATGTTTGTTAGCCAGAAAGACCATAACGTGATTTTTGTTAGCCAGACACACCATAACGTGATGTTCGTTAGCCAGACAGACCATAACGTGATGTTCGTTAGCCAGAAAGACCATAACGTGATGTTCGTTAGCCAGACAGACCATAACGTGATGTTCGTTAGCCAGACAGACCATAACGTGATGTTCGTTAGCCAGACAGACCATAACGTGATGTTCGTTAGCCAGACAGACCATAACGTGATGTTCGTTAGACAGACAGACCATAACGTGATGTTCGTTAGCCAGACAGACCATAACGTAATGTTCGTTAGCCAGACAGACCATAACGTGATGTTCGTTAGCCAGACAGACCATAACGTGATGTTCGTTAGACAGACAGACCATAACGTGATGTTCGTTAGCCAGACAGACCATAACGTAATGTTCGTTAGCCAGACAGACCATAACGTGATGTTCGTTAGCCAGACAGACCATAACGTGATGTTCGTTAGCCAGACAGACCATAACGTGATAAAGAATGGAACATTTCACTCACCCATAGTGCCAGTCTCTAGACCCGTGGGTTTCCGTCAGGTGTTTGTTTCCTCACCTGGTACATTACACCACCTGGTATGTCGGGGGTCGACCTACAGCGGTCTACCCTAGTACAGCAAAACATTACAAAGCTGTAGTTTAAAATAAAATAAATTCAATTATCGTCACATCATCCTTTTATGTTTCTAATATAAAGACGGAGTCCCATACGAGCCAGGGGTTAAATCTAAAATAAAAAAAGAACTAAAAGACAAAAATAATTATTATATTTGTAACATCTTAGTATTAAATTAATTTATTGTAACATGAAATGAGCTATAGAATAGGTTTATGGTGCTAATTTTGTCAATCGTTTTATTTGAGTTTCAAAAGTACAACATAATAAATTAAGTTCTAGAGATTCTTGATACGATAAATTATTCTTATATAATTAAACTATACGGACTGAATGATTATAATATAACGCATATAACCTTAATTGTACCATTTGGGAGGTATTAATTGAATTTCTACACTCGTAGTTTCAATACGTAGGACACGATAAACTAACACCACTAAAACTGAGGACCGTACTAAACTAGTGGTCTAGTATTTCAATTTGTAGGTCTTAGACAAAATGATGTAAATTTTATGGATTATTATACAAAATTCATTTTTTTGAAAAAAAAATTGTTTGATTAGGGTTTGCCATTTTTACTTTCATTTTTAACAACACTCAAAAGACATGATGAGTTTTTGTTAAGTGTTAGTAACAGAAACTAATAATGCGCATATTATGGATCAAAATATGCATGCTTGATCAGGTGTGTAGGGCTCACTGTCAGCGCGACTAGGACTAAAGGGGGGGGGGAATGGGTTTGTTATGGAAACATGTGTATCGTTAAGTTGTGTTAGAGTAATATAATGACGTCACGTTGCTATGCTTAATTAACTCTAACCCAAATATTCGTTAATAACTAGACAGCCACAAATGGCATTAAAATGTTCAGTTTACAGCATCTTCAATAAAAATAAAAAATTGTTCAAATTCCAAATTTTTGTGGACGTCATAAATGGATGAAACCATTCGTGAAATTGAACATGTAAATCATACATATGTTTTCTAATCAACAGAGTCACGTGTACGTAAAAGATATGCTTGTCATGTGGAGCTTGATGATCTCACACCTGTCAGTGCTGGATCAATTATTTCAACATTTAAAGAATTACGTGAATATAACGGTCAACATTTTAATCATACAACAGGAAAATTCGTATCACCACATAATGGTTTATATCTTGTCTGTGTAACTCTAAATAAAAGTAAAGATAATTATATTGTAGTTAACGTGATGGTTGGAGGCAGGTGGTGTATGTCTATAGAAGTGAAATATGCCGACACTAGCGCTGCTGGGTCAGTGATTGTTGACATGAAGAAAGGTCAAGAACTTTACCTTGAAGTGTCTCACGCCGATCAAGGCGCCACGTTATCCTACCTCAGTAGTTTTTCTATCGTTAGTTTATAGAAGTACAACACAAAACATGGTGGATGGTGAATTCTCAAAAAAAAATATATAACCACCATGTTAAACACTTGCTAAACACTTGCTATGTTTAGAGTACATGTCTACGAAAGTATGTTTATATATTGTTTTTTACTTTCTCGTATATACGGTGTAGGCCTATAGAGAAAGTCTTGTAATCGTGCAAAAATCGATGTTTTATACCTCACTGATACGGAAGAACATAATTTTGCAATTGTGTCTGTATGTCTGTGTGTCTGTGTGTCTCGGTGTGTGTGTGTGTCTGTGTGTGTGTGTAAACACGATAACTTGAGTACCGTCACAGCTAGGTGGATAAAATAATTTCATATATAAGTATTTTGTCAAAATCGTAGATCCTTATCAACTTTTGAGCGATTTCTGATAACCGGAAGTGGTAATTTTTCTACGTTGAATTTTCAAAAGCTTACAACTTGAGTACTTTTTTAGATGGATAAACGAAATTTCACATGTCAGTAAAAGATCTACTTCTATACCTTCTGTCAAATTTGAGTGATTTCGATTGAACGGAAGTAGTAGCTTGCGCTATTTCTGATTTCTCAAAAACGCATGTTCATTTATAAAGTACTAATGATATTGTGCACTATTATGCACATCTTTATTTGGCGTTCACTTGGCGCGGAATTTTTTTTTCTACGAGATTCTATTCTATTTTTAAAAGTTTAAGTAACTAAAAATCATGTCTATATTCCGAGTTGCCATCCGACGTAGTGTTATATAAGGATATTCGAGAAAGTTTAGGGGAGATTACTCCTGGTTTTTTTAGACAACATTACACAGTTCCAACTAATTCAATGTGATCACCTATTATTATGCTCTACGTAACCACGAGAATATATCAGATAAATCTATTTTTAAATATCTTTTGTTTTGATGCATAACAACTGTAGCCTATGTGTACTATATTATTTGTTAAACATAAAACCTAGTTTCTTGTGTGTAAAATAGGAAATTGTAATCCACATTTTCGAGGCAAACTAAATGAACTATTTAAACAATCAGAAGCTGGAATAAGTTCACTTAAATATGTATCAGATGTATTTAAAAAAAATTATCCACGTTATGCATATGTAAATATTTTGAAAGACACTGCCAGTAACTGGTATTTTGTTTCGAGGTAAAAAAAATAAATAAATTACAGTTATTCTCTATACAAAAACAACTCTTGTGATTTTAGTCAGTAACATTGTATGTAAATTAATACCTACCTAAACAAACACACACACAATAATAGACCATACAAATATATATATATATATATATATATATATATATATATATATATATATATATATATATATATATATATATATATATATATATATATATATATATATACTAGCGTACCCGACCCCCGCGCGTTGCCGCGGGGATAGAAGAAAGTTTGACGAAATGTATTAGGATTTCACCACCGCGTTATCAATTATAATTATATGTTCTTAGACGCGTGACCTTCTTTTCTAAAAATGAGTCATTTAAATGTAAACAATGCCTGTTCTTGGATCATAAATATCAGGACACGGGTTTACCTACACTACCGCATGAAAACCTTGAGTGTCATTAATCACTCACCGAAATAATATGGTGGAACACACTTCGGTGACCGCCTCTGTGTCAGAGACGTATAGGGGCGCTCTCAGGGCCCCCACCCCCCGATTACACTACCGCATAGGCGCGGCGTACGACCCCTGGCTCCTTAAAGCTAACAGGCGCCATCGGCCAAATAGCATCCTGTTAATAATGATGCAGATTTCGTCATTCGCTAAAGTGACACAAATGAACAGGATTTTTTTCTTTAACACGTAAAAAAATTATTTGACGTGTTTTAAATATCAGTGTGACTGATGCAATATGCTAGCGTTACTTATAGTCTATTATTAGATGCTCGATCTCAATTTCTGACTCAATTGTCTAATAATAGATGCTTATTGCATCATTCGCAAAGTGACGAAACTCTACAGTAGGCTCCTCATACTCAAAAAGTTATTTTTTCATCTTTCGCAAGGTGACGAAACTGTACAGGATTTCCTCGCGTTACAAGGTTATTTTTAAGAAGCCTGTTGTAGTTTTATCGCTGAATATAGTAGTACCCCTTACTCACTATGCAGGACGCTCGATTAACGGATGCCAAGTGCCAACATAGTCGCTTTAAAACTCTGGGCGCCAAACCGTGTATTGACGAAAATTTTACCCTGCATGGCGCCGCCCATAAGAAACTTTAGTTTTCTTTTTCGCAGAAATATTCTGCCTGTTGTAGTTTTGCCGCTGAATATAGTAGTATATATGCAGGACGCTCGATTAACAGATGCCAAGTGCCAACATAGTCGCTCTAAACTCTGGTGCCAAACCGTGTATTGACGAAAATTGTACCCTATATGGCGCCGCCCAAAAGAAACTTTAGTTTTGTTTTTCGCAGAAATATTCTCGGGAGTATTCTCATCTACTCCCTAAAGTTTTATGGCACTTGGATGAACCGCAAGCGAGTTTTATTTTTATATACCGTGTATAGAGAAAAAAAATTGCTCCCCCCGGGGGCACCGCCCTTGCAATATTAAACAATATATTTTTGCAGAGCCCTACCATTGAGTGATCTAATCATCTCCCCAAAGTTTCATGGTACACGGATGAACGGTGTGAAACCGAAATTTTATAAACCGTATGTAGAAAAAAATCGTACCCTCCCGTAGCGCCGCCCTTGCGAAATTAAAAATGATTTTTGTACAGAACCCTTCCCTAGAGTGTTCTAATCAACTCCTTAAAGTCTCATGGCTATCGGGTGAACGCTGTCAAACCAAAATCGACTTTTATTTTTATATACCGTATATCGAAAAAAACAAATCGCGCCCTGCCGGTGCGCCACCCCTGCGAATTTTACATATTTTTTTCGCAGAAACCTCCCCAGGAATATTCTCCACAACTTCCCAAAGTTTCACGGCGACGTGATAAGAGGTGTGGTAATGCATAACGGACACACACACAGACACACACAGACACACACACACATACATTGCTTTATATATATATATATATATATATATATATATATATATATATATATATATATATATATATATATATATATATATTAAATATATATATATATAATTTGCATTTTGGACAAGCTACCCTGTTACTAAGAGACATATAGTTGAGCTGTGTTGTCCGTAACACAACCGTTAATTAACTAATACCTTGACTCTGTCCATTGATTTATATAAATTATACATACAGCACCGCCTGGTGTTGCACAAGCTTAATAAAAGTAAAAAAAACATTAGGCAGGTATACGGAATAAGGAAATATATTGTGTGTGGGGATGGGATCTGGGTTTGATTAGGTTTAGTAGAGAAATAAATGTTACGTTAAATTAAACAAACCTACCCCAGCTTGATTTCATTTTGTCTTTTCTTTTATAAAAAACAAAGCACTGTAGCTTACATGGTTTTACACATCAAACATCTCTCATGACGGTTAAAAAGATGATTGACGTTAACATGTACATCTGTCCGCCACAGAGCTCAATAAAGACAAATAACTCAGCAGAACTGACCGCAGCAAAATGTTTAAAAACATTGAAGTAGCATGGATCTGTCTACATTAGTATAGAATACCCATGGATCTAGAGGAGTCTAGTTGCAAACATGCATCTTGATGGTCTGTTTTATTTAAATATCGGATGCAAAATATTATTAATATTCAATTCTCACTTGCATACGTCAATTTTAATTATAAATGAATACTATACCAAACACAATAATATTTAACGACGCCATGTCTAATGTTCCAATGACGTCACACCGCCACGTCTTTATCCCCGTGTTCAGGTAAAAGAGCTGATTATTGCTGACACTAAAGTCGCGAGTTCAGTCCCTTTGCCAGATTAGCCACGTTAGCTGGGGACATCTAGCGGAGATAACTCATAACAGCTGCTGTCTTGAACTTTATTTTTGGATGGACACAGGCTATGGAAGAAGATGCAGAAATAAAAGAAGGATGAATGCAGTTATAGCGTGAAATAGAGCGCATAGCACCTATTTAGTAATAATAATCAATATAAGTAAGCTGAATTCACAAAGCCATTTTCTCATGTAATCAAACTCTATCAATAACCAAAACTGTTGACAACTTTACACGACACCTAGTAACACACACAATCTGTTGAAGACATCATGACTCTGCTCTAGAAGGAAACAACACATATAAATCTAGACCAAGCACTGATTACACAGTTATTATCTAAATCACTGAAACAGGAGAAAGGTTTATTTGTTTACACAAGAACACAATTTTATAATCTAACTATACTGAACCCACTCCCAGCTTGAAGCATAACTTCATGCAATTATCTAAAACACTAAAACAGGAGAAATATGTATTTGTTTACATAATAACACTAAGTCACAATCTAATAATACTGAACCCACTGTCCTGCATCTGATTCATGTACCTTAAAGTAAAGTGTTTCTCCTTTCTTCATGGCAACAACAGTTGAGCCACAAGCAGAGGTTAAAGCAAACTTTACACAAATTTGCTTTTGCAATTCGTTATCTCCATTTAAAACACTAACTGTAATTTGTTTATCTCCACGCCCCAGTAAAGTTACAATAACAAGATAGTCACCATCATCTGGTGCTACAAGTTTTCCTGTTGTCTGATTTAATTGACTGCCGTTAGGTTCCCACACAAGTTGAAAAGTAGAAAGAATTGATCCAGTAGTTACCGGTGTGTTGTGATCTATGTAGATAGATGATATTAGTGATTTCATATTTAACCATGTGTGAATCCAAATGTGTATCTGTGTGGTTTGTCGTTGTTGTGTGTTCAAGGTGTGAGGGAGAATAGGCGGCTTGTGTGTGTGATGAATGGTTATTATTAAAATATTTTTAAAAATACATTTATTAATACCTATGCATGTAGCCTAAAGTGCACATGACACTAAACAGACGAGTTTAGTTATGATACATGAATGTAATCCTATCAATTTAGTGTCGGTTGGGTACTGGTGGATGTGATATTTTGTTTTACAACACGCCCAGTACAAGAGAACCACAGAGAAAAGGATATGATCGGGCTCCCAGTGTTTCCCAGCGACTATCTCAGCACAAGGGATCTGTTGAGTTGTGTCATACACAGAGGGTCAGGGATCTGTATAGTAGCGTGCTGCACAAGTGGTCAGGGGTACTACCTGATACCCTTAATAACTTAGTTAATAACTTAGCACACGACGGGAGTAGTTGCGATTTAGTCCTGCACCAAATCGATGCAAGACCCGATGACAATGTAATTTAACATCACATTTTAATCATCGTTTACCTTTAGGAAAAAAACATTATTAAGAGAAAAGTAAAATATCTTAGCAATTTAGTTTTTAGAACAAAAACATATATATTAAATAATTTTACATTGCATATATCAGAGTATAAATTACAAATGACATTAGTTATTGTTTGATAAACATGAATTTTATTGAAACATTTTTTTACTAGAATCAAGGTGTATGTTTGTTTTCTTGTTGTTTCTTATTAAGAGGTATTAAATTAAGAAGTATATTGAAATAGCAAATTCATACATTTAAGGACATGCATATCAACATTTGAAACAACATATGTGATGAGAAAATCAGGTTTTTAATATTTTAACTTGTATTAAGTTATTTTAAATGCACAATTGCTTTTACAGTTTGCATGTGAAATTTTACAGATCGTTAATGCAACTATTTATTCTACGCTGACGAAATTGTTTATATACATTAGTGAACAGCTGATGTACTACCTATAGTAGGGTACAGGCACCTACACATACACGATCAGCTGGCACATACTCGCCGTGTTTTGATCAAACCTTCACACAGTAGATATAGCTGATAAAGTCATAGCATGTGTAAAATTAATGATAACGCTAGTAAAATGGTGTATATGTTTATTGAAAAGATAAAGGACAGGAAATTAAGCCAAAGAACGGGTCAGTACAAAGTACACATACAACTCAGACATAACTACATGAAAGAGGTAACTTGTGTTATTGACGTGATATTTTGTTTATTGAAGCGAAGCGACAGTTTGTTTCTACTGGAACTAGAGTGTCTAAAACAAAGGCTAAACAACTGAACACTTTGTTTTATTATTCTGTCAAATGTGAGTATGCGCTTAAAGTGTCTAAGCTAAAGGCAAAAACAAATGAAACTTTGTTTTATTCTTCTGTCAAATGTGAGTATCTATATATATAATTCTCTTCTGGGAGACTCTAGAAAACAAGCTGTAAACGCGCTCCCTACCATCCCCACCCCTACATGGTCTTAGTGAGCTGTGGTTCACGCTATATTTACCTTCGTGGAGTCGGGTTTAGTGACGGCTATTAGGGGCAGATAATTTAGTTTGAAACGATTTTAAACGTTGGGGGGGGGGGGGAGGAAGGGGGGGGGGTTATGGTCCTTAACGAGCTACTTATAGTGTTTTAAAGAAATATTTTCAGTGTCAGCATTGGTACTGTCGAATTCACAAATTATGAATTACTGAAAAGTAGAAAAAACAAGAAGTAAATAGCGGCGTATGTTACGCCGCGGGCCGGCTCGTACATTTAAATTGTCTAAGCTAAAGGCAAAAACAAATGAAACTTTGTTTTATTTTTCTGTCAAATGTGAGTATACATTTAAAGTGTCTAAGATAATTGCAAAAACAGCTGAAACTTTATTTGATTCTTCTGTCAAAAGTGAGTTTATATTTTAAAATAGTAACGTTAATGTAAAATCCATGCTTTACACAAAAGCATAATTTCCATCAACTTCTTTTTACAAGCCTAACATGTTAGACAATTGACCAATCACAAGACTGCAAACATGAGTTAATGCCCTTTAAATGCTCTGAAATTCATTCGTGTTAAGTAATGTTTAAATAAATCAAGTCCATGTAAATAGACTATAAGAATTGTTTGATTATTCGATGTGAGGAAAAGATTCGTTATTTTAAAACGTCATTATAAATTCGTTCTAGTATGTGAATTCTATTTCTGTTAATTCAGATGCGTCTTAGAGTGCAAGTCAAATATGTTACAGAGCACATGCACTATTTAGAAGAAAAGATACACGTCATGAAACCTGTGGTTGAAGCTTTGCAAGGTGTAAGTGGTTATTGTCTCTCCCTGAATTCATCATTGACTTGGTGCTTTTTGTATTAAGCTTGTTGTAGATAATGATGGAGTATAGTATTTAAAAACCACAAACATTTAAAAAACACAATATTCTCACATAACATACTGACACACATTTTAACGCTAAGACAAAATGATTTATGTCAGCAGGCTGTAGACAAAAGTATGACTTGGTTAGAAGATAAAAGTGACAACGAATCTTTGACATACTGTGATCTATGCCAAGAACTTGAATCAGCTACCTTGACCATGTTGAATGTAGCGGCTCATATCTTAGGTAAATATTTTAAAATAAAAGTCTCTTTTATTTTAATTGATAATCTGTTAAATCTCAATAATTTAATACAAATAATAAAGTAAAAACTGGACAATTAAATATGTTTTGTATTTATTTAAAATTAATATATATTCATATTATCAAATAACATTAATAATTTATATCAATTCTAAAGAAAGTATTTTACATACAAAAAATAACACACAAACTTACATTAATAAATATTCAATATTATGTAAAACTACAAGTGAATTATTATTACACATATTTAAAATAATTTATGTTCTCTGAAAATAACTAGACGAAAATAAAGACATTGTTGAGAATGGAAGGTCATTTTCATCTCAGTCTACCTCACAAACAACAGCAACAGAAAAATGTGGCCGTAGGCAGTCAACAGATCAAATCATTAACGAACTTTATAAACCATCAGGTACTATAGACACATATTTTTTACAAAAAAAAACATTAAGTTAAAATAAAAATTTTCAAGGTGAATGATTCAAATATATTTTCGTAAAGGAAAAGTAGCATATTATAATGATTTTCAAACTTTATTTCTATTGTGATTGCCTTAATTTTATACAGCCATAGAAATATTAAGTCGACTTGAGCAGATAGAGACAGCCATAACTTCTCTACAAGACGTCAGTCGACTTGAGCAAATAGAGACAGCAATATCTTCTCTACAAGACGTCAGTCGACTTGAGCAGATAGAGACAGCCATATCTTCTCTACAAGACGTCAGTCGACTTGAGCAGATAGAGACAGCCATATCTTCTCTACAAGACGTCAGTCGACTTGAGCAGATAGAGACAACCATATCTTCTCTACAAGACGCCAATTACAAGTCTACAGATGACATATCAGAAATAAAACAATGGAGAGACAACTTTGTAACAGAACAGATTAACATGAGGGTAAACATTGAACAACTGACTAAGAAACAAAAGTAGAGTTTTAAAAACCTCAGAAAACAAATGATTGAAAAAGATAACAAAATAAAGGAGCTGAACGAAGTAATTAAAAGTTTAAAAGAAAAATAAATCAAGTCAAACAAAACACTAGAGAAAATGTCCTAGATATGAAAGAATATGAAAACAACTTACACAAAGTAAAAAAAGAAATACATGATCACACAGATAAAACAAACATTCTGGTCAGATTATATGTTTAGAAAAAGATAATAATAAAATATTGTGTTACTTCCGGGTTCGATTCAACTCAACAACGATTCGTTACACATATAGTATACATTTTATTTGGACCCAATTCTTCACATAACAGAGTATCCCACAGAGTATTTGAACTTGGGATAACAATACATCAACACACCGGGGTTAACAATACCTTAGGGTAAACTCAACTCAAGCACGCATTCTCCCCTAATTCTAGATTATTCTAAGCTATTTCTATCTAACCTACAACTTACCCGTAACATGTTGGTCAATACATACAAGGTAAACATTCACATTTATAATTAATTGGGTACACATTTATACACCTACTTTCAAGTTTACAAGTCTATATATTATAACCAAATTGTAACATGTAATTAAAAGTCGGTTGATTACATTTTTTGCCAGTCATACTTTTTATTTTGAAACTAACTTTAAGGGTAATGTTAATGTCAGCAATTTTTATCTGCAATAGAAATAGTCCAATTTAAAATAATCCATTTAGCACAATGTAATGTACAAACTCCTGCAACAAAAATTGATGCCTATTGACAAACTCTTTCAAATATTTAACCAGAACTTGGAAACTAGAGAAGAAAGAATAAAGAAGTAATATTTGTAATAGAAATATAAAAAAATAAATTGCAATGCATTCATTACTAACACCTTGTTATTAGTCCAATAAATACCCTCTGATTTCGTTAATTAATTTATATTTATAAAACAGCTTTAAATTCTTTTGTATTCTTACACGTTGCCATTTCCAATTATTGTCAGTATAGCTATTTATGTTAAATGTAACTATGTGATTGTTTCATTTATATAATTTATACTTTGTTTTTATTTAGATTGACAATATTGAAAATACTATTTCAAAGTTGTCCAAAGAAGTTCATCTGATCGGTAAGTGTGCTTTGAAAAAAAATGAAACTACATAAAGAATTATCTTAAAAACAATAATGATTTGAGGGTAAATATACTTTATTAGTGGTGATAATGTTACGCAACTATTACTATGACGTAACGATGCTAACCGATCTGTATTCAAATTAAAACTTTTGCTTACCTCTGTTCAATATCTCTCCTTTCTCTCCTTTTCACCACCCTCCCTACCTGCTAATATTGGCCATTATCTTTCACGGAAAGACCATAACGTGATGTTCGTTAGCCAGACAGACTATAACGTGATGTTCGTTAGCCAGACAGACCATAACGTGGTGTTCGTTAGCTAGACAGAACATAACGCGATGTTCGTTAGCCAGACAGACCATAACGTGATGTTCGTTAGCCAGACAGATCATAACGTGATGTTCGTTAGCCATACAGACCATAACGTGATGTTCGTTAGCCAGACAGACCATAACGTGATGTTCGTTAGCCAGCTAGACCATAACGCGATGTTCGTTAGCCAGACAGACCATAACATGATGTTCGTTAGCCAGACAGACCATAACGTGATGTTCGTTAGCCAGCTAGACCATAACGTGATGTTCGTTAGCCAGACAGACCATAACATGATGTTCGTTAGCCAGACAGACCATAACGTGATGTTTGTTAGCCAGACAGACCATAACGTGATGTTCGTTAGCCAGCTAGACCATAACGTGATGTTCGTTAGCCAGACAGACCATAACGTGATGTTCGTTAGCCAGACAGACCATAACGTGATGTTCGTTAGCCAGACAGACCATCACGTGATGTTCGTTAGCCAGACAGACCATAACGTGATGTTTGTTAGCCAGACAGACCATAACGTGATGTTCGTTAGTCAGACAGACCATAACGTGATGTTCGTTAGCCAGACAGACCATAAGGTGATGTTTGTTAGCCAGACAGACCATAACGTGATGTTCGTTAGCCAGACAGACCATAAGGTGATGTTCGTTAGCCAGACAGACCATAACGTGATGTTCGTTAGCCAGACAGACCATAACGTGATGTTCGTTAGCCAGACAGACCATAACGTGATGTTCGTTAGCCAGACAGACCATAACGTGATGTTCGTTAGCCAGACCATAACGTGATGTTCGTTAGCCAGACAGATATAACGTAATGTTCGTTAGCCAGACAGACCATAACGTGATGTTCGTTAGCCAGACAGACCATAACGTGATGTTCGTTAGCCAGACAGACCATAACGTGATGTTCGTTAGCCAGACAGACCATAACGTGATGTTCGTTAGCCAGACAGATATAACGTGATAAAGAATGGAACATTTCACTCAACCATAGTGCCAGTCTCTAGACCCGTGGGTTTCCGTCAGGTGTTTGTTTTCTCACCTGGTACATTACACCACCTGGTATGTCGGAGGTCGACCTACATCGGTCTACCCTAGTACAGTAAAACATTTACAGAGCTGCAGTTTAAAATTAACGAATTCTTATCACCGTCATTTCATGACTTTAAGTTTTTATTAATAAAATTGTGTCGCATTAAATCAAGGAATTAAATCTAAAATAAAATAATAACTCTTAAACGAAAAATAAATTCATTTTTAATATCTTATTATCTATTTTTTTTAAACTAACGTGAGAAAAAAACAATTGTTAATGTTGATTGTGCTTATCGTGTCACTAGTTTTATCAGAATCTGATATGTACAACAGAATCAAATTTGTTTTTTGTTTCAATGGATTAACCTTCTATAATTAAACTATAATGTGAACACATACAGAATGTAATACATGTATATAGAGTTTGTTTTACTTTTGGTGACTTATTACGTGACCTGCTACACTTGTATAAAATTAATTTGTTTAAAATCGTTTTAGATGATAAACTAAGAACAATAAAACTTAGAGCGGTACTAAACAAATAGTTAAAATTATTTTCCTAAAGAAAAAAAATATTGAAACTATTTCAAATGGTTAATGTAAATGTACATTGTATGAATTAAATTGTCAAATCATGTGTGAAATGAAACGTGTACATCATACATATGTTTTCTAATCAACAGAGTCACGTGTATGTAACAGATATGCTTGTCATGTACAGCTTGCTGATAACACACCTGTCAGTGTTGGATCAATTATTTCAAGATTTAGTAAAGTACGTGAATATAACGGTCAACATTTTAACCAAAGAACAGGAAAATTTGTATCACCACATGATGGTTTATATCTTGTCTGTGTGACTCTACATGAATGGGCAGATAAACGGATTGTAGTTGGCGTGATCGCGGAAGGCGTGTGGTGTAAAACTATAGAAGTGAAATGTGCCGCCACTAGCGCTGCTGGGTCAGTGGTTGTTGACATGAAGAAAGGTCAAGAACTTTACCTGAAAGTGGTTCAAGCAGAACAAGGCGCAAATTTATCCTTGATAAGTAGTTTTACTATCGTTAGTTTATAAAAGTACAACATATAACATGGTGGGTGGTAAATTCTCTAAACAATAAAATATGTAACCACCATGTTAAACACACGCGAACAACATACTATGTGTGTAGACTACATGTCTACAAACACTTGAATGGTTTACATGAAATTTGTTTAGTTATCATTTTGTTTGTATTGATTTAATATGATCACTAATTATGTTTTCTACTTGACCAACGTTATAGAATGTAAGTATGTAGGCCTACCATTGCCTTCACTGTATATGATGGTTTGTAAAAAAAAATAAAACGTATTTACCTTGTTAACAGAACCCTTGAGACAAACCAAAGAACTTCCACAAAGACGAATGTTAAAATATGTTCACTGTACATCATCAATATGTGCCCTATGTATCGAAAGTAGGCTATTAATCCAAGTTAGTCATTTGTAAAATAAAAGTTACAATTATTTTTATTTTACTACAAGTCTCTGTAATTGTGAACGCTACATTCGTTCAATAAATAAATGACAGCATATCTGTATTAAAACATGTTTTCCTTTATTTAGTAACACTGTATCTTTAAAATAACAAACATCAACACAAAAGAAAATCGTTACATCTATTAAACTAAATAATTATTTATATAATTACTTATATAAACATGTGTATGTGTAACAAAAAGTGTAACACATAATTGCTACAAGAAACATCGAACGTGAAATTAGAAGCACATGATCCATTATCTTTATATAAATTTAGTTGAATACATTCTAACCTTAAAATATCGTTATTTTCATTACACATATAAGACTTACAAAATCATTTACTGTTGATATACATCATATATGTAATGAATATATGACGTCAATTATATATTTTGATATATGAGAGATTTAAGTGTTGAGTGCTGTACCAGTAGACCGCTTATAACTTCTGTAACAGATTAGTGTTGAGGAGTAGAATAAAACAGGTTAGTTTATGAAATCTACATGATAATATTAGACATTGTTTTATTTCTACATCATTTCAAAAATAAAGTGTATAAGAAACGTAACCAGAGTGAGAAATTCTTGATCTCTTCCTTTTGCACTTTCATAGGGTACTGTTGTACGAACTCGAGGAATACGTTTAAAACTCCATGAAATATGCTAGACTGTATGAATATAACCCTTTCAAACTATATTTCTGGTCATTAACACAAAAAATTACTAGCCCACTCTTTTGTTTATTTGATATAGTCTAAACCCAAAGTACAGATGGACTGACCCCACACGGTCCACTAAGATCAGATGTTTTACCGTAAATGTGACCAAATATCTGACACACCGAGGAATACGTTTAAAACTCCATGAAATATGTTATAGTGTATGAATATAACCCTTTCAAAATGCCATAATGTTAAACTGTTTTATATTAGTTAGACATTAAGATCATTTTTATTATACAAATCTCAACTATAGTTTTCATTAAGTTATCTTTCTGATCATTAACAAAAAAAAACAACACTCGCCGACTCATTTGTTTATTTGATATGGTCTAAACCCGAAGTACAGATGGACTGACCACACACGGCCCACCAAGATCAGATGTTTTACTGTATATGTGATCAAATATCTGACAGACCGACAACGAGATAGGGGATCATAAAGGCTGGCAATCAAATTTGGTATATTCGATGCTCTGTACTTGGTGTTAGTGTTTGACATAACTTATTGATGTGTCTTTTACTAGTCTTTGAACAAAGCATCAACCCACGGACCTAGAACAGACCATGTTATTAATAGATTTAATTATGCCTTTTACGTATACAACTCTTTGGGCTTAGTTATTACAAGTATGCCACCTCACAAGCCCGATTTTTTTTTGTTTTACCTTGAAGTGTATCACGCAGATCAAGGCGCAGCGTTATCCCTATACAGTAGTTTTAGTATCGTTAGTTTATAGAAGTACAACACAAAACATGGTGGATGGTAAATTTTCAAAACAATAAAACATGTAACCAACATGTTAAGCACACGCTAACAACTTACTACATGTCCATAAACATTTAATGGGTTGTATGTTTTTTTTTTAGTCATCATTACACAGTTCCAACTAATTCAATGTGATCACCAATTAATATGTTGTACGTGACCACAATAAACATAACTTTCTTCTTCTTCGTTCTTAATTTATAGTGTTGGGAGGGATCGAGCCTTATCTGCCAGAGAGTTTGAACTCGAGACTTTTTTCGAATTTATCAACCATGAGCTTTTCCGACTCGACCATGCTTCCATCACAATTAAGGATTACGTGTCAATGGGGTATGCGCCATTGAGGCCATTGACTCCGATTTCAGCCTGCTTTTCTTTTTGGGTTTGCTTCCATAGCCTTTGTCCAATCAAGAACAAGCTAAAAGGCAGCAGTTGTTTGATTTTGGACCCCCAATAAACATACGAGATACATCAGGTTTTAAAAATCTTTTGTTTCTATGTATATGTGTATCATTGTATTTGTTAAAAACAAAACCTAGTTTGTGTGTGTAAATTTTGAAATTGAAATCCGCGTTTTCGGACAAACACAATGAACTATTAAAAACATGGAATAAGTTTACTGGGTAACTTAAATATGTGTGAGATATATTTTAAAAAGTAAATTATTGTTATGAATTTGTAAATATTTTGAAAGATACTGTCAATAACTTTTGTTTTGCTTCACGTTAAAAAATAAATAAATTACAGTTATTCTCGAAACAAAAACCGCTCTTGTGATTCTAGTGAGTAACAGTGTATGTGAATTAACACTTACGCAAACACACGCACACATAAATAGACTATACATAAGTCTGACAATATATAGACCATATTATATACATATATATATATATATATATATATATATATATATATATATATATATATATATATATATATATATATATATATATTATGCATGTTGGGCATGCTACCCTGTTACTAAGAGACCTATTGCTGAGCTGTGTTGATCCTAACACAACCGTTAATCAACTAATATCTAGACTCTTTCCATTTATTTATCTAAATTATACATACAGCACCGCCAATGTTACACAAGCATAATAAAAGTAAGAAACTTTATGCAGGCAGAAAGTTACTTCGCGTGTAATATGAACATCAGATTAGAGAAATAATAAGCCTTTTTACAAGCTTTTATTTAACTCACTTCCTCTGTCTGTCGTAAGTCTGTCTTGACGGAAACGCAGGAGTGAAAATTCGGACAGTTCTACTTGACCGACACGATTCACAGTTGGCACGTGGGTCAAGACATGAAGACAATGCAATCTGAAACTAAATTTGACTTAATTGGATGCCTAATTGATTTTTTATGAATTAATTAAAATTTGGACCGAATTAGTAGGCATGTCTAGCCAACTACACCACACGCGTCATCAATAGCTGCGCCATCACGACCACGTAATGGCTGCGTTCAAAAACCATTGCGCGCCTACTGAACGTGATATTCACTAGGCGCGCAATGGTTTTTAGTCATGTAACTCTATTGTAGATAAAACATGTAAAGTACTGAAAAAAAATTCATAAAAAACGTTTTAATAACAAGCTTTTATGTAATGATGCACTAAAAAGTAGAAAATAAATTATAGACTACTATTTAAATAACTATAAAGAAAAGCGTGGGTGTCTTCCTTAACATTAGTAAAGGTATCCAATAGATACTAAAGTGACCCACGCTTTTCTTTATAGTTATTTAAATAGTAGTCTATAATTTATTTTCTACTTTTTAGTGCATCATTACATAAAAGCTTGTTATTAAAAGTTTTTTTTGAATTTTTTAAAAAGTTAAAATAACTTAAATAAAAAGACATACAGTAAATAAGGAGATATATTTTGTGCGGAGAGGGGGGTCTGGCTTTAATTGGGGATTTAAAAAAAAATGCTTAGTTTATTTAGTTGGGTTAAGGTTTAGTGAAGAATGTAATTTTACGTAACTTAAACAAGGCTACTCGAGTTTTATTTCTTTTTTACTTTCTCGTATATACGATGTATAGAGAAAGTATTGTAATAGTGCAAAAAAAAATCGAGATTTAAAAAAAATGACGTTTTACACCTCATTGATACGGAAAAACATAATTTTGCAATCTTATCCGTATCTCTGTGTGTCTCTGTGTGTGTGTGTGTGTGTGTAAACACGATTACTTGAGTACCGTTACAGCTAGGTTGATGAAATTTCATATATAAGTATGTTATCAAAATCGTAGATCCGTTTCAACTTGTGAGCGATTTCCGATAACCGGAAGTGGTACTTTTCCTACTTTGAATTTTTCAAAAGCCTATAACTTGAGTACTATTTTAGATAGATAAATGAAATTTCACATGTAAGTAAAAGATTTAATTCCTTACCTTCTGGCAAATTTTGAGTAATTTCCGTTTACCGGAAGTACTAATTTACGCTATTTCCGATTTCTCAAAAAACGCATGTAAATTTATAAAGTACTAATAATATCCCGCACTATTATGCACATTTTATTAGGCGTTCACTTGGTGTGCAATTCTTTTTTTTTACGAGATTTTTATCTATTATAAAAAGTTTAAGTAATTAAAAATGGATTACACATATTGTCTGTGTCCTGAGTTGCCATTCCACGTAGATTTATATTAGAATATTCGTGAAAGTTTAGGGGAGATTACTCCCGGTTTATTTAATGAGAAATAAACCACTGTAGCTTACGTGTTTCGCACATCAAACAACTCGCAAGACCGTTAAGAAGATGATTCGCGTTAAAATTTACATCTGTTCGCCACAGTTAGGTCATCTGAAGTGAAATAAAGACTACAGCCTTTTTTTTTTAGTTTGGTGAGATTTCCAATTCCGTCTTAGATTGAAATATTTCTTTTAGCTAGATGGCACAATATTTAAAAAAAAACAAAAACAGACCTTATTCTATATTCCAATATAGTCGATTAATAAATAGCCGTTGCTACTAGTCTGTTTTCATCTTCTGTTCTTTGTCTAGTCGTGTTAATTAAGTTAAGTGTGATGACTTTATTTATTGTGCCTGTTTGATTGGTGGTTTTTAATACAAAACAGATCTACATCTATATAATTACTATCAATGAAGTAACATGGACCTGTCTACTTTAGTGTAGGCTACCCATGGGTCTAGTTGATGTAGAGGGGCAGCGGGTGGGGTCGTCCGCTGCCGACAGGAGGGAAGCACAAAAAGCGGTAAAAGTCAATTTTAATAAGCTAAAGTTTTGAAGTGTAAAAGATTAAAGTTAAGAAAGAAATTAAACGAGTACAAGTCTTTATTCAAATGCTTTCTACATTGATTGGGTAAACGTGAAGTACACTCTTAAGAACCAGAGACCTGGTAAGATCGTTTACCATCAAGATGGGAGGGGTGGGTGTGTGCAATTCTGTCGGCTTAAATCGGAATGATTTATCCTGGACTGGTAGATGACTGTTATAACATTTAGAAAAGAAACAAAGCGTATTGTGTAACGATAAAATAAGAAAAAAAATTGGTAGGGGTGCGTCGCTTCTTTGCCAAGATAAATGGGGATGATTTATATCGGAATGGTAAGTAGATAAATCATTATAAATCTTAGAATTTTATGTTTTATTGCTGATGTCGCAAACGTAACCAAAAATAGCTTCTTAAATTATTCTAATATGTGAAATAAACTGTTAATACACATAAAATAGTGAATAATAAAACTATTAGCACTTTTGTAGCTTAAATTGACTATTCATTTAGTAATAATAATCATTATAAGTGGGCTGAATTAATGAAGACACAATTTTTGTCCATGTGCTTGAGTCAACGGAGTGTGACGTCATGAAAAAGTTAGAAAACTAAAGTATAAAACTATTTACGCGAAAGCTGACAATATTTCTGCTTGTGGATCAACTGTAGTTCCGATGAAGAAAGGTCAAGAACTATATTTTAAAGTTCAACAATCATGACCAGGGTCTTTTCTGCAAAAAGGAAGCAGTTTCACTATTTTAAGAATTTAGCTGAAAGTAATATAGTGTATTTCTAAACCAAATATTTAAAATCAAAATATTATCTCAGTTGAATATTATCATAAGTGTTAATTCTCGCTATGAGCTTATAATTATATTTATACACTGAAGAGGTAACGGCGTGGCTATGCAGTAGAGTAAAAGGCTGCTAACTCGAAAGTCTCAAGATAGAATCTGGATCCAGCAAGTTCAGCTTCCACAAGTCCGCTTAGGTCTAATGTCCACCTAACTCAATAACTAAAACTTCTGTTCATATGCCGAGGTCATGAAATACAAGAACTCTTCATCGTCTGCCTAATGGATCGCTAGGATTATTTACTTTATACACTGAAGATATCATGACTGTTTTATAACTCTATCTAGCATTACTTTTACTTTATATAATATTAAGACTGTATATTTGTAGTATTATTAAGTCCTTAATAAGAAAATAATGAAAAATGGATGCAGTAAAACTAATTTGACAATCATAGATATTACTCTATACTTGATACATATAAATGTATTTTGCAAGTTTAACATTTCTGTTTGTATTGCAAATATATTTTGTATTATTCACGGTGAGTCTAATAAAAGTTAGCTCAAATTATAAATTGGTTAATATCTATTGCTGTTCCATGTGTTGTAGAAAAACCTAATTAAAGTGGTATCGCTTTAAGCAATAGTTTGTGTACGAAACCTATCTTCACTATAGACAGATAATATGCAAACATCTCAAAACCATATCGAAATATAATGTCAAGTTCTTTTCTCCCAAATATGTGCCGAGCACTACATTAACTAACAAACAATGTAAAGAAGGTGGGTGGATTTCTTGGTTGTGAAAACATGAAATGATCAGCGTGAAGAGAACACTTATCATTTTCATATCAATGGTTCGTCATAAACATGGGCGTCCACTGAGATTTCAAAAGGCCGAGATCCAAGGTTTATATTTCACCCATCTTATTTGCTTGTTATTTACTTTACGCTGACTTTGTGTATTGCAGAGAAATGTATCACTGACATACATACACTTTAGTTTATAAACAGTCTATCAGCAGTCACGTACTGTTTGATTTGATCATAACTTAACTAGAACAGATATAAGTGATAAAACAATTCAATGATTACATGATAACACGATATGATGCTACATGTTGTATTAAACAAAGATAAATGGTTTGAAATTAAGCTAAAGAACGGATCAGTACAAAGTACACATAAAACAGGCATCACTAAGTGGTAGCTGCAACTTGTGTTCACGACTTCACACTTTGTTTTTTTCTTTTAAGTGGAGTCACATTTATTATATTGGAACTAGATTGAATAAATGTAAGTGCCAAACATTTTAGAACTTAGGATTATTTAGTCAGATGTAAGTTTACATTTAGCAAACCTAAAGTTAGTGTTAGATTAACTTTATACATCTGACTTATCACAGACTAGATAGTTGAGCTAATGCACTTTAATGATACAATTATACCGATATCTCGTATTTAATTATTTAAAAATAATTTCAAGAAAAAATGAACAAAACAAAAGCGGTGAACAAAGACCCTACATGGACAAATCACCTGTGGTTAACGGCGGACACAGCGTTTGTGATCATACACCCGTTGATCAAACACCCTCTACTGAGAAAACACTAGTGGTCAAACCCCCTATGGCCAAAGACCCTATGGTCAAAGCTCCGCTGTGGTGAAAAACCCTATGGTCAAAGCCCCTCTGGTCAAAGCCCCTATGGTCAAAGCACCTGCGAAGCATAGCTACTTTATATTGTCTTAAAATTAATTAATGTTAGAACACTCAAACACAAACTCTTTGAATGTTTAATTGGATGTATTTTAAAATGCAACCGAAAAAGAAATCAAACCATTTGTTAAAAAAAAATTAAGTGTAGATGATAATTCAGCGTGTTCAAATATTTTTCTAAAATAATACTGCAATAATCAGTGAAACATGCTTATTGAAACGATATGCACATGCACACAATATATGCACATTGGATAATAATAAACCGGGAGTAATCTCCCCTAAACTTTCTCGAATATTCTTATATAAAATAACAGGGGATGGGAACTCGGGCTATAGACATGATTTTTAATCCATTTTAAATACTTAAAGTTTTAAAAATAGAATAAAATCTCGTAGACAAATTAATTGCACACCAAGTGAACGCAAAATAAAAAAGCGCATAATAGTGCGCAATATTATTATTACTTTTAAAATTTACATTAGTTTTTTGAGAAATCGGAAGTAGCGTAAAGTACTACTTCCAGTCAACGGAAATGACTCAAAATTTGACAGAAGATAGAGAATTAGATCTTTTACTTACATATGAAATTTCATTTATCTATCTGAAATAGTACTCAAGTTATAGGCTTTTGAAAAATTCAAAGTAGGAAAAGTACCACTTCCGGTTATCGGAAATCGCTCAAAAGTTGATACGGATCTACGATTTTGATTAAATACTTATATATGAAATTTCATCAACCTAGCTGTAACGGTACTCAAGTTATCGTGTTTACACACGGAGAGACAGACACACAGACAGACACACAGACAGACACACAGACATACGGACAAGATTGCAAAATTATGTTTTTCCGTATCAGTGAGGTGTGAAACGTCGAGATTTTTTTTTTTTGCACGATTACAAGACTTTCTCTATACTTCGTATATACAAGAAAGTAAAAACAATCGAAAATGTTGTAACGTGGAATATATGATAAACTACTTATTTCATAAGCATGATTAAATTTACAATCTAAGTATAGTAAAGCCACTTCCTCCTTGTAGCTTGGCTCCATCATCAGCATAGTCAACTTTAAAGTAAAGTTCATGACCTTTCTTCATTTTAATGACAGTTGATCCAGCGGCAGATGTGTTGGCTGAGTTAACATGAAAGCTCTTACAAAATGCGTCATCCCTGTACACAAATATTTGAATCAGTTTATCCTCACATTCCTGCAGCGTTACAATCACAAGATATAAACCATCATCTGGTGCTACAAGTTTTCCTGTGGTTTTATTAAAATGGCTGCCGTTGGGTTCCCACACGCTATAGAATGATGAAAGAATTGCAAATTCCACGACTTTACAGTTAGGTTACTTCACTCCTTTTTATCTAACCGATCTCAACGCGTGTTTCACCTTAATACCATCTCTTCACAGAAATATGTCAATATAGGGGTTCCACAGGGCTCAATCTTAGGTTCTTTACTTTTTCTTTAGACATTAATGATCTTCCATTACACATTGACGCTGGTCAGTGCGATATGTTCGCTGATGATACTTCTTTACATGTCTTTGCAGACAGTGCTGAGTCACTCAGTTACAAACTTCAAACGTTTGCCAATCAGCTTGCTACTTGGACAAAATTTAACTAAATGAAACTTCACCCCGATAAAACCAAGTCAATGTTTATTACAACTCATCAGAAACGCCTTCGTTTTCCATCCACCGCATTACGCATTACTATAGACAATACAAACATTGAACAGGTATATAGTTACAAATGCCTAGGATTGGTTATAGATCACAACCTCACTTGGTCCGATCATATTCATTTTCTAAGATTGTCCTTATTAAAGAAGACTTTTCAATTAGCAAGGATAAAGAACTTAGGAGCAGGCTAGTTTTTTATGAAGCTTTTATTCAATCTAGGTTGGATTATGCTTCTGTAGTGTGGAGCGGCAGCTTTATAACTAAGAAGCGTCCTCTTCTATCTTTACAAAAAAGGGCTATCAAACTGGTTACTGGCTTGTCTAGTAGTCTGGATTCTTTTCTTACAACTAAAATACTTCCATTAAATAAAAAGATAATATATACTAAATCAATTTTCTTATATACAATATTCCACGAAACAGCCCCCTCTTACTTATCAGACCTATTTTCTTTTAACATAAAATTAAATCGTCGTCTTAATTTACCATTCCCATATACAACTTTTTTCCAAAAACATAGCTTCGCCTACTATGGTTCTAATTTGTGGAACAATCTTCCTAATAATATAAATTTATCTAGATCTGAAAATGTATTCAAATCTAAACTAAAACTACAATTATTTAATGACATCTCTAACTGACTCATTGTAACATTTCTCATTCATCTATTATATTCTATTTTTTATCTCCTTTTGTATTATAACTATGTAACATTATTTCTTTATTCCACATTTTTAGTGCTGTTACTGCTATGTGTTATTGATTTGTTTTATTTGTTTAAACGGCCAATGTGAAAAAAGGCCTCCGTGCCTACAATTGTAACCGTTTTTTGAATAAATTTGAATAAATTTGAATTTGAATTTCATTCACAATAAAACATCAACTGTTCTCGTTATAAATAAAACATCAACTGTTGAAATCGTGTAGGAAGGACACAGTCGTCTTTTTGGTTGCTGTTATTATAAGTTTTTACAATATCGGCTGGTTGAAAAATGTTCTTTACATTTTCAAAAACAAAAACATCTATATATTTTGTTTTATCACCATAAACATATGTGAAGTGTATAAGTACTCTCGAAGTCTAAATTGTCAAATCATGGACATTGGTAAACTGATGTTGGTATTATTTTTTATAACAGCATTATAAGTAGACGAATGTAATTATATATATATATATATATATATATATATATATATATATATATATATATATATATATATATATATATATATACACATATATATAGATATTTTTTTTCTTGCCGGAACAATCAATTTTGCAATGGTAATTAGTTATTATTATTTCTTATTATGATTATCCCCAAGGAATTACTAGAACTGATTCTAGATGGTAACAGATAACATCGGACGGCGTGGCCTAGCAGTAGAGTGCGGTAGAAAGCTAGAGTCGAGTTCAAATCCGGGTTTAAGTCAGTACAGTATCTCTAGTCCACCCAGCTGCGGTGGGTACCTAACTCACGTTAGGGAAACAAAAGCGGCTGGTCATACTGCTGACCACACTATCCATTTATATGCCGAGGTCTCTGAAGCAGATGAACTCTACAGCTTCTACCCCATGTGTCTTTGGTACGAACGGCTAAAAAGATGAGAAGATAACATAAAACGCTAATGAAACTAAAAATGTTTTAAGAATTTTTTAAAAATTATCTTTAAACTAAATGTGTTATTTTATTTAATTAGACTTGGTGCGTTTTATATGCTAGTTAATTTTAATATGCAAGCTTTATTTACACTTTTATAGATGAATTTTGAGTTTAAAAATATTAGTTTAAAAAAAAAGTTTTACGATTCTTTTTCTCCATTTTTTTTAAAACGTAAAAAAACATTAGGGAAATTCAAGACACGTAAACATGCTCACTTTATTATCAAATAAAAGGTTATGTACTATAGTTATTATATTTAAAGCGCATGTGACACCTGGAAGCGAAAGAAAAACACCTCAAAGCTCTAAATGAAGAAAAGAGGTGATTTATTAAAGACACAAAATATAATTTCTTTTATTTAGATGCGTCCCAGAATTCAGCTGAAGGTTGTTAGAGAACAGATGAAATATTTGGAAGAACCAATTCAATTGATGGAGCCTGTTATTGGCTTGATGAAAAATGTGAGCGATTATGAATTTCTTTTAATGTTGAATTATGTTATTGTCGTTTCGGGTATAAGCATGTAGGTAGTAAAAAGTTACTTATAGAAGCCATATAGTTTCGACAACTTCAACATGTTTTTTGTCATCAGGCATTGGAAAAAAGTAAGACGTGGATGGAAGATATAAATGACAACCCTTCTATTACATACATAGATCTTTGCCAGGAACTTGCATCAGCAACCACGGCCTTGTTGGATGTAGCTTCAAACATTTTAAGTAAACGTTGAAAACAATACGTCTATGTAATTTATGTAATCACTCATGAACTAAAGCAAAAATCTAATTGCAATTTTAATTCAACTTATTATGTATACTTTTACCGAAAGGCGATAATGAAGAGCTTGTCGATGTTGATGGTAGCACGCCATCTGTAGCTCAGTCTACTCTAGAGCCTACAAAAACAGAAACACCTGACCAAAGTGAATCAATAAATCAAGTGACTAAACTAGTTAAAAATCAAGAAGGTATAAAAAAATTTTTTCGCTAAGTCAAAAAGTTAAAAATAGAATAAAAAGTGTGCAAACATTGAACTTATTCTATTGTATTGGAAATGCTGCTATTACTTTATTTGTTATACATTACAGAAGTAGTATTCACTCGACTGGGACTTTTAGAAAACAGAATATCTTGTCTAGAAAGTTCAATACAAAAAACTAAAGAAGACGCGTCAGAAATAAAACAATGGAGAAAAAACTTTGTAACGGAACAGAGTGACATTGAACAACTGACTAAAAAACAAAAGCAGAATTTTAAAAACCTCAGAAAACAAATGAGTGAACAAGATACCAATGTAAAGGAGCTAAACAAAGAAATTGAAAGTTTAAAAGAAAAAAGATCCAAGTCAAACAAAACACTAAAGAAACTGTCACTAGATATGAAGGAATATGAAAACAACTTACTGACAATAAGTAAAGAGTTGCAAGATCACGCAGATACAACTGATAGAATAACACAAGAAATTAAAAAACATTCAGATCAGATGTCTACCCTACTAGAAGAGAGTTATAAAATCAAGCTTAATACATCAACTCAAATAGAAAAGGCAAAATTGCTAATGATGTGCTAACACAATTTTACCCATACTGGCCAGATAACTTATTTTACATTTTGTAACCTGGTTAAATCAACACACAACTAAGTAACTTTATCAAAAGTTATACCTGTATTACAATTATTACTAATTTTAAGACACATGTTTTTGTAAGTTATAATGTGCATTAAAAATAATTAAAATTCAATTTTCTGCCATTTAGCACAATTTGATGTACAAACTCCTGCAACAAAGGTTGATGCCCATTGACAAACTGATTCAAATCTTTAACCAGAAATTGGAAACTAAGGGGAAAAAAATAACAAAGGTATATGTGTAGTAATTTGATAAAATATATATTATGACGTTGATAATTATGCATTGATCATTAACACTCTGTTAATAGACCATTTAATAATATGAGAGTGCAGCAATTTTATGATCTACATAACTATGTGATCTTTTCAATCGTTTTATAAAATCTTTTTTCAGCTGGAAAATATTGAAGATACTATTTCAAAAATGTCCAATGATTTGAATCTAATAGGTAAGTTTGTCTTAAAAAATATTTTTTTAAACCAAACCATACAACCAGACGGACCAAAACGTGATGTTCGTTAGCCAGACAGACCATAACGTGATGTTCGTTAGCCAGACAGACCAAAACGTGATGTTCGTTAGCCAGACAGACCATAACGTGATGTTCGTTAGCCAGACAGACCATGATTTGATGTTCGTTAGCCAGACAGACCATAACGTGATGTTCGTTAGACAGATAGACCATAACGTGATGTCCGTTAGACAGACAGACCATAACGTGATGTTCGTTAGCCAGACCATAATGTGATGTTCGTTAGCCAGACAGACCAAAACGTGATGTTCGTTAGTCAGACAGACCATAACGTGATGTTCGTTAGTCAGACAGACCATAACGTGATGTTCGTTAGCCAGACAGACCATAACGTAAAGTTCGTTAGCCAGACAGACCATAACGTGATGTTCGTTAGCCAGACAGACCAAAACGTGATGTTCGTTAGCCAGACAGACCATAACGTGATGTTCGTTAGTCAGACAGACCATAACGTGATGTTCGTTAGCCAGACAGACCATAACGTAAAGTTCGTTAGCCAGACAGACCATAACGTGATGTTCGTTAGCCAGACAGACCATAACGTGATGTTCGTTAGACAGACAGACCATAACGTGATGTTCGTTAGCCAGACAGACCATAACGTAAAGTTCGTTAGCTAGACAGACCATAACGTGATGTTCGTTAGCCAGACAGAGCATAACGTGATGTTCGTTAGCCAGACAGACAATCACGTGATAAAGAATGGAACATTTCACTCACCCATAGTGCCAGTCTCTAGACCCGTGGGTTTCCGTCAGGTGTTTGTTTCCTCACCTGGTAGATTACACCACCTGGTATGTCGGGGGTCGACCTACAGCGGTGTACAGCAAGACATTTACGACAATTCCAAATGAACTAATTTCAATTGACTTCACTTCATCTTTTTATGTTTCTAATATTAAGAAGTCCCAAACGAGCCAGGGCTGAAATCTAAAATAAAGGGCATTAAGACAAGTATCTTTCAGGAATTTGTCGTAAACACTAATATAACATAACGCACATACTATTTGTTGTACATTTAGGGACTTATTACGTCACCTACTACGCTCGTAGTTTCGATTCTTAGGAAACGATAAACTAACACCACTAAAACTGAGGACCGTACTAAACTAGTGGTCTAGTGTTTCAATTTGTAGCCTTAGACAATTAGGTAAACATTATGGATTATCTTACATAATTTATTATTTCAAAAAAAAATTGCTTTATTTGGGTTTGCCGTTGTTACTTACATTCTGAACTGCATATAAAACACATATAATATTATGTTTAGGGATAATAACATAAACTAATGAAATGACAATTCACAAATATTATTGATCAAATTGTCATACCATTAATTAAACTTTTACATCATGCATAAGTTTTCCTATCAACAGATTCACGTGTATGTAACAGATATGCTTGTTATGTACAACTTGCTGGTGACACACCTGTCAGTAATGGATTAATTATTTCAACACTTGATGACGTACGTGAATATAACGGTCAACATTTTAATCGAACAACAGGAAAATTTGTATCACCACATGATGGTTTATATCTTGTCTGTGTCACTCTACATGAATGGGCAGATAAACTTGTTAAAGTTGCTGTAGTGACTGGAGACAGGTGTTGTACGTCTATAGAAGTGAAATCAGCCAGAACTAGCGCTGCTGAGTCAGTGGTTGTTGACATGAAGAAAGGTCAAGAACTGTACTTTCAAGTGTCTCACGCAGATGCATGCGCAATATTATCCTGCTACAGTAGTTTTACTATCGTTAGTTTATAGAAGTACAATACAAAACATGGTGGATGGTAAATTCTCAAAACAATAAAATATGCAACTACCATGTTAAACACACGCTAACAACTTACTATGGGTGTAGACTACATGTATAGAAACACTTGAATGGTTTATATGTTATTTGTTTAGGTATCATTATACACTTCCAAATAATTTAATTTGATCACCAATTAATGTTCTACTTGACTAAAATAAACATATAACATAACTATTTTTACGTATATTTTACTTCTCTATATGACAGCTTTATGTGTAAAATATATTTTCTGTACGTTAAATGTGATAAAAAATAAAATATATTTGTGTGTTAACTATGAAACTTGCATCCACAATTTTGAGAAAAACCAAATGAACTATTACAAAACGAATTATTTAAAAATAATAATTCACGTTATTGTTATGCATTTATAAATATGCTGAAATATATTGCAAGTAACTGTTATTGCGATTCCGTGTTAACAATAAATAAAAACCTATATTGCTTTTAAGTCGGTGCAACGGTGTATGTGAATTAACACCTACACAAACACACGCATACACACACACACACAAATAGGTCTTACCTATATCTATATGATATATATTCAACTCTTGATTTATAGCTATGTATCAAACTTATTTATATATATATAGGCCTATATATATATGTATGAGTATATATATAAATATATATGCTCTTCAGATAACTGTCAATAATGGATCAATTATTTTAAAATTTTGTTTAGAATATAAACATAATGGTCAATATTTTAATCAAACACCATGATGGTTTATATCTTGTCGGTGTAACTCTACATGAAAGTGAATATAACTGATTGGAGTTAGTAAGTGGGTTAGAGGTAGGTGGTGTTAGTCTATAGAAGTGAAATGCGCTGCTGGGTCAGTGGTTGATGACTTGAATAAAGCTCAAGAAATTTAACTTAGAGTGTTTTACGCAGATCATGACGCAAAGTTATCGATCTTGAGTCATTTTACTATCGTTAGTTTACAGAAGTACAACACAAAACATGTTGGATGGTAAATTCTTAAAACAATAAAATATGTAACCACCATGTTAAATAAACACTAACAACTTACTATGTGTGTAGACTACATGTAAACACAAACGCGAATGGTTTATATGTTATTTGTTTAGACATCATTACATCATTACACAAGTCCAAATAATTCAGTGTGATCACCAACAGAGTTTCTTTCAGGCATCTCTTCCCCCACCCCCCTCCCCCTGTGGAAAGTCTACCGCCCCCACCTTCCCAATCGAAAAGGGATTTATATAGAAATTTAGAAAAAATATATATATACTTTTACCAGTGTCCACCTCTCGTAAATTATAGTCCCCCCTCCCCAGAAAATTTCAAGCCCCCCCCCCCCCCCCTCTGACGAAAAAAGTCCGGAAGAAACACTGATCACCAATTAATGTTTTACTTCACTAAAATAAACATATAGGATAGCTCCTTTTTACATATATTTCACATTTAATTTGTGCAAGATTTGTGTTTTAAAAAGAAAGCCAAACCAAATGAACTATATTAAAGACACAGTTTGAATAAGTTCACTTGACAACTTCAGTATGTGTCTAGTATGTTAAAAATATTGATTCATGTTAGGCAATTGTAAATATATTGAAATATGCTGAAATTAGCTATTATTGTGATTAAATGTAAAAAACAAATAAAAAAAAAAAACAAAAAAAAAAACAACCTCTATTGGCTTTTTTTATTTGTCTTTCTATTTAGTATCATTGTATCTGTCAACAAACACCTACCCTAACACACACTAGTTCATACATATGTTTTCTAATTAACAGAGTAACGTGTATGTAACAGATATGCGTGTCATCTGCAGCTTGCTCTACAAACACATCTCAGAGACAATCAATTATTTCAACATTTAGTGAAGTACGTGAATATAACGGTCAATATTTTAACCAAATAACAGGACAATTTGTATCACCACATGATGGTTTATATCTTGTTTCTGTAAGTCTAAATGATAGGACAGATAACCTAATTGGAGTTATTGTGGTGGCTGGAGACAGGGTGTGTGCTACTATAGATGTTAAATCTAATAGAACTAGCGCTGCTGGGTCAGTGGTTGTCGACATGAAGAAAGGGGAAGAACTTTTCTTTAAAGTGTATGCAGTAGATCAAGGCGCAATGTTATCCAGCTTCAGTAGTTTTACTATCGTTAATTTATAAATGCACAACACTAAACATGGTGGTTGGGAAATTATTTAAAAAAAAAAACGAATGTAAAAAACTAAATTTGTAAACACACTGTATTAAACTTTTATGTGTTTAGAATCCATGTCAAGTCATGTCATATGTTTACCATACACATGTCTAACCGATTCAACACAATCAACGTGTATGTGTCTTGTCGGACTACTGTCAACTGACGTCTTTAACATTTAGGACACAATGATAACTCTAGTTTGATATGTATAACTTAAATTACGTTTTTATCTTTGTGTCAACAAAAATCGTTTGCCTGCAATAGAAACATGGAATATGTTGTACACTGATTTATTAATGTATCATTCACTTTGCTCGTATATACTTACTACCTTTTTATTTTATATTCAATATTGAACTCAAATATGATTACAATGTTTCAAAACAAGACAAATATGATAAAAATAAGTGGGCTGTATCAAATAATGTAGTACAATTCTGGAAGGAATAATTTCAATAGAAGGGGACAAACCTGCCAACTTAGTTGGTTTCAGATTTACTGATGTGTCTCTCTTTGGGGACAAGGCATCTTAAATAAAGTGAAACTGGGTTTTTGTGAATAGTTTGGGTATTCGACAGGACATAACATATACGACTGTAAGTAGAAGGCATTCTCTTTTTTTAACTTAAAAAGAAGCATTTGCATGAACCAAGTATAGAGAGTTGCATCATGTGTTACAAAAAGCTAAAATAAAAGGAGATAACTTAAGCATCCTGCTCGTCCGCCTTATTTTTTTCTTTGGTTTTCCCTAACATGAGTTAAGCAATGATACTTAGACAACACAATTGTATGTGGCTTTTATTTTTTAACATCTTTTTCAATTTTGAGATGAATAGCCAAACGTCCTAGAAGGGGGTGTGGAAAGGAAATGTCTTTACAGGAGGGGGGGGGGTGGATCTGTTGCTTATCGTGTTGTGCTGAATGGGGTGTTGCTTAAAGATATCTGATATTGGTCTACATGTAAACAATACGATCAAATACTAAGCCCAGAACAATCTACAACACTACCATACAAACCACCGAGGCTGTCTTACACAATTTAGTTTTTGTTTACTTATGAAAACAGTTTTACTATCATATAAAAGGTAAGCCACTAGGTGTATGTTGCGTGTCCCCCACCACTTGTGCTTGAGAAGCTTTAAGTCGAGTTTGTCTTCTTTCTTTGTTAACACAAATTGCAGATTTGCCACCTAAAATATGTTGCAGATTTTACAAAATCTTGTTTCTGCAAGGCGTTATCTCCATTTAACACACTAACTCGGATTTGCTCATCTCCCGTCTCCTGTAACGTGACAGTAACCAGATATAATCCATCATCTAATGCCGCATGTTTTTCTGTGTTTTGATTAAAATGGATTCCGTGAATTCGAATACTATAGAATGTAGTAAGAATGGATCCAACAGCTTCTGTTGTGTTTTTATCAAGATGAAGTTGACAGATATAAGGTGAACGTTTCTTTTTTTTTAATCAGTGTGTATTTTGTGTGGCTGTTTAACGTTGCGTGCTCACAGTGTGGGGAGGGGAGCGACTAATGTACGTTAGCAGATAATTGTTTTTCAAAACTGCAACAATAAAGACACCCATGTAACATTTTTAATTCCTGTCAACAGATGCCTTTAAGCTATAAATCAAGTGTAGGTCGATACATTGTTCTACTGACTATTTAGTGCGGTCTGTTGTAATAGTTTGTTTAAATGTGTAAGACTGTGAGTTAAACGTTAGGTTAACTAACGTAAGTTGTGATAGTTTGTTTAATCATATCACATATTATGCATAACAAATCAATACTGAAACTAATGTACGGCGAAATGACTAAGTCAACGGACACTATCAAATTTACAATTATATTTTTATTCTTTTGTTAGTGTCTCCTCCCCCACACACTCTAAACACACACACACGCACACGCACACACTTATACTTTTACACTTGGAGACTGTTGTATTCAACCATTCTTGATATTATCTAAACGTTACTTGGAAGTCACATCCAACCATCGAGTAAATATTTGATTTACGATTGCCCAATGTGGTGTCGCTCAAATCTGCTTAGGTGGATTACATGCTTAACTCTTATGATTTATGATATACAGTTTTTGCACCATGAAAGATGTTTTGGTGTGTATCCTCACTCGATTCTCTGATGTCAAATGACGTCACTTTGTGTACACATTATATTAATCCACCTAGAAGCGGAACTGGTTGCTCTGAAAGATGTTCTCTCTCAACACTCCCCTACCCATAATGAACCTGTGCTTAAGCAATGTAAACTAACAGTTATAAATTGAAGTTGAAAAAGTATGGTTACCATGGGAAGTATTAATTGGGGTGTCATCATACGCCCACCCCACTCCTAAAAGTTTGAAAATGATGCGACCCGTAACCCACTCCTCTCACTCACATCTCGCGACCACTGAGATTTTTTATCACGTGTCTGTTCACCAAAACTAAATTAAATTATTTACTATGCGCTGACGAATTTTTATTGTTTATACGAGTGAGTGTATGATGTACTATCAAAACTAGGGTAAAGGTACCTACAATTAACGATTAGCTTGAACGAACTTACACCATCACCCAATCATTATAACTGATAAAATCACATCGTGTGTAATATGGATGATAACACGATTAACAGGTTTTATATGTTTATTGAGAAGATAAATAGCAGGATAATAAGCCAAAGAACGATACAGTACAAAGTATAAATAACTAGAGATATCACTACATGGTAAGGGTAATTTGTGTTATTGACTTGACTCTTTGTTCATTGAAGCGGGGCGACATTTTGTTACTACTGGAACTAGTTTGTCTGCAACAAGAGCAAAACAACTAAAAACTTTGTTTTATTCTTCAGTCAAAAGTGAGTTTACATTTTAAAATAATGTTAAATCCGAGTTTTACACGACATCAAAATTTCCACAAACTTAATGTTTACAAAGCTAGACAACTGTCGAATCACAAAGACTACAAATGTTGGCTAATGGCAATTAAATTCTTTGAAATAATTGTTTACAAATAATGTTTAAATAATTCAAGTCTGAAACTTTTTAAGGATAGTGTATAAGAATTATGTGGTTACGACGCCGTGAAAAAGACATTCTTTTTATTAAAAAACGTAACTAAAAATCTTAATTTATGTTCTAGTTTTTACGATCTAACTTACTCTATTTTATTCAGATGCGTCCTAGAATTCAAGTCAAATATGTTACAGAACACATGAAGTATTTAAAAGAAAATATAAAAGTCATTAAACCTGTGGTTGAAGCTTTACAAATTGTAAGTGGCAATTGGTATTTGTCTATTTTGTTGTTGTTAAACATAAAGTATATTATTTAAAACCTACAAACATTAAAGAAAACAATGTTCTTAAACAACATCCCAACACATATTGTTAACGCTTTATGTTAATGTTTAATGTCATAAGGCAGTACAAAACAGCAAGACTTGGTTAGAAGATAAAAGTGACAACAAATCTGTGACATACTGTGATCTATGTCAAGATCTTGAATCAGCGACAACAGCCATGTTGGATGTAGCGGAACATATTTTAGGTAAATATTTTAAAATACATGTGTCTGATATTTTGTTTAATACTCTGGTGTATCAATTAATTATCAATAACTGAATAGAAAATAAAAATAAAATAATAACAAGAAAGCTTCGAAAAATATGGGGTGCGTCAATATTATTTAATATTAACAAATTTCATTTTATCAAATACCCTTGACATTGCAGTAAATGTAGCTTAAAATTATATTGAAAAAAAAAAGTTAAAAAGTATTCATACTTTAGAAAAAAAACATATTTGATTAAAATTTTAGAGATTATTGTTGATTTATGTTTTTAAGACGAAAATAAAGACACTGTAGGTACTGAAGGAAGGTCATTTTCATCTCAGTCTACACCACAAACTACAGCAACAGAAAAACGTGACAGTAGTGAATCAACATATCATAATCTTAAAGAACTTCATCTATTATCAGGTATACACACTTAATTTTTTTAAAGTTATCATTAAACCAATAATGGAACAGTGAAATATTTTAATTTATTTTCTTAAAAGAAATGTAGCATCTGATTTCCAAACAGTATTACTTCTCTGATTGACTTAACATTGTATTGCCTTAGATATATTATGTCGCCTTGAGCAGATAAAGACAACCATATCTTCTCTACAAGATAAAAAGGTAAAGTCTACAGATGGCATATCAGAATATAAAACAATGGAGAGACAACTTTGTAACAGAACAGAGTGACATGGGGGTAAACATTGAACAACTGACTAAAAAACAAAAACAAAATTTTAAAAACCTTAGAAAACAAATGAGTGAACAAGATAACAAAATAAAGGAGCTGAACAAAGAAATTGAAAGTTTAAAAGAAAAAGAATCCAAGTCAAACAAAGCACTAGAGAAACTGACACTAGATATGAAAGAATATCAAAACAACTTACTCAAAATAAATATTTTAAGTCTATGGAAATACTGTGTTTACAATACAACATTATTCCTTGAACTGTAACTAAAATAAAATTCTAAACCCCAATCCACCAGACGAGGACAACATGGATGTCAACAAACCAACGCCATCTTTACCACAGCCTGACACACAGACAACAGCAACAATTCTCACAGTAGAATCACCAAGACAACTCAAAACACAAGACAAACATACAACGGGTATGTCTTAGTTTTGTTTGGTATAACAGTTTCAACAGCAGCATACTTTATTGTGTGAAATGTTAAAACTTGAACATTTTGTTTTATTTCAATTTTTGAAAATTTTTATAGTAACGTTTCTACGTTTAACGCTGTTTTGAGAACCTTTTTATTAAGGTTCCAGCCATTTCAAATTATAAACTGAATACTTGTGACTATCCTCAGTTGAAGAACATCCTGACCTAGAGCGTAGACTCGCCTATATTGAAACAACACTATCTTCACTACAGGACACACAACACAAGTCTACAGATGACATATCGGAAATAAAACAATGGAGAGACAACTTTGTAACAGAACAGAGTGACATGGGGGTAAACATTGAACAACGGACAAAAAAACAAAAGCAGGATGTTAAAAACCTCAGAAAACAAATGAGTGAACAAGATAACAAAGTAAAGGAGCTGAACAAAGAAATTGAAAGTTTAAAAGAAAAAGAATCAAAGTCAAACAAAACACTAGATAACCTGTATCTAGATATGAAAGATTATGAAAACTACTTACACAACATAAATAAAGAGAGGCAAGATCACACAGATAAAACTGAGAGTATAACACAAGAAATAAAAAGACATTCAGAAAAGATAGATGCTCTACAAGCTGAATACACCAACTCAAATAGAAAAGGTAAAATTGCTAATTATGTGTGTACACAATTTTACACATGCTCGTAAGATAACTTATTTCACATTTTATAACCTGATTAAATCAAAAGACAACTTATTAACTGTATCAACAGTTATACATTAAGTACAATACTAATTTTAAGACACATGTTTTTGATAGTTAAAATGTGCAGTAAAAATAATTAAAATTTTAATGCTTTTATTTAATGTTCTGCTCTTTAGTACATTTTAATGAACAAGCTCCTACAACAAAGGTTGATGCCTATTGACAAACTGATTCAAATCTATAACCAGAAGTTGGAGAAAAGGGAAGATAGAATAATGAAGGTATATAAGAAGTAATTTTATAAAAAATTAAATTGCGACGTTGATAAATCATGCATTTATTATCAACACTATGTAAATAGACAAGTTAATAACATATATTTAAAACAAACACGAGCTTTAAATTTGTTTCTATTCTTATAATATGCCATAGCCAATTAAAATCACTGCATCAATTGTATGTTGTACGAAACTATGGGATTTTTTAATTCGTTTTATAAATTACTATTTTAGCTGGAAAATATTGAAGGTGCTATTTCAAAATTGTCCAAAGATTTTAATCTTTTAGGTAAGTTTGTCTTAAAAACCTAATCGTTAGCCAGACAGACCATAACGTGATTTTCGTTAGCCAGACAGACCAAAACGTGATGTTCGTTAGCCAGACAGACCATAACGTGATAAAGAATGGAACATTTCACTCACCCATAGTGCCAGTCTCTAGACCCGTGGGTTTCCGTCAGGTGTTTGTTTCCTCACCTGGTACATTACACCACATGGTATGTCGGGGGCTTTTTTAATTTTCTTACTACGAAATTATTAAAACGAGCTTTTTAGGCACCTCTATTGGATTAATTTAAGATTAATTTAAGAAGGGCAATAAGTCATGGAAGTGTCTTGAGGTTTATCTAACTTTCACAGCTTATGTAGATTTATTGTCTATGCAACTCTGTATGGTAGTTACATTAGATCGATCACCATCATAGTACATATGATGTGGTTTTTCTCGGATTTTGGTTCCCCCAAACGGCTTGTCTCTCCCCCTCCACCCCCACCCCTATATAGCGGGTTCTGGCCGAATTAAGTTTCCACCCATTGCTGATAGTCTTTGCTACACCAATACAAAAAAATAATATGTTTTTAAATTTATCCCCATTTTTCAAAACAATATGAACACAATTTTAAAAGGGAAACTACTCGCAAAATCTGCTAAATATATTAAAATAGATAGAAATCCATTTAACGAACAAAAAAATAAATAATTTCATAAATATTATTTTACAATATAATAATATAATATAATATAATATATATATATATATATATATATATATATATATATATATATATATATATATATATATATATATATATAATACAGTTGGATGTAGTATTGTTTCTGTATAGTTAACACGTTTAGTTCATGGTGTCACCCCCAATGGATCTGGTAAAAAGGCATTTTTCTTCTGTACATTTTGCAATATTTAAGCTTGGTGTCACCCCCCCCCCCCCCTAAATGGTCTCATCCGGTGCTGTCCGCTACCCTTGCCCCGTCCTCGCTACGCCTATGCTTACAAATGTTAAAAAACAGCGAAAAACTTGTACACGAAAAATCACAAAACATTTGCAAACAGTTACAACAAAAACTCTCAACTCCACTATACAACAGAATCCAATGGGGTAGGAAATACGCTCTAACAGACACAATAGACACCTTTAGGAAGCTTCACCTCAAAACCATCACACCCAAAGCCAGGGAAATAACATACAGACTCATCTACAATTTAACACCCAAAGCCAAGGAAATAACATACAGACTCATCTACAATTAAACACCCAAAGCCAGGGAAATAACATACAGACTCATCTACAATTTAACACCCAAAGCCAGGGAAATAACATACAGACTCATCTACAATTTAACACCCAAAGCCAGGGAAATAACATACAGACTCATCTACAATTTAACACCCAAAGCCAGGGAAATAACATACAGACTCATCTACAATTTAACACCCAAAGCCAGGGAAATAACATACAGACTCATCTACAATTCAACACCCCTAGCAAAACAACAGAAACATTATTGCCCACTATGCAGACAAAACACACATGTATTTAGAATGCCTCACCATAGAAAATATGAAAAAGACGTTAGAAACCAAAATAACGACAAGAAACGAGACCTTCAATATTGACATATATAATTCCATACAAAAATCCCTAAATAAAGAGACAGGACGGACCTAGAGCAAAAAGCAAGGCCGGTATCTATATATAGACAGACTATCTGGAACAGTAGAATAAAAGCAAAACACGATTAGATACAGTTCTTGGGACATATACTAGATTTGATTTATCGTAGACGACTCGACAACGACAGTATTCAAATACATCAGAGGTGTAGCGCGAAGGGGGGGGGGGCGGTGCTGACCGCATCGGGTGACACCATTTAGGGGGGTGACACAAAGGCAAAAAAATAGCAAAATATTATAAAATGATAATTCCACTTAATAAATAAGTGATTAATTCGAGTGTCAAATAGTCTTTTAAGATTTTAAGAGCTGCAAATCGAAAGTTTAAGCGGGACGGGGGGGGGGGGGTGCAAAATCGAAATTTGAAAATGTGTCCCCGGGTAGGGTCGCTACGCCTCTGGGGGGTGACACCATTAAGTGTTGCACCGGATGACACCCGACCTCGCTACGCCACTGAAATACATATACCTTAATTAGCAACACCACAACGTGAAGAACATATCACTTTGCTCTGGTCGCCTGGCCCGCCCAATCCTGACCGACACCTCCCCTTTCATCACACCCTCCCCGCCCCCGCAACCCAGGAACCCCATATCATATTGCCCCCATATCTGCATCTTCTTCGTCCGCATGACCCCACCCCTTGTGTTGAAATACTATACTACATACTGATGATGATGATGTATTACCAAAATAAATAAAGACGAATGTTACTTAAGCGATTGATATATGTACTACAAACACCCCTCATTAACCAGTTATTCTTAAATTCCTTTCTAAACCCAGACAATAACACGCACTCTCATTCTATACAACTAAACCAGCTCATACCAAACGATGATGGAAGACTTGCCTACCTAGCAGCATATTCCCCCCATCTCATCCATCACCCGCATTACAAAAGCTACACACTTGCCGTTTACTTGGTGCGCAATATTTATTTCTACGAGATTCTATTCTATTTTAAAAAGTTTAAGTAATTAAAAATTGATTAAAATCATGTCTCTATCCCGAGTTGCCATTATATTAGAATATTCGAGAAAGTTTAGGGGAGATCACTCCCGTTTTTTTTTTATGTTTATATTTATAATCAAACCAAGTATTATTTTCTTTTCTCGAAATTTTTCAACTAATGACGTCATTGACTGCGGCGTGAAAAAAACTCCGAAACAATACATCAAAAAGACTTGGTGCGCAAAAGCAAACAGAGAAAACAGAAACTCACTAGGCGCTGGTTTACACGAGCTTTGAACAGACCCAGCCTGCTAAGATACTGATATCCATGTGTAACCTTCAGCACCTAAACATGTTGCCCATTTCGGCCGACTGCCTGAAGTTTTGTACCAGGGTGTGAAGGCTAATCATTTATTGTGTACATCGAGCATACGAGCAAGCAGTTTTATGGCTCCTACACATTTTTTAAGGATGATCAACATTTTGGCTCTTGTGTGCTTGGGATTAATCTCGAAGGTTGAAGGTAAATCTGTCTGAACTCTAGACCCATAAATCTAGGTCTTTGTAGACATCAGAAATCGGCACATCCGGTTTGCAGTTAGCATCAACCTAGAATCCGTACTTTGGTATATGTAAAACTGACCTAATATCGTAACAAATAAGCATCATAACCCTTTCGCCATAACCTAAATGACTTAACAACTAAAGCACAGATGCACGTGAAGATTGGTCAAACAAACATTAGTGGCCGTAAACAATGCAGACCTCAAGAGTTTACTAAACACGGCTCAACTAATATTAAT